ATTATCGTTTCTCTGTATAAAATGATCGTCTATAATTATCACACAGATCAAACACGTCTCAATCGGTTCCATTACATTTGAACCCACGTACATTTGAACCCATGACAATTGCACCTGTATGCTATTGCACCTATGGAATTTTTTTTGTTTCACGGATAGTTAAACCCAGTGGCGGCGCGTCAATAGGGCCAACCGGGGCAATGCCCCTGTTGTTTTTTCGGTATAATAAAAAATATTCGAAAAATACCTCAATATCGGTTCCACAGACTGTCTACACTAGCCATATTCTCCCGACATGGTTCATTTTTCGCGCGCAAAGCCTTCGCCGAACGTCGACGGGGCGACGCCGATTTTGCCCCGGTTGCTCATTGTATATCGTATTCTCTCTTTTTTCTTCCACTCGCCGCGTCTGTCTCGTTCGTTTTCTGTTTCTTTACTAAATCATCGGGGCCGATCGGGGCTAGCCCCGAAATTATGACGACACAATGCCGACGTTTCTTACAACAACGTGTTGACATATAGGCGCATTCCTTTTCGTTCGTTGGTTGCTTGAAGAGTTGATAGTTTCCTCGCCTTCGTTTTTGTATCAGTTAGAGACCTTTAGTCCATTTGCTTTCGATTTTCCACATTCCTTTTGAGCTCCTCACTTCTTTCCGGCTTCGCATTTCTTAGCCTTAGACCTCATAATGAATAAGGTTGATGCACTACTTCGCACTCCGTTTTCGCAGCTGCCGCTGGAACAAAAATTAGAGGTACAACGTCTTGGGCCTTATCAACCAAAAAATTGTTCACTGGAACAATCCCATGACGGAGGAAAGCGTCGGCGTACATTCTGCGCAGAAACTTGGTATAAAAAACACGAATGGTTGTGTTACAGCGAGGACAAAAATGCACTTTTCTGTTTTTATTGCCTACTTTTTGCTACCGCCCGTGACTCACGTTGATGTAAATTTGGTTTTAGAGATCTTAAACATCTTTCCGAGCGTGCCAGGGATCATCAATCTTCTATGGAGCATCTGGACAATGCAGTAAAATACCGAACATTCGGAAATGTTAATATTGCAGCACAGTTGGATGAAGGACGCGCGGTTTCTATTCGTCGGCGCAACCAAAACGTCGAGAAAAACCGCCATGTTCTCGGTCGATTGATAGATGTTTTGAAGTTCATTGGTTGTCACGAGCTGTCCCTCCGTGGGCACGATGAACGGGCTGGCTCTTCTAATAGAGGGGTATTTTTGGATATGGTGGAATACACCGCATCCCTAGATACAGTATTGAGAGATCATCTTGATGCCGCAACTGTTTCGAAAGGGACATCTAAGGATATCCAAAATGATTTGCTCGACTCAATGTATAAAATTTATTTACAACATTTGGCTCTGGAAATTGAGAATTGCCAGTTCCTTTCGATTCAGTCTGATGAGACAACTGACATCACGTGCGTTTCCCAACTGGCTGTGATTTTTCGGTTTGTGAAAGATGGTAAACCTACCGAGAGATTCCACAGCTTTGTACCAATCGTTGATCGCACGGCTTGCGGGATTGTTATAGTTCTCCTTGTTGATGGCAACTATAATTATTATTATTGAGGCACCTTACTTCCCAACCATCCACACCAACAATCAGCTCATATATTCAAGTATTCACATTTACTTCTAACACAGCACAGCGTCAAATTTACGTGTTACTCCTAGAACAGCAAAACGAAGACACATGTAAACAAGATATTCATGCGCCACAACATACTTAAAGAAAATAGGGCACGCATGAAAAGTCATTAGAGCATAACAATAATACAATATTATACCTATTGTATGACAGGGATATCGGCTGTACTGAAAGAAGTGTTACAGCCTTACAACGCGAAGTCAAAATTGATAGCTCAAACTTATGACGGCGCGGTAGTCATGAGTGGGTCGAAACATGGTGTTCAAGTTTATATAAAAGAAGATTTTCCTCATGCGCATTTTTTACATTGTTATGCACACCAATTCAACCTCGTTATTAAAAATATGTGTCTTGATACCCCTCTCGTCCGTATATTTTTTGCAAATGTTTCGGGGTTTTCTTCATTTTTTTCCGTTTCGCCGAAGCGCTCTGACCTCCTTCGCCAGATATGTAGCCGCCGTCTCCCAGCTTGTGCACCAATACGCTGGAACTTCCAATCACGCGTGGTGCAGGGCGTGTCCGAAATGAGGTCTGAGCTCATTGAGTGTTTCAATGGCATTCAGAACTCTCCGGTTTGGGACGAACGCTCTGTGAGGGAGGCGGCAGGTCTAAAGCGTCTGCTAGAAGATGATGAGTTTTCATTTTTTCTCCACAATATTCTATCACGTGGATGTATTATACGGCGCATTGCAGTCAAGGCTAATGGATGGAGCGTCTGTGCAGTCGTGTATTTCAGACTTCTGCGATGCTGTATCTCGTATCCGGGAAACAATAAAATACGACGACACATGGAGTGCTTCTTTACGCCGCGGGCAGACAACGCAGCGTTTGATTTTGTCTGCAAAGGAATGCTGTGACATTCTGGTGAATCAAATAGGCGATCGTCTGCGCACTGAACACCTTGCCGCGTTCTCTTTGATGTACCCCAAAAATTTTTCAAAATTTGCACGTCAATTTTCACATCCATTTGTTGGCTACTGTCTCCAAATTTTAACCCATGATAAACGTGGGTAAATTGGAAAATGAATTGCGATGTATATACACCAATCAAACTTTTTCGAACATCACATCAACTTGCGCGCTTTATGGGTTACTCATAGATAACACTCTAGTAACTACCTTTGCGGCGTCTGCAAAATTTCTGGACATCATTTTGGCGACGCCTATTTCTTCCGCCGACGCAGAGCGAACATTCAGCACGCTGAAGCGTATTAAAACGTATCTCAGAAACACAATGAAGCAAGATAGATTAAATTCCTTGGCTGTTGTATCCATTCACAGAGACGTTATTTCTAGGATGCATGACTTTAATCAGCGCGTTATTGAGCATTTTGCTTCCAAGAAACCGCGGCGTGTTGCATATATGTTCAAGCAGTAGAAGTCTAGCAGCATATATATCTATGAGTGAGCGACGCATGTCCTTATCTTTGCATTAACTTTCCTTTCTTCATAGTAACGTTTTAAACCTTATTTTAGGTTTTGTCTGATTTCCCGAAGTTTCTGTTAATATGTCATTGTATTTATCTGGGTAAATATTGCCTTTCCTTTCGAAAGAGGTTTCAAAATAAACTATGTCTATATTTATTAATCCCTTGACTTGGACCGGTTTTAAAGACAATTTCTTATCGTTAAAAATTGTCGCTTTTGCCGATTGGTTGTTACCGATGGAATGGTTTTTATACTCATAAAATAATGGGAGAACTTACAGCGCTCATCCTGTCCCCGTAGATGGGGGTGACTTGGTCCCGCAGTAGCTTGCCCCGGTTGTCAAACTGACCACGCGCCGCCACTGGTTAAACCCATACTAACCCTAACCCATGGGTTTTAGCACCCGCATATAGATTGAACCCGTGGATATACGCATGGGTTCAAATGTACGGTCACCGTCTCAATCATATGGCGAGTCACGGCCTCTCGTCCGGTTACCAGCCCATGTCGCATGTGGGATTAGTTAGGCAATTATCTGTTTTCAGAAGCATGGACTTGATGTTAGACTTGGGTGTTTCGCAAGGTAAACGGGATAGCTGAACAGGAATGCCGTTACTCCACACTGTAAGAATTAATATATCGTTTCTCTGTATAAAATGCTCGTCTATATTACACAGATTACCGTTGCACGTGCTCTCCTCGAACAAAGGAATTCCATTAACATTAATTATTCAACGCACAGTCATTTACATTTGAATAACAAGGTGATCTAGTGTCCATGCTTGAAATCATTTTTGTTTTGTTTCTGACGCGATTATTAAAAAAAAATTTCATTGCGTATGACGAAGGCTTTAAACCAGTGGTTCTGTAACGTGGGGGAGGGCCCCTCCCCCCACAAGAAGGCGTAGACAATTTTTAATAGAGGGGGCATGAAGCTAATTAAAAATAAAAATACTAGTTAGAATTGATCTTGCTCGACTTATTTTGGATATTTACATTTCTTTATTGTTCAGTGATTGCAGATAGCTGTTGTACTTACGCGTCTTTTCAACGTGTTTATTTGAATAGAATAAAACATACTTTCGCCTTACTATCTGTTATTTATAGCTTTTAGTTATTATTTTTGAGGTGTGGCGTGAGACTTGACAAATTCTAAAAAAGGGGGCGAGGCCTAAAAAGTCTAAGAACCACAGCCTTAAACAATCAACTACTCATAATGGGGAGCTATTATTTTTAATTTAAATATAAATGTTGCCCCGATCGTTATTTGAATGGCCTCCATTGTACATGCTTTTAAGCTGTCATTTAGAGTTTAGACTGTAGGTTACGAATATATATATATATATGTAGTCTCACCATATGTTCCGGTTTAGCCAGGACGGTCCCGGCGTCCCATCCAGTAGACGTGTTCATATGCAGGGTGGATCAGACCAAGTGTAGACAAATTAAAGGATAGTTACGGGCGAGAGCGATAAAATACAAGAACTGGCTGTGTTGTAAACGCCGTTTAGCGAATACAAAAGTTAATTGTTGCAATAATTTCAAAGCTTCTTTCATACCACTTGAAAAGCACTCGTGTATCGCTAGTGGTGCGCGTGCCTCAGGTTGGGAACAACTGCTAGTCTAAAGCATAGATTGATGACTTATTGGGACAAAATTTTGGAAGAAGCCATACGTGCCTCTTGCAGTCAAGTTCCAATCAGATCGAGGCGTGTAGTGAGGGCAAAGTATCTGAAAATAACAATGAATTCTATTATTTAACCTTATAATGCTATTTCCGGAAAATATTTTTTTCTCTTACATTTATATTGTAGTTGTTTTAATGAACATTTGTCTACGCTTGGTCCGATCACCAGTATTTGAGTTTTGCTCTCATTTTTATCGTGCCATCGTGGAGTTTGAAATAAACCTATCTTTTCTTCACAAGTACAAAAAAGCACTTATTTCTCTAATAACTATGGAGGAAGAAAATGGATACATGGACCCAAGATACATCACTCCTGATAATGTTTATCGGATGGGAGAGGAAGGTACGTTGTCAAGGAAACTGTATCGAATTTTACGCTTGGTGCTTAGGATTTTCATCTTTATCCCAGTGAAGAGAGAAGTTAACAAGACGACTTTGCCCGTAATTACGGCTTACGTGGCAAACTGTGGGCCGCGGAACAATCGTTTCCTTGTGGGCCTCCCAAATGAATTTTAATTATGGAATTGATACATAAACGAGATTATCGGTCAGAGACCGAAGACTTATCGATCGAAAGTTAGGGGATCCCCCAAACAGCGCTTTTATTCCATAGTGACACCTTGTATCCCATCACTAATTAATTAATTACTCGCTGATCAGTCAGTCAGTAGTTTATTTTATCACAAACCGAATGTAAACATTGACGAACAAAATTAAGAAAAATAAAAAATTACATTTCAGTGTGGAGGGAGACGCGATAAACCTAATTATACGACATAATTCATCCAAAATCAATGGGCGCAGATTCAATCTCACTTTTGTGAGATATCGCGTGCATCTAACAGACAGACAGACAGACATACAAACAGACAGACAAATACCTATCAACATACTTACCGATTAAAATCGATAAGTAAAAAGTTCTATAAATCCAACATTACATATATATAATTTTGGCGCTTCAGAAGTATGTGCACCAAGATGGCGCACAACCTGGTAACCCTAACCTGGTACACATGCTATGTTCAAATTGTGCGCTATTTTGGTGCACATACTTCGGGAGCACCATAGTTTTTTACTAATTAATAATTCGTTTTGATATTTGCGTCCATATACTTTAATCTGGTTTTGTTCGAAGCAAAAGCCACGAGCGTTGTATTACGTTGTTATACGCTTCCATACGGTGATCTCCTAGCCATCAATCCAGCGGGGGGCAAAATTTTTAAGTATAAGAGACGCATGCAGCAAGTCAGAAATATGTGAGAGCCCCATAATTTTTGAAATTAATAATTTTAGATTACCGTGAACTTAAAAGAACTTAACACAAACGTATAATAACAATATTGCAAAGTATATATTTTTCAACCGCTTAATGAATTAAATAAAATCTGTTGCTCTACAGTTTCTCGTAGTTAAATTTGGATAATATGTAATTATTGCCAGCGAGAAGAGCCGCATAAAAATTCCGGCGAGCCGCGGTTTGCCCACCGTTGCCATAGACTATTCCGGCCAATATACATCCCTGACAAAACTGCGTTTTAAAACGATCGCACTATCCAGGCTTGTCCATGGGACATATTTTTCTGTCCCATTTCCATCTCATAGCCATTATGCCTGTCCCATCCCATGGCATTCCCATTGGAATAAAAAAAACAATAAAAATTGTTAAGTTTATGTTTAGCGTTCAATAAATAGGACTACATGTACGAAGAGATATGCGAAACAACAAAATTTACGGACTTTGTTAACTCTATAGTCATAACTATTATAAATGTGTCCATCATCCCCTTCACGGAGTATATTGTTAATGCTGAATATATATTTTGCTTCTTATAGCTAATAGGAGAACCATGCTCAAATATATGGACACGAAATCCATAACGAAATGTTTTACCATCATTTCCCCGAAAACCATACGGTTTTCGGGTCCCATGGAAAATACAAATATGTGCTGTCCCATCCCATGGCACGAATGGGATTCCCATGGACAACCCGGGCAATATCCCGTGCGCCAGACTCAAACTTCACTTAGATGTTGTTTTCTATAGGTCCAATCGAAGGCGAGTACAATATAGCTTATGGGGAATCTACAGCACCAACTGCTTCAGAAAACCGGAGAAATGCGGCGCCGGATTCACGTGACAGGAGTCAATCAGAAGTATCCGGAATAAGATCGGATGAAAATGGCTACGCTATTCTTGAAGGTGACGTTTTGTGTAACTAGCAATATTGAAGTCAATTTTTTGATTGGGTCAGTTACAGATAAAAGGGTGCTCCCGAAGTATGCGAAACAAGATGGCGGACATCGGAACGTAACATGGGTAACAGGTTAGGGTTAGGCGATAATTTTTTTCCAATTTTCCTTATTTTAGTCCTATTATCAGTATGAAGACTAGCCAGGAGCCTCCCGTAGTATTTATACTTAAAATTATGGCCTAACCCTAACCTAGTACACATATTACATTCCGATGTCCGCCATCTTGGTTTGCATACTTCGGGAGCCCCGATAAAAGACTTGCTTACTGGGCCGAAGCTCAAAACTAAATATGAAAAACAGAATAAAAAAACAGTAAATTTACAACAGCTTCTTTTTTCACTTCTTTTTTGAATGAAGCATACTTTCCCCTTATTATCTGTTATTTGTAGTTTATTGCTATCTAGTTATTTTCGAGGTGGGGCGCGAGACTTGACAAAAGGGGTAATAAGAAGGAATCGCGGCTTAAAAGGTTTAAAAAACACTGCTTCAAAACATATCAGCTTTTTATAAAAAAAGATTTTTCTTCGTTTATGTTCATGTTATTCGTGTTTTCCTTATAGGTGAAGAGATCTATTCTAATATTGACGACGATACCCCAACGATTCCACCTTCGATTCCGACTTCTCCACCTCCGCGTATGACTCCGATCACCGCCACCACAGGAATGGGCAACTCAATAAATGAGGGTGAGTTGTTAAAAGTGTTATGAATTTCAAGTACGTATAAGTAATTTGAAAGTGTTCACAGCTCCCTGCCCAATTAACGCTTATTGACCTCAACTGCTTCAATTAAGTGTGCGCAACCTTAAGTGATTGTTTTCGATCAGGAGCGTGCACCCTACGGCCCGTAAGCCGAATACGGCCCACGAAGGAAAAAACTTTGCGACCCGCGAAACAGGTTTATGCCCATAATGTTACAATACGAACAACCAATATCACAAGATCAATAACCAAATTCTTGGGCCTTCAACTGCTAAAAAGCATAAAAGTGCGGCCCGCGGTTTCACCCAGTTATTTGAATCTGGCCCTACTGTATTAAAGCCTGCACACCACTGTTTTAGACCCTTCAAATGAAGAAAAAACTGCCGTTTCTTGGAAGAAGAAATTTGTAGTTTTATTCGTCGTTATGATTTTTATCATCACTGTATTGGTCTGCGTGTTTACTTTGACACTGGTGAGTCTAATGGTTGTTCTTTCTGCTTATTAGATATATAGAGCTGTGGTAGAAAAAGCGTCGCAAAACCATTTTTTGGCGGGGAGGGTGGCAACAATTTTTTTGGCATAATGACGTAATACGACGCTTACTCGTGGCTTTTGTTCCGAACAAGGCCAGATATTGGCGGCCACTTATTTCTAAAAATATCCTAAAAAAAACTCTCTACAGACGTAACTTCGCTGTCGAAGTTATCCAAGGTATACAACCGTGCATTTTCATGAATCTCGTTCGGGTCTTTTTGGTGAAAAGATTATTGATAGCAAGTTAGGAAATGTCGGTGTTCATAAAATCGTTCAAAAATAGAGTAAAATGGTGTTTGATAAGACATAAGAATTCATGTCTCCCTCGCTGCAATGCCACTAAACTGCATTAAAAATATTGTTGAATTTTTTTTTTAATTTTATTATCCTTTTTTTGGGGGGCTGTGCCAATTATAACTAACGGTAGGCACCTTCGGCAAGTAAACGACTTAAAACTGACGTGTCCTAACGCTAATTACTATTGTAAGTATTAATTACAACAGCCGGGTCTAGCGTGATAAACGACGCACCTCCTTAAGCAACGCGTTTACCTAAAATCAAAACACACAATTTTCAATTAAGCAGGTATGTCCCATGTCAAAGAGTATGGCGTTCCACGCGAAAACGACTTTTATTTGAAAGAAATAAAAATTTTACCAGTAGTCATTTTTAGCACCGCATTTTTATTTGGCGTTATTCAAGCCCTAACGCTTTTACTTTTTTAGGCCCAAACTGCCATTGTTACCACATACACACGTGCACGGCTAATAATTAATTTATGAGCAATTGTTTTTATGACTTCAAGCGAGGTCGTTCGTGGGTCATAAATATTTTTAGTTTGCAGTCTGCCGACCACTGGTCTAGGCTAAGATTTTGAAACAGAGAAAGAATTCCCCGCAGGGTGTAAAGTAGGGCAGGGCATTTCGAATCGAATAGTAAATTATTCGAATCGGTTCAGAGCGAAACTTCGAATCGCCACCATCTTGTTTTTTTCTTTCCGCCAATTGTCGAGTTGAATTTCTCAGTTTTTTTATTGTAGCCATATTTTTTCAACGCAATTCTGACATATGACTCTTTTCTGTAATGAGTTATTGATGAAAACACGTTTTTTATTGTGTATGAACGCTCAGCAATCTGACTGAGTATTGTATTCTATGTTTTCAGTAATTTATGTGTCTCGAAGACCTAATATAATATGGAAGTTGCATACAATTTTATATATCCCAAGTATTCTAGATTTGATTCGATTCAAAAAAATATTCGATTCGATTCTGAAATCATCAGGTATTCGAAAATGCCCAGCCCTAGTGTATCGGACTCACCTATTGATTTTAATATTTAGAGAAAGGTAAAAGACAAAGCTGCACCGACTCAAGCACCAACAACAAACTGTAAGTTTGTTCATTTACTGTTCTAAAAAATCAGAAATTTAATTTACATTTCATAGTAGTAATTTAAAGATATGTGCTGCACAAAACTAACGCATATGTATTTCTGTAACATTTCGTCCGGCCAAAATCAGACCTCTTCAGGCAAGCAGTTTACAACGACTATGTTGGGTACGTAGTAGTAAACAATCATTCTCTCCCAATGAATGTACTTGATGGCGAAGAAAGTAGTAACCCAACTCAATTTAACACATTACCTCACTACGTCAGTGGGGAGTCGTGATTTCAATTCCCGCACATATTAGCTGAACTCGGTGAATAGCACTGTGCGTACCTCGTGGAACCAACAGTGGCGTATCTACGTAAAATAGCGACCATGGCGAAGTATAAATATGCGACCCCTTGATCGTTGACTGAAATTTAAAGACTGTTGTTGAATAGAGATGTTTGTATGTTATTATTTAAGTAAAAATACGAGTTTAATCATTTTCAAATTATTTTATTGAAACATTTTACGATTAAAACTTTTCGGCGCTCCAGAAGTGTGTGTACCAAAATGGAGGAAACTAATTTTGTTCGCCTACTTTACATCAAGTTGCGTGAGCCATGGCGGCCATAAATAGATACGCCACTGGGAGCCAACAAAACCCTACAGTTATACATCTACACAAGTTTATAAATCATTTTTCACTCTTAGCTACTTGCAATGGAATAAAGCAACAACGAAAATGTTATTTTGCCAATGAGTGTAAGAAGTGCAACTTTAAAAAAGCATCGTCTCTTTGCAAGAAGAAAAATTCCACGCCAGCAAATATATACGGTCTGCGGCAATACAACCGAACGATGGAATATTTAAAAAAAATCACAAAAATTGGATCCAAGACGGTGATAGTTAGACTTGGAATGAAATACAATACGGCGGTGAGTACGATCAGTCTATTCGGCGCTTCAGAAGTGTGTGTAGTGTGTACCAATATGGAGGTAACTAATTTTGTTCGCCTACTTTACACCAAGTTGTGTAAACACTGTAAAGGGACTGAAGCCTATGGGTAGGGGGTATTTTCACTTGACTATCACAGACATTCCCCAAACTAGCAATAGGACTAAAATAAAAAAAAATTAGAATAAAATTATGGCATAACCCTAAACTGGTACACACACTACAAGAAAAGTATCGTCTATTCTAGGGATGCGTTAACTTCATTTTGCAAGAGCGGTATTCAAGGTTCCCTCTAAGGTGCGCACCTGCGCAGTACCACCATACCATTTGCGCGGTAAAATCTCATTTTTGCGCACTTGCAACATTATGTTTTCAAAGTCTCGTTCGTCATATTTTTCAACGCTTAGCTAGAATGTTCGTTCCATTTTTCACGTTTGATTTGATTGTCACTGTTCATTGTGATGTCACACGCACGTTCTGATACTGAATCTACAAAGTTTGTAAATCGTTTAGAACTCTTCTTACTTAAAATATTCATGATCACTAAAACAAACATTCTCTCAGTGTGAAATTTTTCTACAGGGAACAGTGGCAGTAATTCGGGAAATATTATTGCAAATGGTCGTATTATGGAAAATACCTAAATTTTCAAAAGACCTTATCATATAGTTTACCTAAACTAAACTTTAATTTGTAAAATATCCCGATTAAATAAATTTCAGATTCACGAATCCGAAACAAACAACTAATCCCATACTTGACACGGACTGTTACAGTAACCGGACGAGTAAATAAGGCATCTTATCAACTTTCCTCTTCGAGAGATAAATATATGAAAAACTCCTATATCTCATAATACTTCATATGTGTTCATTTTTGTTTAGGACGAAACAGTCACGTGGTTTAACGGTTCAATGGCCACCTTCGTAAAATGGAAGAGACGTTTTCCGGTGAGAACAAAGACATTTAGTCACATCGCTCTCTGTGTGAGTGAATATCCGTTTGCCCAAGGAATGGTGAATAAAAACCCGAATGATGAGCTAAACTGGATTTTATGCGAAAGATAGAACAATGGAGCAATGGATGAAGCTCATTGGTGGCCGCTAGGTTTTATCTTTTTTGATGAACTGTAACCAGCGTCAGATTGTTGCTCTCATAGGCCTTACTCCTGATATGGGCAAACTACGGGTAATCTGGCCCGCCTAATGTCTCCACCAACAAACTAAAACCAAAACTTGGTGTTAAAAAATAGCTCAAGGAATTTGTTGATATTGCAATTAAATTTAGTTTTGGCACGAGGTTTATTGTTTTCCACTTTCCCTTTTGTAACACTGTAAATAAAATTCTGTTTATGAAATGTAACATTTTACATGACGCTTACACGCCCGCCAGTCTAGGTAGGCAAAATTTTTGGCCTCAGGTCCAAAAACCTTGCCATCACTGCCCTAAGCACTTAAGATACTATATATAAGACACTTATATATATATATATATATATATAGGGTGTCTCAAAAGTAAGTATACACTTTTATATTTGATTTCCTTTTTAGGTACTCATCATAGGGCTTTCATTTTTTCAGGAAACCTAGTTTGAATAAGTAGTAACATTTAGGTATTGTTTGCATTTTTCATCAACCCACAGAATGTAAAGAAGATTAACCCAAGAAATGTGGTGCAAAATTGCTGTTTGACAAAAAGCATATAAATCACTATCATCTCTTTGACAAAGAAATTTGAAATTAATTCGGCTCCTACACGACGAACAATTAATGCAAATTTTAGCTGATGTAAATATATCAGACAGACCAAGGAGCGGACGCTCTGAGGAAAACATTTAGCGTCGAAAATAATTTCAAATATTTGTGAAAGAGGCGCTGAGTTTGTCACACTGATTTATATACTTCTTGCCAAACAGCAATTTTCCACCTCATTTCTTGGGTTAATCTTCTTTACATTCTCTGGGTTGATGAGAAATGCAAACAATACCTAAATTTTACTCATTCAAACTAGGTTTCCTGAAGAAATGAACGCTCTGTGATAAGTATATATATACCTAATAAACGAATCAAAATTAGAAGTGTATACTTACTTTTGAGACACCCAGTATATTCAAAATAATAATATTAAGAATGTAACTATAGTGTTTCATGTTATCTGAAATTGAATAAGTAAGTTTCAGTTTTCATTACGGATTGAAGGCCAAATTATGAATTATTGGACACGTCAGTGTACATACATAACGATCGTTTCAATATTATGTTGTTCTTGTTATTATTATTCTCTTTTGTCATGATGAAATCGCTTTTCTCTTCGAATACTGGTCCAATTGCTTTGAAATTTTTAGGGGTTTAAGATTGATTTTTTTTTGCCAGAAGGCTATTACTTTTACTTATTTCGAAAATTTCTGTGGACTTCAAGAGATTCGTTTTTTATGTGTCAGAATAAAAAATAGCGACACCTTGTGACGTTTTCATACATTTGAGCACAGCTTTCTTGTTTTTATGATATTTGATTAAGTGTTATCGGGTATCTGTTCTATCGGTTCATACCGGCCATGGAAATAATCATTCCTCCAGATATATGAACTTGGATGCACGCAGATGAAGTTATCAAACTCTTTCCTCCTATAAATATATAAGAACTTTCGGCGGTCCTCCCAAAGTATGTACATGAAGATGGCGCACAATCTGAACATAGTATGTGTACCAGGTTAGGATTATCAGGCTGTGAGCCATCTTGGTGCACATACTTCTGGAGCGCCGTTTCGGCAGTGGTTCTTTAGAAAGAGAAGTAGGCATATCGAATCTTCCTCGTGTATGAAGGAGTGTTCCCACTCGGCGTGTCCTCAATCCCCGTATTATAATAACGTATTTGAGGGAGGATCTCCAACCTGACTCCGCCAAAGGGTCCATAAACACGCAGTTTCTAATTGAATTGTTTCAAAGGATGTTTTTGAAAGCACTTAAATCCTTTTGCAAGTATATGGTTTTAAAACCAAATTATAGCCAATAAGATAAGCTTGTCAACGTAATCACGTGGGAAACAATTCGGGATTCGGCCTTGTTTCCATGTAAGTAACACGCCTATTTATCGAATGTGGGTTAGCATTGAAATTGACAGTAAACAATTTGTGTATTCGTAACCCAATACGTCACTCATATAATATGTTAATGAACCCCATTTCGATCGTTGAAGATGAAAGTAAATAATAGTACTTTTATTTCATTTTGACCTGTAAATATTTTACTACGCATCATCAATGTGATTTCCACTTTTCAAACTTTTTATAATGATAAGCTGTGCTTGCGGTAACACGGTTCTGTATCAAGCATAACTTGGGCGGAATGTTTTCCGCCGTTAGTCTCCTTCGTTAGTTAGGTGTGATGCGTGTTTACTCAAAGCAATTTACCACTACTGCAGCGTGGAGTGTATTGCCATATGATGGGACGTGAATCTTTCCCTTTCATTGCAGCTGCTTTCCTTCTGAATATAACTGCAAAATGCGATTGATCATTGTCGTTTTTATTAAAGGTGTACATACATCGAAAGATTGTTTACATACATTGTACGCTTGAGTGCTTTGTGCAGGAATATCGATCATTTTGCCGTCGAGACTGCAGCTTACTTGTACGCTGCTGTGTTTACTCGTCTTTTTTGCCTTTTTTAGCAGTGATTCGGTACCTGCATAATGTCATTTCAGCAGCCCAATTTTCCTTGCAAAAGGGTTTTAAAATGGCGATCGACAAGGTATAAACGTCGCTATTCCTACTGATGTACAGAAACACACGTCTAGACTAGGGACAGGGGAGGCAAATTTAATAAAACAGATATAGTCAATCATACCCTGCCAGGCCATTGCACTGTGTTTACTCGCTTTAAGTTGTGGTGATGCAGTGTCTTTATGGCAACTTAATACAGTAATACAAGTGCCCCCCCTGGGCTAGCAGTTAGCACACGGTACCCTTCAGTTTTTTAGAAGGAGGTATAGTACATCACTGCTGCTTCTTGTTAGACTGTTAGAGGAGTTGCAACGGTCCACTGATCTTATCTGCAGTATAGCGTTTATATAATACTGGTATTTGTATTTAAAATAGTGCAATAATTCAGTAATTGAATACTAAACAAAGAACTCATATAATGGACAAAGAATACAGCAAGAAACAGAAGAGTATGTTGATAGTTTTACAGAAGAAATATGTAAAATGTCTGCAAGAGAATCCAATTCTGACGAAGTCAATAACGAGGTAAGCAAAGTGTTCCACTCCGAACAATGCTCTGACAATCCGGTCAATAAAAATAATTACAAAATCTATTGCGATGTATGTTAACTTTCAGAAAGAAAGGCAATTTTGTCCTGCGTTATGTGGTAACTTTGTATGTAAACTTGTCAAAACTGTTGTATGATGCAGGCTGTTTTGTTAAATTTTTATTGTTTTTGAAGCAGAATTGTGAGCCCGGCCCGGCCAAATCCCGATCTTCATTTTTTCTCTTTGTCATACCTGACTCCCAATTTGAACACTATTCCTAACTACAATATTTGCTTTGGTATTAAATTGTTATTGATTTTTATGAATAACCTCTCAATTTCTTTTCTAGTGCCGTCCTTTCATTCTCTGCCAATCTCACAGCTCAACTCATTGACATTCGTCGTGGAATGGCGAGCGAGATCACATTGCCTCCTGCGTTAAGGTGAGATCATATAAATGATTGTAGAAGTTTATATGGAACAAGAATAGGGATGGTATAGCTGTGCAGTCGGGGAAATTATTCGAAAATGACGATCAACTCCGTATTGTGAAAAATTGACTCAGACTTTTATTCTCGACAGTCGATTGAAGGGGGCTTGCGAACGCCAAATTTTTGGTATCAATTTTATTTCCCCTGGGGCTCGGAGACGACTCAAATTTTTTCCAACTCAGAAGTCGGAGTGGAAATTTTTTCAAGGCATTAGTTGGGAGTGTGAGCCGATTGTAAAATATCGATCACAGGGGCGTCACCAGGAATTTTGAATAAAGGAAGGGTGGTTCTGAAGTTATTAATTGACAAGTTAGACTGTAACAGCTAGCAGGTCCGAAGGCCGGTAAACGTGAGTTTCCAATAGTCGTGAGGGCCAAAAAAGAGTTTCAAGGTACAAAAAATGGTACACCTTTAGTATGTGTACCAGGTTAGGGTTAGGCCATTATTATATTCCAATTTTTCTTATTTTAGTTCAATTTATGGGTTCGGGGACTAGCCAAGTGACTACCGAAGTATTTGTATCCGAAATTATGGCCTAACCCTAACCTGGTACACATACTACGTTCCGGTGTCCACCATCTTGGTTCACATACTTCGGGAGTACGCAAAAAATTGCTATGTATGATACAAAAATTTTTTTTTTCATATTTAAAACGGGGGGTGGTCCGACCCTTAACCCCCCTTGGATCCCTCCCAACCCCTGGATTCGCCCTTGATCTCTGATCCCGAATTCTATTTCTTGAGTCAAACTGGGTTCCGTGAAACCCTGGGGGTTTGTGATGACTGTATAGGGGTCCGAAACGATATGAAATGAGTCCGATCGATTTTTAATGATTGATTTCAATCAAAAAGCCATCGCAACTTTTTGGTTCAGTGTTGCAGACGAATATTCATTGTTGCCAAAAAAGGAAAATAAAATTTTATTTTCTTCTGCAACGATCTACATGTGTGAGGCAGGATTTTCAGCTGTTATCAATATGATGACAAAAATACAGGTCGACGGACCTACGAGTTTGCATGTAAGAAATTTCTCCGAGAATTGATAAATTGTGCAGTGAAAAGTAACCACATTCATTACATTGATGTCCTTTCTGCTGTGTTCAGTGAGACGAATCGAGAAATTCTAGTCTTTGGTACTCCCGAAGTATGTGAACCAAGATGGCGGACACCGGAACGTAGTATGTGTACCAGGTTAAGGTTAGGCCATAATTTTAGGTATGAATACTACTGGAGTCCCTGAACTCGTAATAGAACTAAAATAAGAAAAATTGGAATAAAATTATGGCCTAACCCTAACCTGGTACACATATCACGTTCCGATGTCCGCCATCTTGGTTCACATACTTAGAGAGTACCTAGTTTTTTATAAATAATGACTCAAGCCTCCCAAATACTGCAACTTACTACTCACAGATATGGTGCTTTCGGTTTGTTTGTCTCGGGACCGGTCATGCATTACTTCTATGGATGGCTTATGAAGACCGTACCAGGGAAAACCACGGAGGCAGCAATTCAGCGTTTAATTATCGAGAGATTAATTCTGTCACCGTTTTTTACCCTTCTATTCCATTCTTTTATGGCTGCTACTGAAGTGAGTTTTTTTGTTTTCTCAATAGGGACGACTTGGACGAGTAGTTGGTATGAGGTTTTTTATAGTGATTTCACGGGAGAAGAAAACCAACAAGACACCTCAGCTCTGGTAACCTCATAGCGAATTACGGTCTCTCAATAGACTTCTAGTCTCAGCCTTATAGCTGGTTACTAGTCCAGGCCCAGAAGTCTATATACCGGTATATACAGTGAATATGATTCAATTTTTAAACCAGGCGAGCGGTAGCGAATGAACCGCTCAGGCTCAACCATTTAACGAATCCTTTAAAGCAGATTACCAGTCTGGACAGCGTATGGAAATAGATATAGTCAGTTGATCATTCCATATTTATATACATAGCATCTACAAAAGAGCGAATTGCCCTCTATTTCTTATACCCAGGCAACAATGAGGTCACTGTCCAAATTATGTCGATATCACAAAACACAATATAAAAGATAATTTTGCTTTTCTTGACCCGAAAGCGAGATAATTGTGTGTTAATGAAGAGATGCCATTTTTTTTATACACAATAGACCAATGGAGTTAGTTTATTCGCTGCCTAACGTAGTAATTGAAAAGAAAATACCAACAATTTTTTTCTAACCGGATTAGATGCATCTCGATTAAATTTGAGGTTTCTCGCAGCAGTCGCAGGGAGCGTGTCAATGCCCAATTGTCCCAGATTTTGTTTAAAAAAGTTGACACTAAAAACAAGGAAACAGTTTTTCACTTCCTGTTTTTGTCACCTTTCACCTTTCTTTTTTAACCCTTTCAGCATCAATCATGGGATGCCGTGAAACTTCGACTCCAAGCAGCATATTGGTTGACATTGACGATGAATTGGAAATATTACACGATCGCTCAGATCATAAACTTGAATTATATTCCACCTGAGGTGAGAGATTTATTTTGATTATTTTTGTTCACTCTGAACATGGTTTGGATGAGACGACACTGTCTACCCAATTTGTTAAACCCCAGGTCAAGGTTTCCCAAAGTAGGGTTCACGGACCCCTAGGGGTTTACACAGAGGGTCCGCAACAATATGTTAAGAGTCTGATCGATCTTTGATGATTGATTTCAATCAAAAAGCCATTTTTCTTTTGGGTTGAGCGGTGCGGACAAATATCCATTGCTGTCAGCAAAGGCAATTAAGAAATTATTTTTGAACGACCTACATGTAGAGAGTCGGACCTACAAGTTGGCATGCCTCAAATTGCTCTTGGAATTCATAAATTGTGCAGTGAAAAGTAACCTCATCCATCACATAAATGTCGTTTTTGTTGTAGTTTTGAAAATGAAACATTACCTATTTTCGTTCGTTTGGCACAGAAATTGATACGGCATAGAATGGGATCCGTCAAAACTAGGATTCCAAAAAGGTTGGGAAACCCTGCCCTAGGTGAGATGATGCTCGTGGGACTTGATCCCAAGGATTGTTACCCCGATGCCAACATATTCAAGTGTAGCGATTTAACTGCTAGTTTAGTAGTTTCCAGCCTTTTATGGCTCTTTCCGGAGACTTTTGCACTCATTGCCCCCGTTTATCATTCCAGTGGTATTTATAGTGTTATTTTGATTGGTAGATTCCCAATCCTATTATGTTTAAACAATTCATGCTCAACAAAGTGAAAAACATTGTGAAATAACTTTATAAAGAATTGAAGCTAGGAAAAACAGAGTGTTGCTTGTAAAGTGAAGAAATGTGACCCCCTTTTTAACTGCTTTGTGCTTCCTCTGGGGCCACGGGACCCTAATTGGTACCCTCTGCTCTAGGTTATCACACCCACAAAACACGGACACCAAAAACGTTGGGAAGAAAGTTATTCCCCCCCTCCCCGAAAAAAAAAATAATAATTACCACAAGGCGATGACCAGGAACGACTTCGTTTTCAACAAAAACATAAATAATAATAACATTACCATTCACAGATGCGAGTGCTTTTCGGTAACTTCTGTGGGTTCCTGTGGACGATCGCTCTCACTTCGATGAAGCCGAAAACAGATTAGACGCACTTTGAAGCAAAGGTTCTCAACCGAGGGAGGGGGATTCCCCCTGAGGCATTGATATGATTCAAATTTCTCTTTTGTATCGAACTCATTCACAACAGGTTCCTTCATTTCATAAAACTATAGCTTCTATAACTCTCTCTCATTCTCACGACATTCCAATAACGAGTTCGCACACCCCATGTGAATCTCTTGAATCCCATCAATGTCCTGGGAGTGAATTTTACTTAGGGGTTAAAATTAGAATTTTAGGAAAGAGTTCTCTTTTGTATAGAACTCACTAGCAACGAGTTCCCTCGTTTGAAAAAACCGTGTCCACACTTATAGCTTTAAAAAACAAAAATGGGTTCTCCCGAAGTATGCGAACCAAGATGGCGGACATCGGAACGTAACATGGGTAACAGGTTAGGGTTAGGCGATAATTTTTTTTTCAATTTTCCTTATTTTAGTCCTATTATCAGTTCGAAGACTAGCCAAGAGCCTCCCGTAGTATTTATACCTAAAATTATGGCCTAACTTTAACCTAGTACACATATTACATTATGATGTCCGATGAACCCACCGGCCACCACTGCCATGGGGTAAATTTTGCTTGGGGTAAAAATTAGAAACTAAATGTGGTTTAACTGTAGTTGTATGCGTGCTCTATGTAATCAATTTTAAGCATTTAGCAGACAAACTACGGCCTGCGGGCCGGATCCGGCCCGTGGAACAATATAATTCGGCCTGTGACGCTTCACTGAATTATATTAACAAAACAACTGTATTGACAATTATATTTTACGCTTTTCTGACCCGGACGACTCTTGAAATCTCACGTTTGCACCTCAACTTGGCATTTAAAAATTCCAATAGCCACGCGCCCCAAAACCTTTTCAAATTTTTGGCTATGACTCTGCTTACGAGTATTCGTTTAATTAAATATATAGAAATTTGAGGGTCTCTTTTCATTTTTCTGATTTGTAAAATGGGTAAAATACGAAAGAATGAAGGTTGAGAACCCTTGCTTTATAGTCCATTGATGGAACCGAATGTTTTTTTTTCAGTGATTCTGTTTATTTTCTTTAATATTTCCATATAATATTAATTTATTTTACTAATCTGAAATATTGAATATATTTTTAATTAAGTTAACGAGGCTTTGTACAAGCAGCCACTTTTATTTATGCCAGGGGCGCACCCAGAGAGGGGGGGGAATGGGCCACCTGAAACCCTCTTTGAAAAATTCTAATATTCAGTATCACACAGTGCAATTAGTTTAGCTTGAAACGCTAGATTTTTTAGAGTTAGACACTCAAGTCAAGACTGTTGAAAACCTACCTGGACTTGCCAGTTGTTGCAATCTAACTTAACAATTAGAAATTGCAGAATTATAATAACAATAACTTTGGCATATGCAAGGTTTCATTAAAATACTGTTAAATAATGCTCTTCTGTAGAAAATTTCGACTCTCTCATTGCCAATGAAAGATTGAATATCCGACTATTCAGATTTTTGACTCGAGTTCTGAGAGTTTAAAGTACACCCCGAATCCAGTAAAATCATGCCAAAGACGAGTCCATAGCCCTCTGTCTAAAATCCTCTAAATGCGTCCATATTTTGTGTACGGAGCACCGTCTTCTTCATAATAACCTGTTAATACTCATCATAAGGACCTCCAGAAGTATGCACACCAAGATGGCGCACAACCTGAACATAGTATGTGTGTACCGGTTAGGATTCAGGTTGTGCGACATCTTGGCGCGCATACTTCTGGAGCACCCATTATAATTTTTCATCTTCTTGATTGCCTTTATATTCTTATGCAATTACATTACATTTGAATGATCGTGTATAAATATGTTGTCTGGGAGCAGTGGCGTGCCTAGAGGGGGGGCGAAGGGGGCAACCGCCCCGGGCAGCAGAACCGAGCTGCAGAATTTGCGTTATTACACATGCTCTTCTAGATGTGTGATGGTTATTCAACAAGGGTTGTTTCCCCGACCCTTGACCCCGGAAAAATGTTTCTTATATTTTATAATTGCAACCTTTTTGATGCTCATTTCAATAAAACAAACGTTTCTTTCTTACTTGACCTTTAGTTGATTTATTCTCGTGTATAACGACATCTATGATCTGTTTAACACCCAAATTATTTTAGAAGTTAGGTATAAGGGGCAGCATTATCAGAAACTCGCCCCGGGCAGCGGACTAGTTTGGCACGCCCCTGTCTGGGAGTAATACTTTTGCACGAATATCGGATTTTTGTAGCCAATTTTCATCTGATGAGACTCTGTGTTATATATATAACAGGGGATCCCAACCGGCGACTACAAAGCAGTTGGAGAGAGGCCACAATGCTAGGCGCAAAACTGATTTTACTCTTCTCTTTACCAGAAAAATCCCAATTCTCCCTAGTTTCATTGTTTGAAGGTATTTCATGGGGTGTTTTCACTTTGTTGGGCATGAACTGTTTGTATATAAAGTGATTTGGAATCAAACCAATCAAAATAACACTATAAATACCATTGGAATGACAAAGGTGCGGCCATTAATGCTAAACGATAACGTATTTATCAATGACAGCAATTTCTCTTATATCGGGATCGTTACGACGAGAAAACGAGAGAAACAGCTCTCTCGACTTGGGTTAATCGTCTTCTCGTTTTAGAGTTAGGCGACCATCCGTATATTTTAATGGTCTTTATTACGTCACTGTAACGTCATAGTGGGGTAGTTTTTGAATAACGTAGCCAGGTGGGGTTAGCAATGACATATCAAAAAATTGTTGCGCCATGCTCACTAGAAGTTATTGTGGTACGGGACTGCACAAGAGCCCGGTTTCCAACCTTTATGGCCCGGTCCCCTTCAAGAGTCTATTATTACTCATAGCCCCAGTGGTGAGATTCAAATTTTTTGTCAGCCGGTTCAATCATACAAATGTCGAATTTTCAGGCGGTTCTGTTAGAAAAGTCATGTAATGCTAACCGGTTCGCTGATCTCATAAAATTCCGTAAGACGGTTTTATAGAACCGGTGCGAACCGGCTGAATCCCACTACTGCATTGCCCCCTGTTCACCATTTCAAAAAGAGTCTGTGAGCAACGCACACATTGCGCACATTCTAGGCGTACTTTGGTGAAGCCGAAGACAACGTAATTGTCGTTCCGTTTTCGTTTCTTGGGAATATTAGAAATTGTCCTTCAGAAGTAGGCGAGATCAGATGGGCTGCCAATCTACTTTAAAGGTCAGAATTCGCAGAGCAAAGGTATTTATAGTGTTATTTTGATTGGTCGATTCCAATCCTTATTATGATCTAACAATTCATGCACAAGAAAGTGAAAACACCCTGTGAAATAACCTTGTCAAGGTCAACCTTGTCAACTACATAAGAAACTACTATTGGTAAGTGAGGTTATACTGGTTTTGGATAGGTTGGGTAATAGGATCGCCGCGAACAAAGGTCTAGTTCAGCATTGACTGGAAAGTATTTATTTTAGGAAAAACTGAAATTTTTATCTTCAGCATTGGCTGACCAATTTATTTTGCACTGGGTGAGATGGCGGCGTTCAACTATCGCAATACAAATACCAGAACGATTCTTTTATACCGATTAAATATAAATTTGGTAACACAGCGCTTCAGAAGTATGTGTACCAAAATGGAGGTAACTAATTTTGTTCGTCTACGTGACATCTAGTTGTGTGAAGGGACTGAAGCCTGTTGGCAGGGGGTATATTTACTTGGATATACACAGACAGTCCCCGAACTCGTAATAGAACTAAAATAAGGTAAATCGGAATAAAATGTCCCTAACCTGGTACACACACCACGGGAGGACCGTAATTTCGGTGGAAAGAATCGGCATAGATTTGCGTCTATTGAGAAATTCAAGTTGTTTTGCTGATTTTTCCAACATAGTGCGTAACCATGGGAGCGGCCATATGTGGAAGTCAGACGAGTTATATAAGAAACGCCTACGACACGCCCTCATTCTGTGGTCACAAATCAGGAATTCAAACTAACTTGATAATATTACTCTTAACTAATTTTTATGATCTGATATGTTCGAATAATATGGGTTTAAAGAAAATCAAACTTTTACAAATTTGTTGAAGTTGAAGTCAAAATTTCTGTAAATCCGGAGTCGGTGCTTGAATCGATAGAATCCGGAAGTTTGAACCCTATTTGAACGTTTTATAGGTGCTTATAGTCGTTAGAGGTTTAAAAACTCAAAATCTCTCTAATTTGTTGGAGTCAAAATTTCAGTAGATCCGGAATCGGTGGTCGAAATTAATACAATCAGGCTTTCTAGACTTGAGGTTAAGAAAAATCAAAGTCATGAGATCTCCTACTCCTACAAACGGCCATTGCCACGATGCTGACCTGGCATTCTTACATTGGATCCTTATGTAACATTAAACAAGCTTCTATTAATAATCTTGCGGTGTGGACGACCTAGTTATATAACGCATATTAATAAATACTTACGAACAACATGGAAAACTTCTCCGCAGAACCCTCGGCCATTTAAGTCCGTGCCAACAATTATTGCGACATGCTGGCGAAATTAGCAATCGAATTGCCGCTCGCACAAGATGCTGCGTTGCGGGATCTACGTTGAAAAATAATAAGTAAAATACTTTTCATTTGATAGTAGTTGGATCGCTCAAGTCTAGGGAAGCTATTGCCAATCGGCATTGCTGGCGCACAGAGTACTACCGCTATATACATATACGAGTCGTATAGTCCAATGGTGTCTGCACTTTTGCTCAAGAATTGAGCCTCCTTTATTTCGTAGTAAGTAACTTTTGTTCAGATATGAGTCTCCCTTGCTTTCGAGGGAGAGCCCATAGCTTTGCTCAGAGATGAGTCCCATTAACTTCTGAGTGAGTGCCCATACCTTTGCTTGGAGATGAGTATCATTAATTTCTGAGTGAGTGCCCATGCCTTTGCTTGGAGATGAGTCTTCTTTACTTCAGCGTGAGTGCCCATAACTTTGCTCAGACAAGAGTCTCCATTACGTCTGTGTGTGTGCGCTCAGCTAGATATTGACAATTCAGTAGCACCTCGTTACTTTTGCTCAGAGACGAGTTTCCTTTACCTGTGAGTGAGAACACATTGCAATTGGCATTTTAGTAATGCCCATGAATTTGCTCAGAAATGAGTCTTCCTATATTCTGAGTGCTCATTACTCTTGGTTATTCAGTAATTGCCTGTAACTTTGCTTAGAAATGAGCCGTCACTTCTTGGCATTTCGATGCTGCCCATACCCTTGCTCAGAGATGAGTCTTCTTTACTTCTGAGTGAGTGCGCATATCTATTGGCATTTCACCTGTAACTATTGCTCAGAAATGCAGAGTGACTGCACGTGGGTCGTACCCAAGGGGTTGCGGATTAGATCTTTAGTCTATTTAAAATATAAAAAAAATGTTTTTTTCATGTATGATTTATTATTGGTTTCTTTATTTTTCGAGGGGGTGGGGTTCTATATAAGTTTTTGCACATTGTTAACTGCTTATCACGGGTCTTGTTATGAGCAAAGAATGTTTAAAAAATTATTGTTTTTCAACAAGTTACAATGGTGTTGCCAAGTTACAGTAAAATTCACTATTTTTCAACACCGTCTGTGTCTGCTACCTGTAAAATCAATAAGCGACTTGCATAATACATAGATAAATATATAAACGGCCTTGTAGCCTAAGAATAAAACCGCAGATGTAAGTTCCCACGCCGGGACACGTTAGTGGGGCAATTTTAGAGCTTCTTCTGTCGCTAGAACGCAAATTTTTTTGTCGGCCAATTCTCGCCCGTGGATACCCTGAGGTGGCTAATGGAATATAAATGAGGCACGCTGAGCTACCAATACACTTTCTTTTTGTGAGTCGAAACGGTGAGTCGAACGTTTTATTTTATTTCGTATTTCTATGATAATTTTTTGCATTTTAAAAGCAGGAATGCGGATCGGAAAGCACGTGTTCAACTGTGGCTTCGGGAAAGGGCGTAGCCAGTCCAATTTTTCCGGTGGTGGGATTTTTCTGTTTGTAACACATCTCTCTGAACAAGGCCGGGTACAAGTAGCCACTGATGTATAATGATGTCATACTCAGCCCTCCACAGACTTACTTCGCTGTCGACGTTATCCAAGCGCACGATTTCGTCTATCTCAGCTGGTTCATATGAATAAAGGTTTTGATATTAATTAAGCCCAATAACGTCGGCTTATCAGTGACTCGTTCGAGAATGGAGCATAATAGTATCGAATAGGACGCATGAGTATGTTTCCCACGTACCTATTCCCCCCCCCCCCCCCTTCTTCCCATGGCTTCGAGCTGGCAATATGAAAAACTGAAAACATTAATTTTTGATAAAAACGAAGTAGCCGCGTACATATTGATTGGTATATGCTCCTCTAAGGCAGGGGTGCACAACACGGGGCACGCGTGCCAAATTTGGCACGCCATACGCTCAAACGTGGCACGCGAACGGTTTTGTGAAAAAAAAATTATTTATGATATACATTAAAATAACACGTTTATATCAAAATCAGCAGTATTTCAGGACATTAAATTGTTTCAATAAATAGATATCCGTTGTTATGTATTATTATTGAAATTTGTTTGTTTTGCGGGAGTTAATTTACAATACCACAATTGTGCGTGGCACGCGACAAGATTATTTTGAAAAATTTGGCACGTATCCTCATTTTAGTTGTGCACCCCTGATCTAAGGCATTGTGTAAAACGACCTCATAAGATCAAAATTTGTGTTTTTAATCAATTTTTTTTTCAACAGAAACAACACATATCTAGATGTTCAGATTTTTATTCGGATTCGCGGTGCTAGTTGGAGTCGCCTTCGGGCAATGGAATCCCAACTACGCTCCGGACCGTTACGGTATAGTTCACTTGTTTGAATGGCATTGGGGCACAATCGCTGATGAATGTGAAAATTTCTTGGCACCAAACAAAATCGGTGGTGTACAGGTAACTTAGTGTACTTATTTTTTTTTTAAATGGATTTTCAAAAGTATGACGTCATCATTTGATTGAGTCATTGACTCCCAATTGATGACGTCACATTGACGTTATTGCCTCACTGAAATCGTTTTATGCTTTTTGAATTGGGTCATTGAAAAGTGTCCTTGAATAATGTGCAACAGTACTTTCCTCATTTCCACGTCGAATTTCACGTCATATTTTGATGACGTCATTGGCTCACTGAAATTGTTTCATGAGGTTTTAAATTGTGTTAATGAAATTTGTGTTGGAATGATATGCTACAGTTCTTTTTGTTCTGTTTAAATAAGTTTTACTCAAAGAAAAGTGACTCGCACTCACTTAGAGGTAAAAGAGACTTGTTAATTCCCGAGCAAAGTTGTGGACGATGACTGAAATGCCAGGAGCAACGCGCGCTCACTCAGACTAAAAAAATAATCATACCTGAGCAAAGCGACCCCGATTTTTGAAAATATATTTTCTAAAATTTCGCGAGCCAAGGATATGCTCAAATACTAGGCTAATATCTTTGGTACTCCTGTAGTATGAGAACTAAGATGGCGTACACCGCAACATAGTATGTGTACCAGTTCGGGCTAGCCATGTGACTCTCGTAGTATTTGAACCTGAAATTATGGCCTAACCCTAACCTGGTACACATACTACGTTCCGGTGTCAGCCATCTTGGTTCGCATACTACAGGAATACCGTATCTTTTATATAGTCACAAAACTAACTAATATTAATTTCGACCACACTTCGATACAAATATGAAATAAACTAAAAAATAAATGAAAACAAGCGACCCAATTTGGTGCTCCCGAAGTATTCGTACCTAGATGGCGCACAACCTGAACATAGTATGTGTACCAGGTTGGGGTTGTTCAGGTTGTGCGTCATCTTGGTACGAATACTTCGAAGCGCCCCAAATTTTGGGTTGCGAGTACTTGCGACAGGAACACTAGGTCGAGAAAAACTGCTGTAAACCAACTAAAGCACATCATACAAATTTAGACTTCATCATGACGTCATATTTCGATGACATCATGTTAGATGACATCATGAACTTCATGAAAATGTCTTAAACTTGTTTAAAATGTCTCATTGAGGCTACACTCACTGCGATATACGGGAACTCTGGCGATTCCTATACACCAGTAGTTCTCGATCCTTTTTCTTTCGGGGCCAATTTTCGCTGCAAAAAAAATCTGTGGCCCGTTATCTTTTTTATGCAAAGAAAAAACTACAAAAAAAATCTTTCCACAAAAATATACACTTTCACTTTAATATTTAGAATTAAAGTTTCTGCACCGTATCAGAAAACAGCATCATCACTCATTGCTACTACAATCAAAATTGACTATGGTAACACAAATAAAACCAGCAATGTTTAACAAGATTATGGCCCACCCAAAATTGTTTTTGTGGCCCAGCAGTGGGCCATTGGCTACTGGTTGAAAACCGGTGCTGAAACCAACTAACACACTAATTCACATTTCAGACCTCGCCTCCAAATGAAAATCGTATCGTTGACACCAGACCATGGTGGGAAAGATATCAACCTGTATCCTACGTGCTTGGTACCAGATCAGGTGACAGAGCAGCTTTCATGTAAGTAATTCGATGACTAGCCATCGTATTTACATATCGGGTACTCCCGTAGTGTGTGTACTAGGGATGGGCATTTCGAATCGAATATTCGAATCGAATAGTAAATTATTCGAATCGGTTCAAAGCTAAATTTTGAATCGCCGCCATCTTTTTTTTTCTTTCCGCCAATAATCTAGGTGAATTCCTCATTTTTTGTTCATTGAAGTCATAATTTTTCAACGCAATTCTAACATATGACTATTTTCTGTAGTGAGTTATTGACAAAACGTGTTTGTTATTCTGTGTGAACGCTCAGTAATCTGTCTGAGTGATGTATTCTATGTCTTCAGTAATTCATTTGTTAAGAGGACCGAATACTTTAAAAAAGTCGCTTACAATTATATATTTCCAAGTATTCGAGATTCGATTCGATTCGAAAACATTATTTGATTCGATTCTGAAATCACGAGGTATTCAAAAATGTCCAGCCTTAAGTCTGTGTACTAGGTTAGGGTTAGACCATAATTTTATTCTGATTTTCCTTATTTTAGTTCGATTACGAGTTCGGGGACTGTTTGTGTTAGCCAAGTGAATATACCCCCTGCCCATAGGCTTACGTCCCTTTACACAACTTAATGAAAAATAGGCGAACAAACTTAGTTACCTCCATATTGGTACACACGTATATCGTATTGCGTGTATTTGTTTAGCTATCTCAATCATGACTTTGGAATAAAGGAGAATTCATAATCTAATCTCGAATCGGTTTTGAAAAAATGTGGCTCCGACTCCGCGTCAAAATCAAAGTTATTTTGACTCCGACTTCCCCTCTCCTGGAATTCACAAGACTGAAAAAAATTTAACTTGGACCCTGTACTCCGATGCCAGCTTCGAACTCAAATTTTGATAACAATAACATTGACGTATGCAATTCTTCTTGAGGAGTTGTACTTGAGTTTTTATCACAGATTAGCCTGCCCATTTCAGGATCAAATCCCAAGCCTCACTTAGCCCAGCTCTCGTCCTAAAAAAGAGCTTTTTACTTATCGTATGATACCGATGGTTGCTTGTATCAGGCTTTGGTCGGGGTGGCAACAGTGGTGGGATTCAGCCGGTTTGCACCGGTTCTATATGACCGTTTCACGGAAGTTTATGAGATCAGCGAACCGGTTAGCATTACTGGTTACTGTCAATTTTCTGTTTGTAACAGAACCGGCTGAAAAATATGACGTTTGTGATGGATCCGACGGACAAAAAAATTGAATCCCACCATTGAGTGGCATGCGTAAATAACCGTCGTATAAAAAATTTGTACATTACTCTCTTTTTTCTAGTGACATGGTGGACAGATGTAACGCTGTCGGAGTCAGAATTTATCCGGACATTGTTATTAATCACATGTGTGGCAACGGTGGCGCTCGTAAGTTTGTTTATTATTTCATCAGTTTTTCGGTCACTTTGTTACGTCAAGCGTAGGTAAATTAGCTAATACAAAACATCGCATCAGTTATATATAACTGTGTCTGGAAAATTCGCCGCAGGAATTCTCGAAGCAGGACATTTCACCGCATAGGAATATTCTCCGCATGAAAAATCTCCGCAAGCGAATTTTGCTGTAAAACAAGTATTTGTGATAAAACAGTTAAGTTTATAGGGTTAGGGTATGCTCATAACGAACATTTTTTTAAATTGAAAGGTACTTCAAAAACCTAACTGTTTTCATCACAAATACTTGTTTTACAGCAAATGATCTTGCGGCAATTTTTCATGCAGAAATTAAACCTAGAACAAAGAAATGAACCAAATATAACTGTTTATTGCGGTTCAGCCCACAGAAAAAGGTTGGAAACCTGTCTCCTCATTGTTGTTATAAACTTAATTAAACACAACGGGGTTTCCATTAAGTTCCTATACAATTTCAATTTTGTTATGAAGTCAGTTCTCAATATATCTTAACCATTTTTTTTTTAATTAGTAATTGTTTGAGTATTTTTACTTCATTTAATACATCTGTGAAGGCCAAACAATATATGGTAGCGATAAATTCCCTTTGCAATATAAATTTAAATAAATTTTTAAGACGTTTTGGACAACCGATACATTGATCACACATAACTGTATAGAATAGAATCGTGGAAGTGAGATGCAATAGAAATTTTTAAACTATGATTCATTTGACCCAATCTTCAATTTAGCTTCAACCGGTACCGCCGGAAGTTGGTTCAACCCGGATAAAAACAATCCTGAATTCCCATCCGTACCTTTCGGCGTAAACGACTTCAATCAGGGAAATTGTCACACCGCTAATGGGGAGATAAACAATTATGGAGATGCTGATCAGGTACTTTTGATAATATTTTTCTGTGGTTTTTAAGTTTTTGCACGGTAGAGGTGGTCAAAGGTCATAAAAAGTAGTCTTCAAGCTGTGGTCCGCGGAGAAACATCATACATTACGGCAGGGGTCGTCAACCTAATATATATAATAGAATCCGGCCCGCAACGCTTCACTGGATTATAGTAACAAAACAGCTGTTTTGACGATTACATTTTTTACGTAACAGAATTTATTGTGAGACACGTGTAGACTAAATTATATTATAATCTTACAGGTATAAAATTGACAATAACTCGTTTAATTAGCCTATAATTTAATTATAATTAGACAAATGGCAACAAAACGCAGAAAAGTTGATGCTAAGTGCAAAAGGTTCGATGGTGCCGGAAATATTCAAATGGAATTTCTTGAGATGCAATGCAATTTATCACTGTCTGATTTTTATTATAAAAAGTATCATACGTTCGGTTTTCAACTTTCTAAAAATATGTGCGGCCCGCCAATGACTTGCAACTTATAATTTTGGCCCGTGAGCGACAAAAGGTTGTCGACCCCTGCATTACGGCGATCCTATTCGTTCATTTCACCTAAACAAATTAAATGCTTCTTTAACAAATTTATTACGTGGTCAAATTCAAAATTTTCAACAAAATATTTGGGCTTTGAAAAACCTTTTCTATTTCACTATCACCTAAAAAAGTTTGCCGACCACTGGCAACTTTTTGCTTTATTCTTGAACGATTTACTAAAATCTGACTTTTCCTGGCTTGCTATCAGCAATCCTTTCACCAAATGAACCAACCGAGATAAATGAACTGTCGAGAGATTGTTAAATATCAATGGCCGCTCTTATCTAGCCTTGTTCGTAACAAAAGCACAAGTATACGTTATTGGAAACGTAGTGGACATAACGATCGTTTTGTTATTATGTTGTGTTGTTCTTGTTATCGTTTTGAAGAAATCGCTTTTCTCTTTGATTACTGGACCAATTGCTTTGAAATTTTCAGTGGTCATAGATGAAATTTCCCCCCAGAAGGCCATTATTTTTATTTTTTGCTATGGCGTCTTCAAAATTATGTGGCGCTACGTGTCCATATATTTGAGCATAGCTCTCTCGTATTACATCATTATAAAAAACAAGAGAGCTATACTCAAATATATGAACACGTCACAAGGTGCTGCTATTCTTTGTTCTGACACATAAAAAAACGAATATCCTAAAGTTTACAGAGATTTTTGGAATAAATAAAAGTAATAGCCTTCTAGCGAAAAATTTAATCTTCAAACAGAATCTTCAAAAATTTCAAAGCAATTGGTCCAGTAATCAAAGAGAAAAGCGTTTTTTTAATATCGTTAAAATTCTGTGTCTAAGAACAACAACAAGAAGAAGAGCACCAGCATAAAATCCAAAACGGTCGTTATTTCTACTGACGTGTTTAAAAGTTGCTCCTCTCCCTAAGTTTGCGTTTTCGCGCTTTTGATCTCTATTCGTTAGTTTTCTGTTGTGTTTCGGAAACTTAAATATAAATCAGATAATTAAATGATCACTCGGTCTTCCTAGGAGTTTTAAGTTAATTGCAGGAATAAAAAATTAGTAAAAATATTAAAATAGCCCCGAAAATTTTGCAATGGTAAATAATTGGAAGAATTTTTCGGGGGTCAAAGGTCCATGGAGAGGCGGGTTGTGAACATGGCTCAATAATCTTCATTCAATAAATCCGTTGTTTTTTTCATAGGTGCGCAACTGCATGTTGGTTGGACTTCTCGATTTAAACCAAAGAACCGACTACGTCAGAGGTAAGTCCTAGTGCTTGTTAGATGTCCATATAAAGACGCCAAGACGCGTGCCAAGTCGGGTCACGGGCAAGGCTGGACATTTATAAATACCTGATGATTTATGAATCGAATATTCTTTTTTTGAATCGATTCGAATACTTGAAAAATATTCGATCGTATATTCGAGCATATAAATTACTGAAAACATAGAATCTGTGGTGAAATTCAATGAAATGAAAGTTATATTTTTTTAGCAAATAAACTGATTAATGCTAACCGGTTCGCTGATTTTCTAAAATTCCGTGAGACGGTTCTATAGAACCGGTGCGAACCGGCTGAATCCCACCACTGCATAGAATCCATCACTCAAGACAGTTCGCTGAGTGTTAACACACAATAAGAAACATGTTTCATCAATAACTTGATAACTCACCGACCTTTGGCGGACAGAAAAAAAAGATGGCGGCGATTTGAAAGTCCCACTGGTGGTTTAGTTTATTGGATGACGAGTCCAAGTCGTACTATGTATATGACTCGTGTCACTTCGAGTATCTGTTATATGAATATTCGACGACTCGGGCGCATCGTGCTAAGGCATCGTAATTCCGGAAAACTGGCCGAACTCATTGCTCTAAAAATTAAAAACAGTAACCAAGTATTCCAACGGTTCGCTGGGTATCAAGATATTCCAACAACGGGTTCGCACCCAGACAAGAGTCCCACCGCTGAACATGAAGTTTGTACTCAAGATCTTCAACCCGCGATACCTATATAACTAAGCCCAATGCTTTAACCCCGACATGGGCAAACTTCGGGCCGCGGGCAAAATCCGGCCCGTTGGGTCATTCAATCCCCATAACGCTCCTCAACATTTTATTTTTGTTCATATCTTACGCATTCTTGCCATTCTGTTACACATTCTTTCTGTAAAATGTAACTTTTTACGTCACACTTATACGGCCCGCCAATCTAGGTGGGCAAAATTCATTGGCCCCTGGTTTAGAAACCCAGCCCACCCCTGGTTTAACCACTAGGTCAAAAGTTTGAAAACTTATCCCGTTTCATTCTATTCGCAGGTAAAATCATCGATTATATGAATGACCTCATTAACATCGGAGTTGCCGGATTCAGGGTGGACGCCTGCAAGCACATGTATCCTGGGGATTTGCAAGTCATCTTTGACTCTTTATCAAATTTAAACACAGCAAAGGGATTCCCTGCCGGATCCAGAGCTTTCATGTTCTCGGAGGTCATCGACCAAGGGGGTAAGAATGTATGAAAATGCTGTTAAAATAAGAGGGTAATACCCTTATATTTGTACACAAAAGCAACACAATATCAGCAAAATAACAACCAAGTAATCAAAGAACGTACGGAATAAAATATGAAATAAAACAATGGCATTCAGACAACTTGTAGGTCTATGGAATTTCCCCGACCCTTGACCCCAGAAAAATTGTTTCAATACCTTACTATTGCAGAATTTTGTATGCTCATATTGCGAGTGTTTTGAAGATTTGGCATTACGAACTTAGTTACATGATCGAAAAATATCATTTTTATCATACAACCAGGTTCTGCTAACAGGTACTGATATCTTATTTTAGCATAGCCTATCGCGACGTTTAAAGAACTAATTTTAGATTACTGCAACTAAACTGAAGCTCACCGTCATATATTAACAATGACAATTAAGTTACCTCATTTACAACTAATTTTTGAAATCGCAACTGAAACCCTACAAATGACACGCAACTAGGCAATTCTTGCAACCATGCTTGAATATTTGCCTGGGCTACTGCAAAAAAATGCCATTGCTACGTCATCGTTTACTTTTTGCTGATTGGTCGGGGAAACATCCACCACAAGTAGCTTCGTGGGTCACGCCGTGCGTAATGTTTATTCAGGATCATCAAAATTAAATGTAGAAACGTGCTAGTATTTAAATGATTACAAAATTGTAATACATAATGTCTTGCATCCTTATATTAGATGAAAAAGGGAAGTCCCCAAACTTTTGGGGGTTCATTGTTTTATGTATGTTTTTTTTTTTTTTTGGGGGGGGGGGTCAAAATATACTTAACAACTATCCTATTGTCTGTTATGCTGATCATAGAGTAAATTGAACTTTTATTTATTAGGTGAACCTATCTCTGCGAGTCAGTATACCGGACTAGGGACTGTCACAGAATTTAAATATGGACTGAATCTCGGAAACAACAGGGATGCCCTACACGTATGTTCTGAAATTTTATTATTAACAGTGAATTTAATGGCCCAGGGCAGCAGATTGCAAACTTTTATAATCTGTGGCCCCTTTCCAGTGCCTCCCTCAACTTTTGGCCCCCAACTATTCTATGGACAAAATCTAGAATTGCTGGTAGTGCGTTTGCTCCAGTTTCATAATCTGTGTGATGTTTAACAATAAAAAACACATCCATCATGATGAGTGCTGGAGTAGCATGAAGCGTTTGGAATGCTCTTGCCATTAGACGTGATTACCCTGTGTGAGATAAGGGATATGTGCTAGGCAGGGTTTCCCAAACTTTTTGGGTGGCGGACTCCTGTATGTGAATCTTAATTTTAACGGGCCTTCATCCCATGTCGTATCAATTTCTGCACTTAACCAACGAGGAAGGATAATGTTTTCTTTGACGAAATAAAACTCATTAATGTCTGAATCAATACATACTAACGTAGGCTAACGGCAATTCGATAAGATTATGATCTCTATATGGATATGTTTCAGACCCTTTTCATATCGCTGCGGACCCCCTGTGCAGTCATCACAGACTCCCTGTCCTAGATGGTAGCTGGGCTCTTCTAGGGTGGTTCACATAACAGAACCATAGGATGATTCACGTAATCGCTGGTCGGTCAATGTGTTGGACTTGGCTATGTATGCGGTCATAATAGATGAACATATTGGGTTCAAATCCAATGCCACGACCTCATTACTGGCTGTTTGTTCTTGAAGAACTAACTAAAATTTGAATGTTTTTAGAACCTTGAAAACTTCGGAGAGGCATGGGGAATGCTTGCTGGAACCAATGCGTTATCTTTCATCAATAACCATGACAACCAAAGAGGTCACGGAGGTGGCGGAAGCATCGTGTCATTCGATAATCCATACGGTGAGTAGGAGTTTAAATACAGAATTATGAGTCAAGATGAGTTACACATAATACGAGTCTCGATTCGAATCAATGCATGGGTCATCCGAGAGTCCGAGAAACTTGTGATATGTGTGTGTGGCCCATTCTGTAAAAAAGTGGTTCACCAGCCCTATACATTATATATAAACTTTTACAAGATATGCTGCTAACCTCAAAATATACAATAATGGTAAATATTTTAATACAATGTACACTTGCGGTCCTCTACTCTCGTATGGAAGTCGAGAGTCGAGTTTTACTCCGAAGTAAAGTTAATCAGTGAGTCGAGTCTTTATGGTGGGTAGTCGGATGAAGAGTTCGAGTCGTTTAATTCAGTCAACTCAAGGGTTAGGAGTACGTTCGCCATCGCACCTATGATTACATCTGATAGTTATGTGCGAGACAAATGCTGGACTCCTCGCCGCTGTAGGGACGTTCACGTAACTCTGGTCCACGCTTCTGAAAGCAAATAACAGGATAACTCATCTCATGCCCGACATGGGCTGGTAACAGGACGAGAGACCTTGATTCGCTATATAGGTAAATATTTACAAACTCCTTCTCGATTCCGATTCAATCAAGGGTGTAATAAAGTGTCGGGCATTGCCGAAATGTTGTTTGGAGTCCGGTTTGGATCGAAAGATAAACGAGAATATCGGTCGGAGACCGAAGACTTATCGATCTTAGATTGGTAATTAGTCAATAACTCGCTAATTATACGACATAATTAACCCAAAATCTATAGGCTTCTGGTCCGAGGTAAGATGCATGCACATGCAAAATTTGGAGCAGATTCAACCACGCGTTCGTGAGATATCGCGTTCATCTAACAGACAAACAGACAGACAGACAAAGAGACAAACAGACAAATACCTATCAACATACTTACCAATCTTAAGATCGATAAGTAATAAATACGTCTCATTTAAAAGTGACTAACAGAATCCTATCTTGTATTTAGACCTGAAGATCTTGACTGCCTACATGTTGGCATGGCCATATGGACAACCCCGTGTGATGTCCAGTTACTATTTTGAGTAAGTAAACGTAATGAAACTGTTTTTCAAAGGTAGAGGTTTTTTTGGGGGGGGGGGGGGGAAAGGGGAATCAAAAATAATTGAATAATTTATCATGAATGGAAATATTTTGAAGTAATGAAATTGTATCAATCCGATACATTTTGAATATTTCATACCCCACTGTTTGGTCTCTTGTTGAACATGAAATGGACATATATATATATATATTTTTTTTTTGTTTTGTTTTCACGGCTCAAAAAGTGTTTCTCTTTCCTGCTACTGGACTGATGCATCGGAAACAAATAACTGGCTAATTATTTCCATAACTGACATGGACTGGCAACCAGACGAAAGATCATGGTTTGCCACATGATTGAGCCGTCCTGTCAGTTTCCTCTTCCTGATGCACTGATGCAACTCCCCACTTAACTGGCTAAATCTACATATTTTTAATTTTCAAGCAACACTGACCAAGGTCCTCCTGGTTACCAGAGAAGCATAGAGAGCGATGGAAGTTGCGGAAATGGATGGGTTTGCGAGCATCGTTGGAGACAAATCAAGAACATGTTTGCGTTCGGACAATCCGTACAAGGTAAATAAGCGGTTCCTAACTAGGGAGATTCCCCTCTCTTAGGAAAAAAAATATAGAACATTTTTATACTTGCCAGAGTTGATTTACAAAGTAAATAAGCGGGAACTTTGAAGCACCCCACGGGAGGGTCCCTTAGGGCCGGACTGGGTGAGTCAATCTGTTGAAATATGCTAAATATGCTCCCTACGGGGAGGAAAAATATACAACGTTTTTGGGCTCTCCAGAAGTGTGTGTACGAATATGGAGGTAACTAATTTCGTTTGCCTATATTACATCTAGTTGTGTAAAGGGACTGAAACTTATGGACATGGGGTATATTCACTTGGCTAATGCAGACAGTCCCTGACTGGTAATAGAACTAAAATATAGAAAATTGGTATAAAATTATGGCCTAACCCTAATCTGGTACACACACTACAGGAGTACTCATTTTTTTACCTTCCTGGGTTGAATTTTTTCGTTTCTTTAAAAATAGTAACTTTATACACCCGATGTGTGCGACTGGTGGCTCGTGAACCACAACTCAGTCCACCAAGCCATTTAGCGTGGCGCTTGTCAATAATAAGATTTTTGCCCATCAAGCCTCAGGTCTTGTCTCGCAGACCACCCGTTGCCCACCCCTGTTTTAGAAGGTTTGGATTTTTCATGGTTCGTCTTTGCCTATCCGATTAATCACACTACAGGTGAAGTGGTGGCAGGGGCATGTCAATTTTTTCTGCTGCCGGGGGCGAGTTTTTAAGGATGCCCCCTCCCCCCACCCCTATACATGACTTCAAAAATAGACAAATTATAGATGTTGTTATACATAAGAATAAACAAATTGACGGCCAATTAGGAGTGGAACGTATATAATATTATTATTCAAATCATCGAACTAAGCAACAAACTCACCCCTATAATATGCTGCCCGGGGCGGTTGCCTCTTTGGCATTTCTTGAGAAATGCATTCGGTGGTGGACATCGGATCTAAACTCAAGATGTGTGACCTGCTATGCCAACACAGTTTAGTCTAACACTCTGCCCACTAGGCCACCTATCAGTACCATTAATATACAATGGGTTAAAAAAGTTACGTAAAATTTTTCGTCATGGCAACGTTAAAAAAGTAACTGTTAAAAAGCGTCAGTCGTGAAATGTTAAAATGGCATTTCAACGTAGTTCAATACTGTTAAAAGGTGTCAGTCGTTAAATGTTTTAAGTAGCATTCCATCGTAACTTCTGTTAATTTTACGTTACTTTTTTAACACCCTGTATATATATTTCTACAGGGCAACCTGTTTACAACTGGTGGACAAATGGTAACAACCAAATTGCTTTCTCTCGTGGAAACAAAGGATTTATTGCAATCAACAAAGCAGGGTATGGATATATTTTTCGCCCAATGAACGTTTTGCTCTGCTGGCAGGGAAGGCAATCCACTTATTCACGGGTCGCAAAATAACCCACTGTGTTTTTCAGTGACCAAACAAATAAAAAATTAATTTGATATATGGCCCATTCTGCTAAGTGCCAACCCTTTTTGTATTTTTTCTGTATCACGTTTCATCACTTATTTTTATCACTATGTTTAATATTAATGAGCCAACAAACGAAAGCAAAAAATTAAATTAAATAAAAAAAGAAATTACAGTCAACACATTTTAAATTAATGTAGTTATGGTGATTGGTACCAAGTAAATGTCTTTGGTTATGGCCCCCCAGAGAAGTTCTCTGTGGCTCACTTGGAGGGGGGGGGGGGGGGTCTCAGTTAAAAAAAATGCTCCAGTGACTTAAAAAACATAATAAAAAAATGTATAAAAAAAATTGTTTCAACTTTAGATATGACATGAGTGAATACTTAAATACTGGATTGGCTGATGGGTCTTACTGCAATGTCATTGAAGGAGATTATTATGATGGAAAATGCGCGGGTGAGTGCATTTTCTTGTTAAAAATATTCTGCCCGATTGGTGTTAAAAATACAACAAATTAGTTATACAGTGATTCAAGAGTCTTGCTGCACACTAACACAAATATATTTCTGTAACGTTTCGTCTGACCAAGGTCAGACTTCTTCAGACATACATAATTCAACTACAACACGAAAAGCAGTTACATGCATATTTAAACAATCGTAGTAGAATTATAGGAGTCACGCATGTTAAATAAAATATATTTGTGTTAGTGTGCAGCAAGACTCTTGAATCACTTAGGATTGTTATCTCTACTCTTGCTACAGCATCCTTGCAATATATGCACACGAATCCACCGGCACAAAAGCATAGAAGAAGGATAAGTAGTTAGTCTCGCAGAAACCAAATAATCAGCGTTAGTTATACAGTATGTTGAAACCTCATGTTGCAAACCAAGATAGTTGTTTGGATTATTATCCAGGCTGCTCAAAAATGTCACCCAATTTTGTTTATCAATACTTCTTATTGTGCTTGTAGTTCTTATTTATCATGCATTAAAATTTATTTAAACTTACAATTGTTATTACTTTTTTTGGACATTCTGTATAATTAAACATATCATCTTCATTTCCTTGAAGGTAAATATGAAAATCTCATCTTATTTTCAAATTATTCGAAATTAAATTGTTTGTATTTCCAATGCCCCTACATGCTTGAAACATGCTTATCTCCAGTGGTGGGATTCAAATTTTTTGTCAGCCGGTTCCTTCACAAAAGTTCAATTTTTCAGCCGGTTCTGTTACGAACAGAACATTGACAGTAACCAGTAATGCTAACCGGTTCGCTGATCTCATAAAATTCTGTGAAACGGTTCTGTAGAACCGGTGCGAACCGGCTGAATCCCACCACTGCTTATATCTTATTTCACAAGGAGTGCCTGCATAATACTTTTATGCCTCGTGTTAAAAAACATCATTTGGGGTTTTGGCAACTTTCCTGAATCCTACCTGTGTCTTCATCTAGTGTGTTGTAATTTTTGTTCTGTAGTGCAGTTTGGTTTAAATTATCTAATACCTATCGTTTCTAATCTATTTTTGTCGGTATATTTTGTATCGTTATCCAATCTTTTTATCTACAAAACAGGCGAATGCATCACTGTAAGTGGTGGAATGGCCCAGTTCGGTTTAAATTATCTAATATCTATCGTTTCTAATCTATTTTTATCGGTATATTTTATATCATTATCTAATCTTTTTATCCTATTCTGTGTGTTTATCAAAGTGCAGTTCGGTTTAAATTATCTAATATCCATCGTTTCTAATCTATTTTTATCGGTATATTTTATATCATTATCTAATCTTTTTATCCTATTCTGTGTGTTTATCAAAGTGCAGTTCGGTTTAAATTATCTAATATCGATCGTTTCTAATCTAATTTTATCGGTATATTTTGTATCATTATCTATTCTTTTTATCTACGAAACAGGCGAATGCATCACTGTAAGTGGTGGAATGGCCCAAATCAACATCTATCAATCTGGCGAGCCGATACTGGCGATCTACAGTGATGCTATGACATCAGAATGCAATGTCGGAGGTGGCGGAGGAGCTGGCTCTGGTACTGGTGGTAATGGAGGTATGGTACCTTATGTCACTATTAGAAGTCCTTACAGAAATGATGAGTTAAAACGCATAAATTTTCGAAGAAAACTGCTGTTAAAATTTATTGGATTGCACAATTTTTCTTAGCGAACTCATTTGACCATGAGCTGCAGTTTTAAACACAGCACAAGGCCACCTTGCTTGTTTCTTAGCAACTCTTCTCTTTTACCATCGAATAGAATTTTATTTTGGCATATATTTCCTTTTGGCATAGGCGGCGGCGGCAACGTAGCAACAACCTGCACTGACTGTACTTGTGCCGACAGTGAAAAAGTAGATTGCGGCGAATTGGCGAGCACAGAGGCTACTTGCACTGCTTCAGGGTGCCTCTGGTGCCCCGCTGGGTCTGGTTCGACAGCCCCATGGTGCTTTTACAAGGCCGCGGAAAGTACTGGCACGACAACGGCCCCAGGAAATGGCGGTGGTAGCACAGGTTACTTGTTTGTATTTTGGTGTACTTTTCGAGTATTTACTGGTGATTGTGGATTTTTGGAGTAAGTTTCGAAAAATTGATTTTTATTCCCTTCTTCTTCCTGATACCCTTCTTTGGTCAGCACATACTTGAGAATTTTTTTGATTTTCATTTTTTTATCATAATCTAGTTTTTTAAAAAAAACTGGAAATCTGGGTATTTTTTTCGCTAAAATCTGGGTGTCTGGGAACCTAGTGAATACTGCGGTAATGAAACAATCACAAATTCATGCATCTGAAAGAAATAACTGGCTAACTAATTCCATACCCGACTGGTAACCGGACAAGCGGCTGCGGTTTACCATATGATTAAGACGTCTGAGCGGCTTTCCTCTCACTTGTGATAAATATGTACGAGGTAAGGCTAAAAAGAAACGGGACTGACGTCACAGATTGTGCAACACGATTAACCATCGGTAATCAACACTTTTGCAGTGTGGCGTAATATGTGTTCTATGTTTAACAGCTGTTTTGACACAATATCGCAATTATTTTTGCTTTTCAAGATCCATAAGTGAATGTGATAAATTTCTTGTTGAAAAAAAATGCTGTGCGAGGTCTGATGGAGTTTTTTGGCGATAGGGGGTTCAATTAAAGAATGACGACTGAGCAAAGAATTAATATTAAATTTTGTGTCAAACTTGGAAAAACGGCGACTGAGACTTTGCAGATGTTGCGTGATGTTTATGGAGATTCTTTCATGTCCAGAACAAGAGTTTTTGAATGGCACAAGCGATTTGTGGAAGGCAGGGAGGATGTGGAGGATGATCCGAGGTCAGGGAGGCCTTGCACTTCCACTACTGATACCAACATCGAAAAGGTTTGACAGTTGGTTCGCAGTGACCGTCGCTTAACAATTCGCGTCATTGCCAACGAAATTGGGATGGACAAAGAAACGGTCCGCACCATTTTGGTTGACACTTTGGGAATGCGAAAGGTGTGTGCCAAAATGATGCCAAAGGCTCTTGAGTTGACTGAGGAGCAGAAAGCTCAACGATTGAATGCATGCCGAGTTGACATGCATTTTTCCAAGTTTGACACAAAATTTAATGTTAATTCTTTGCTCAATCGACATTCTTCAATTGAACCCCCTATCGCCAAAAAACTCAATCAGACCTCGCACAGCATTTTTTTTCAACAAGAAATTTATCACATTCACTTATGGATCCTGAAAAGCAAAAATAATTGCGATATTGTGTCAAAACAGCTGTTAAACAAAGAACACATATTATGCAACACTGCAAAAGTGTTGATTACCGATATTTAATCGTGTTGCGCAATCTGTAACGTCAGTCCCGTTTCTTTTTAGACGCACCTCGTAAATTTTATCCTATCCTATTGTAACAATATCTTTCTCTTGTACATGCACATGAAAAATTGGCATAGGTGTTAAAATTTAAATTATTTTGAAATGTGTTATTCTTACTCGTATTTGGGTTATTCAGACGTCCATTGGTGGATTTCTTTTCAAACTCTCGTGACCCCGATACATTAATTTCAGCAACATGGCATTCCAAAAATTTGATCCAAGTGTCCTCACTTCCTTATATTTTCATTTTGTTCATTTTGCAAAGAATTGAAATTATTGAAAACCTTTCGAATGTTCGCTCAGGTGGAACGGGCGGCAACACTTGTACAGATTGCACTTGCCCTGATAATTTGAAAGAAGATTGTGGCGAACTCGCCAGTACAGCCGAGTCTTGCGCGGCAGACGGATGCTTATGGTGCCCACTTTCTACAAGAGCTGATATTCCGTGGTGCTTTCAACCCATTGGATCAATAGGAACAATACCTTCTCCCACAACCGCACCTGGTGGTGAAGACTCAGGTTACAAAGTTCAAAATTTTGCGATAAAAGACTTCTTGGAGTCTAAATTTGTACTTTCCAATTTTCGAAGGTGTCTCAATAACTGGTCAGCTACCCCTGTTCTCAGTTGGGGCTGATACCCAGATGAAAGCCCGTTGTTCGCCACATGATTGAATGCGTCTGTTGACCTTGTGTCTTCACCTTGAAAAACAAAAATTTATAGAAGTGTCAAAATTTTGGATAGCATCGAAGGGGTTACTTCCTATTTTGTTATTCAATTGGTCAAATTGATTGAAAACCTTTCAAATGTTCGCTCAGGTGGAACGGGCGGCAACACTTGTACAGATTGCACTTGCCCTGATAATTTGAAAGAAGATTGTGGCGAACTCGCCAGTACAGCCGAGTCTTGTGCGGCAGACGGATGCTTATGGTGCCCACTTTCAACAAGAGCTGATATTCCGTGGTGCTTCCATCCAATCGGAACAATATCTTCGACCACAGCGCCACCTGACGGTGAAGGATCAGGTTACAAAATTCAAACTTTTGTGGTGAAAGATTTGCAGTCGAAAGACTTCTTGGAGTCTAAAAGTTGTTCGCTCCCCATTTCTGATCCTTTTTCTGGTAATTTCCAATTTGGGAATGTATCCGAATCAATAGCTCGTCAGCTACTTCCATTCTCAGTGGGGCTTTATACACAGATGAGAGGCCGCGGTGTGCCACATGATTGAAAAGCATTTCTTTACCCCTTTTCTCGACCGGGAATAAAAATCTCACTCATCAGAGAAAATCCTATTTTCATCTGATTGTGAAATCTTTAACATTGTACTATTGTTACGCTAGCGGTCATATCTCTCGATTTGAAAATCCTGAAAGAGAGTTACCAAGTTGTTTGTCATCTGGCATTTCAAATTTCTGGAATTTACAAGCTTACTAATTTCAACGATTTTCATTCTGCTTTTTTGCATTGCTGCTTTAAGAATTCTTTCGCTTGCAAATACTTTTCTTTCTTATATCAGTGCTACTTTGTTTTTATTTGTTTTCGATACCTAACCTGACCTTTGGTAAGGTCGAGAAGATCATTTTGAAGTCTCTCATAGTAATGTCTGACATTTTTTTGTCTATCACCCTGTCCAGGAGGTATTAATTTCGGGTAAACAATACCGAACAAAAAAAATATTGATTCTTCCAAAAATAGCTACTTGTTACCCATCAGTGACTTATTCTTCAGAGTGAAAAGCCGGGAGAATGGTTGTATAAAAAGTCTTTTTGGTAGCTGACATAAATATCCTTTCCTGTATCTTGTAGTTGAACTCATTTTCATATCTATATTTAAAATAAGTAAATCCTTCAACTTGACTTATGTTTGTATTTCACACTGGATATCGTTCATTTAACTCCAATATTCAGAATATCTTTGCTATTTGAAAGAATAAGCCTTTCCCGAAATAGAAAGCTTGTGGACTTCTGTCTGATCATAATGGCAATAAAACGAGAAAAAAGGACATGCGGTTCAATACATTAATAACAGTTTTTCTCAAACTGTGTTACGTGTAACACTACTGTTCCGCGAGCTTCTTCAGAGTATTTTGCGAAACAGGGATCAAAATTTTGACTAAATTGGTCGTACTTCGGCGACTGTGTGACGCAAGTTTGTCTCCTAACAGACTGACAGACCTCGTAACAGCCTGGAAAGCATGGCGTTTTCGCTAACCATTCAATATCGTTAATCATTGTCCTTATTTTTTAATTGTCAAGTTTACAGCAAACTTTTTATTACTACCATATAAGCTGAATTCTTTGGAAACCACGCATCTAAAAAAAGCGTGAGTGTTCTGGGCAGAAAAATTGAGAAACGCTGCATTTCACCATTAAGTTTTTGGTGCTCCCTAGGTATTTGTACCAAGATGACGCACAACCTAAACATTCGCACCAAGATGGCGCACAACCTGAACATATTCTGTTCACCAGGTAAAGTTTGTTCAGGTTGTGCGTCGTCTTGGTACGAATACTTCCGGAGCGCCTAATTTTCAATCAGGTTTCCATGACACCCTGGGGTTCCGCTAGTACAGTAAAGGGATTCAAAAGTTTCAGTTCAAATTTGCAATTTTATATTATTATTGTTTAATTAAATCAAATGCCAAATAGGTTTTCTACTGTTATTAACCTTGCTAGGATTTAAAGATAATTTTTTTGGCAGTATTAGCCTTTTAAGTTTGTTTCTGTATGTATTTATAGTTTATATAATTCTGACAATAAGAGACAAGGGCTTCCTCCATTCTCTGGAATATTCCACTGGGTACTGCTCCGCCAGAATGATTGAGAATCACTGTATTACACCCAATCATCCACTAGATTCGATCACGGAACTTAGTCTTTTTTATGCTCACTGATGAAGCACCAGAAGCGCAATACCTCTCCAAACATGACTCTAATGACTTGATAAAGTTAGAGGAAAGGCTACCGATAAATCTTAAAATTTGGGACACATGCTACAACTGCAATTACTTACAAACTCTCCATTTTTTGGGACCAATAGAAATCAGTACCGTTAATTGAAAACTTTTTACTTTATTGTTTAGGTGGTGGCGGAGGAGGAGATGTCCAATGCTCAGACTGTTCCTGTCCTTCAGAGGCTAAGACAGATTGTGGGTGAGTTGGATAGTTTGTGTATTTATCTTGAGGAGAGACTGAAAGTTAGTAGGGAGGATTAATATTGTTTGCTCATATACAGTATTGGAAACTATACACAACAGTCCAATGGCCAGCTCCTTACAAAAACAAAGGGGGACATTAAATTGGCGATGGTGTTTGCATGTTTATTCATATTCACAAAAAGAAGTTTTATTTAGGATTTTGGTACATTTTAGTTAGTTTTGTTACAGTCGTTTTTCAGTCACATGGGAATTATCGCGACATTCCACACCCCCTGAAGCCCATCTCAGTTTATTGATAAATCTGCACTCCCGTAGTATGTGTACCAGGTTAGGGTTAGGCCATAATTTTATTCCGATTTTCCTCATTTTAGTTCTATTACGAGTTCAGGGACTGTCTGTGTTAGCAAAGTGAATATACTCATAGGTTTCAGTCCCTTTACACAACTTGATGTGAAGTATGCTAACAAAATTAGTGACCTCCTTATTGGTACACACACTTCTGGAGCGTCCTATTTCTACATTGAAATTTTTATCCAAAGCCTTTTTGTCCCATGATAAGTTTTTACAGCAAAATATTGCGCAATGATAAATCCAGCCCAGAGCCACGCTTCAACCTAATAATTCATTTTCTTAGTTTCATGGGAATTACTTCGACCGAATGCGTGAACAGTGGATGTTTATGGTGTCCATCTGAAGGTACAAGTGATCCATGGTGTATTCATGTATCTGAGAGCACTGGAGGGGGTGGCGGAGAAGTCAGCTGTTCTGTGACGGTAAGTTAGGATAGAATTCACTTTTTATCTTGGCTGATATGGCGGTTTGATTATATGGCAAACCATGGCCTCTCGTCCGGTTACCAGTCCATGTCGGGTATGAGATTAGTTGGCCAGTTATTTGTTTGAGATGCACTTGATGAAAAGGAAGCTGTGCTCGACCAGCAGTTACATGAACCACCCTACGGTGATGAGAAGTTGAGCATTTCTCTTAATAATTATCCTCGCAGGATTCAATATATATATTTATTAGTCTCCTCGTCAACACAGGGTCATGTTGACTGCTAGCCATTTACGGCTTCACCATCAAGTCCATGCAATTGAAACAAAAAACTGAATAGATATTCACAATACCCGACATAAACTGTAACCGATTTCTAGGCTTTCGTCTCCCCTGATAAATATGAAAATCCTATATGACTGATTCTATCTACAGTGCATTATAACACTTCATAGGCGTTAACTTTTTTTTTAAATGTAATTTGGCAGCATTTACAGTGAGTCATAAACTCTTACACCTTTTTACTCTATTCTTGAACGAGTAAGCTTCGTGTTACGTGTTGCGTCATTAAATAATTTGGCCCACCCCCAGTGGGCGAAAGGTCAAAAATTTCAGGTTGGCTACGCTCTGTGAAAAAGTTTAAATCAGTTACGTTAATGGTTTGGTTTCTGCGAGACAAACTACTTATCTCTCTTCTATGCTTTTGCGCCGTTGGATCCGTATGCATATACTGCAAGGATGCTGTAGCAAGAGTAGAGATAACAATCCTAAGTGATTCAAGAGTCTTGCTGCACACTGTGTGGTTCTAACGATAATAATCAAACTTGTGCTATCCACTGGGCCTCGACAAGACATACTACTTATCATTTTCAATGCTTTGTGTATTCACTGTATTCTCGTTCAAAAAAACCTGAGTTAACTTTTTTTCTGACTATAATAATATTGATAATTTCAAGTTAAAATTCTCAAATACTATCTATCAACATCTCTATACCATGGATAAACCTGCATTTAGATCTTAGCATATCAGTTGAACTATTCCATTTTTACTTGGACTCTGTTCTTGCTCTGAAAGAACTTGTATAAAAACACCCTTCTATTCAATTGATAATCATCATACTTCATCATATGAAGAGTATGTCTGACTTTGGTCAGACGAAACGTTACAGAAATAGGCGCACCGGAAGTATTCATACCAAGATGATGCACAACCTGAACAACCCTAACCTTGTGTCTTGGTACGAATACTTCGGGAGCACCCAGAAATATATTTGTGTTAGTGCAACAAGTCTCGCTAGCTGTTAAAGTATAATTTGGCAATTAGCAAATTAGAGACACCCCATTTTTAAAATCCTTGGATATGCCTCTTTCCTCTTGGCGCTAAATGTTTGGAACAGACTGGTTAATTAGAAAACCCATTTTGTTTTCACACCAAAAACCCCAAGAAGAATAACAATTTAGCAAAAAGAGTTTTGTGTAGAATAAAAATATAATGACTATTTGGTACTCCTGAAGTATGCGCACCAAGATGTCGCTTCTGTGATTTGTATCATGTCATTCACATTAAAAAAGCAAATACAATAATATATAACCTAAGTAATTCAAGAGTTTTGCTGCACACTAACACAAATATATTTTTGTAGCGATTCGTTTGAGCAGAACTCACTGCAGAAGACTCTTCTTGAATCAATTCAAATCAGAACATACAAAATTCTTTGCAAAATTTATTTCAATATTTTCATTTTTACAGGAAACTAGTCGTCAAGAATGTGGTTATTATGGAATCCAACAAAATGAATGCGAGAACAACGGCTGTTGCTGGGCTGAGTCCAATCTTAGCGGAGTACCATGGTGCTACACCGCACTCTAGAAAATTACATCATCAATGATGATGTAAATACCAATCATGACGTCATATTATCAATAATTGTTTTTAAAATTTGGGATCCAGAATTCTTAATAAATGAATCTTGAAGAAACGTTTGTATTTGTTAGTGGGATTATAGAGTGTGAGACTGAGCCATCGATTTTAAAGACCCGGGCGAACACTTTTGGGACCTCCTGAAGTATCTCACCAAAATGACGCACAACCCGAAATTAGGTTGTGTACCAGGCTAGGGTTCAGGTTATGCGACATCTTGGTGCGCATACTTCAGGAGTACCTAATTTTGTAACGAGGGAGGGGGGGGGGGGCACCCGGATTGCCCACTTAGAAACATTGTTGACAAATTTGAATGTTTTTTGAGCCTCTTGAACATCTGAGCAGTTGGTCCAACTATCTACCGATGATTCCACTACTGCTTTATGTGCTAGGAAAATATGGAAGGTGTGCGATACAAACATCTCCTTCTACGTTTTGAGTATGGCTTACTATATCACAAAACCCTTGGTCAGACGAAAAGTTACAAAATCATAAATTTCTGAAATACTTTGCACCCCTTTGTTTCTGAAAATAAACTTTCAAATTTTCTGGAGTTTATTTTCTGATTAGCATGTAATTAGTGCATTGAATATTGATTTTCATCAATTAAAATATATGTTAAAATAGCAGAGTTAGGGTATAATCGTATTTTTTCTTAGACTTCCCATAATTTCAAATTATTATACATTTAAACATGGACATAACCAGGAGAGGGAATGGGTGTTTTAAAAAGCGATTCTAGGGCACAAACTTGTGTGTCTTTTGCACCACCGGTTTGCTCTATACGCTGAGGGATCCACTGATATCCACTACCATTGCTTCCTTAAAACGAACCAACCGAGATAGATGAAATTTGGCTTCCAAATCAAGTAAGTCTGCCGAGATATTCTTCAAGATAGCGATAGATAATATCAGTGGCTATTTGTGCCAGGTTTTGTTCGGAGCAAAATACGCGTCGTATAAACCAAAAATTTGCCCCTGGAATTTTGGCCTGGCTTCGCTCTTGTATAAATGTATATATTAACAGATAAATTGTCATACAAATATTTTTTACTACATTCTGAAATTCTTTTACTTTATATGGAAAAATATATATATATTACTTTGAAACCAAATCATTTTGTCATATTTCACATTCACGATTGTAAAAGCTTAGATGTGATAGTAATAGGTTATAGGTTAAATTACATATTTAACTCTTTGAACTCTGACGTCTCTGAGCGAAGTTACTCGCTCACCCTGAGGGTTCGCGGTGCCGTATTGGTAGAACAATAAAATAATTCTAAATATTGGCTATTTGGCACGCTTATAACTTTTTATCAAATTTAGGTAGCACGTTGTGTGACATTTCAATCGAAAGGAAATTTTATCGTGCATTCAGAATGTATTTTCCAATTTGAAATACATTTTGTCAAAATTAATAAAATTGACCCTAATCTAACAGTGATTTTTCTGCATGTATGTGAGTTTTGGCTTGAAATTTTGTTATTTTGGTACAAAATATACTGCCAATAATTGATGTTCATAAAGAGTTTTTTATAAGCTTTTTGTTGATATTCGAATTACTATTGTGGCTGCCATATAACCAATTTTATATTTAAATATTCAATTGTGTATCATTGTGTCGGGTGAACAACTTCGATAAGCGGCCATGACGCACTGATTACGTGGCTACGCAAAAGCCGATCACGTGACTAAAGTCATGAAGATGTTATTACGTACGTTCGAAACGTATTGCGTGGCAAAATGCGCAAGATAACTCTCACGACGACGTTCTCAGCGGGGCATCGGTCGCCGAGTTTCGATATGATATTAACCCGATATGATTTAAGCACCGATGTCGCACCGAGTAACGCATGCAGTAATGGTGAAGTGAAGGGAAGTTTATATCGTCATATAAAGTTCCGTGGAAAATGTTTTATTCGTCCATCAGTATTTGTTTAAATATCAACCAAAATAGGTACTTGCCTGCTCTTCGGATCAAAATATCAGATTGTACGAATGTTAGGCGAAGCAAGTCGAACTTATGAAGTTCATCGTTCACTGTCGGAATCCTTTAAATTTGGATGAACGCGACGACGTCATGCTGGGACCAGAAACTCACCTGACACATGTTACACCTGTTTCGGTATCATTCGATTTTCGAACTCTATCAACACGTTGCAATCTTAGTACTACTTTATATATAGCTATACAGTATGTCTTCTGAAAGGAAATTTTATCCAGAAGATATATTAGCCAATCTCTATTTTTCGGACGAAGAAGGTTTAAACGAGAGTAGCTATCCTGACAGTGACGATTTTGAGTCAGAATTTGAGGACGATCTCATAATGAATGATTTGGATGGATCAATATCTGAGAGAACTCATAATGCAGAAAGAGCAACTCTTATTCCAGCAAGATCATATGCATCAAGATCGAACGCGTCGCCAGAACTAGATACCCCACCTTCTGATCTTGACTCCATGGATTGGATCAGGGATACTTCAGGATTTACTGAAGAAATGTTTTCACCGACAAGAACTCCGGGACCTATGAACTTACCAGCATTTATAAATTATGATTCGACACCTTCCGAATATCTTTCTTTGGTCTGGGACGAAAATCTATGGAACACATTGGTAACCAATACAAATAACCACGCGGTTTATGTGCTACAAAGAAATCCCAATTCATTGTCTGCAAAATCGATCATAAAGGACAGTATATCAATAGAAGAAATGAAAGCATTTTTCGCATTAAGAGGGGCCATGGAGATGCTGCTGTATAAAGATCGTTATGAGCAATACTGGAGAACAAAGAACACCAGACTTACATACACGCCTGGTTTTGCAGAAATCATGTCGCGAGATCGATTTCTTGCTATATGGTCATTGCTTCACTGCGTGGACGAAAACGATCCAAATGTCAATAAAAGCGACAAAATTTACAAGACGCGACCAATTTTTAACTCTATACTGGAAAAGTTTCAGCATCACTATGCACCGGGCTGCAATCTGTCCCTTGACGAAGGAATGATTCCAACAAAAAACAAGTTGTCGTTTAGACAATACATTAAAGACAAACCAACCAAATGGGGCATCAAAACGTTTTTGGTGTGTGACAGCGAGAACGGGTATATATGCAACGCTGAGGTGTATACTGGGAAGAGGGAAGACAATAACTGTATACCGAGTTTAGGAGTAACCGGTAACTTGGTCGTACGATTATGTGAACCGTTTTATGGTCAGAATCACATCATATATATGGACCGTTTTTACACATCCGTTAGACTCGCAGACTACTTGTTGCGTCAGAAAGTTACTAGAATATGCGGTACAACCATGACCAATAGGAAACACTTCCCCAAAATGATTATAAAACGAAAGAACGAAATGGGCAAAGGAGAATCGGACATATTGTACAACGGAAGTGTCGGTGCCATTGCATGGCAAGACAAAAAAAACAATATATTTTATTACAACGGCATTTTTAGATTCGCCGAACACGCAAGTCCAAAGATACGAGCCAGCTCAACGAAAAAGAGTCGATATTACATGTCCAGCAGCGGTTAAAGCGTACAATTCCTTCATGGGAGGGACAGACAAAAATGACCAAATGACTCGTCTGCAAAAATGCAGACGACACTACAAATGGCCGAGAAGACTGGTTATGAAGTTTTTTGTGTGGGCGACATACAACTCGTACGTGTTAATGAATTTTGTGAAGCCTCATAGCATAAGAGGAAAAAGAGTATTCACTTTTCACAATTTTCTCGAACAATTGTTTGAAGAGCTCGCTGGAGGGAGCAAAATGTTAACGACAAAAAAATACAAGATTGTTAAACAGCATGAGGAATTGACAGATATGAAAAGACTTCAAGTAAACGTACGCCACGATGTGTATAAACCAAAAAATGCCAGCACTAATAACAGATGCGTCGTATGCCGCAAAATTTATAAAATTGCAAGAAAGGCCAATCCTGCCGCTAATGACAAAGAGTTGCCCAAACAATGCAAGACGACGTTCAAATGCAGATACTGCGATGAATACTTATGCATAGGGAATGAAACCAATAATCATTGGTATGATTGGCATAACAAAGTGCAATATTGGGTTTAGAGTGTATAGCAGTCTTTTATCCACATAATATTTTCTTATACTTATACATTTTCTTCTTTTGCATGTTCCTGAGTGTTCCGCATTTTTTTTAATAAAATCACAATCTGGTTCATATTTTGTATGTGTTTATCGGGGCTGGAGCGGGAAGTCAATTTCAAAGCCTAGGGCGAACTTTGAATGAGTGACATCGGGTTAATCAATTGTTTTCCGCGCACATTTAAATAATAACATCTCGCCGTTACGTGATTGCGTGTATCGTTACGCCCGGTTGCATTTGCGTAACTTACGCAAAGTCGTGTGTGACGTGACGAAACATTACGTCGATAAAAACGTCAGGTTGACGTATAGCGACGCAGTCAAATCTACAGAATATCAAACATATTTGGCAACAAAATTTGAATGGATTGTCATACATACGTTGCGGAAGTGTCAATAGAAAGACATTCAAATTCTCCATATATATTGTCGATTGAATATGTGACTATTTAGGCAAGAGGTCGAAATTCTTTATATTAAATATTTGTTATCATACAATAATTTCATACGCACTTTCAAATTGCCAATTTTACTGAAACATCGTATATTAGAGCACCGGTATTTACAGTATGATTAGTCCCAATAACAAGCTTTCATGCAATATAAAATTTATTCAAATACTCATTGTGGTTCTTGAGATACGAGATCATAAAGTTGATTCCTTCCGACACGAAAAACAAGCCGGTAAACCGGCTTGCCGGGGCACAGAGCGTACTCAAACAAGCCGGTAAACCGGCTTGCCGGGTTCTAGAGGTTAACAATACATAACACAGGAAATACGAGAATTGGTGTTGTTTACTGGTCATGTTACTAAAAGTGGACTAGCAGCACAACTTATACAAAACAAAATTTAGTTTTCAAGAATTGTTGTTGTGAGGAGAAAAATAATAACTACTGGATTAATCAGTCGACTTTATTATACCTAATAGGTGCAGATGTAGGTGTATTGCAGGTGTATCCTATTTTATTTCCTGAGCACATTGTTTTTCACCAATTTTTTTTCGCCTACTTTGAAAAGATCACCTCATTGTGAAGCGGTTAGACTTTGCCTCAATATGTTTAAGCAAGGATTTCTATTTTTTTCATCCAGATGCCAAGTTTATAGTTTCTGATTGAAAAATAAGTACGTTTATGCACTGTTAATTAATAAATGAAAAATTGCCTGATTGAATTTTTTTTATTACAGACTAGCAGTAATAAAAAACTAAGGCCCTTCAGTATATGTATTAATAGGGCGGACATGTCTCTTATTATAGATGTTGATCTTGTTTTCTCCGTCTCGTACATATTAATCACTGTCGAATTAGCAGGATTTAATGATAAGCATCCTTGATGAGCCTCCTGAACTGGGGACGCAGCTGGAAGGGCTGCCGGTAGTTGGCCAAAACCACCGAGTTGCAGGCTTGCAGCACCACTTGGGTCACTCCTACTGGAATTTGAATGTTGGTCGACGCTGTGAACAGAATAAGAGGTACTGAATTTTGGGTTCTGGAATGTTGTCATCTTTTGCAGCAAAATTAGAAACAAATGATCTATCTCGAATTAGATATTGCTGAATTGATCTTTATTTTACCATTTTTCATGTAATTCTTTTTGGTAAACCTCTTATCTATCGTATATAGTATATACAGCACATTTGACTATGTTGTAGTGTAACTTTTTTGGCCTCACATTTTTGATATTTGTAGTTAGATCTCTTAGGGCTCTGTCCAACAAAGTTACATGCGAAATATTGGTTGTAAGTTGCAAAGTATGATCATGTTGTTAAAAGAACTTGGCATTTTACCACCCCATTGTCAAAAATAATATGAAATCGTTTAATCTGAAACATGTTTTCGTGAATTTTTTGTTGTAGCTGAATTTGAGGGACAGCATGACAAAAGGTAAGAGAAGCACGGTCGCCTCTTTTAGTTTATGACGGGTTTCTTAAAATGGGATCCCGTCTCCTTGGAGGCCGCTGATCGGTTATCTGGGAGCACGAACAAACAGATGGAAATGCGAATATATATCAACAATGTATTTTTATAGAAAAGAAGAAGCAAAAGTGTTGAGAGTCTTTGGTAGTTTGAAAAGCATTGACATGGAACATAAGAATGAACTACAGTCTTTTCCAGGGATATACTATGAGATGTAGCAATTTTCCCATTCTTGTTCTCGTTATAGCATTATTTTTCACTGCATCGTCGTAATCATCCCGCTGCATAACAATTCTTGCTAACAAATAATTGACTATTCTCCACCGGGTGTGTATCCACTTTGAACCACCGGCGACTGCATTGGCAGGCTTGTATTGTTAATTGCAACAAAAGCGGGTATTTTGAAATAGTTTGAAATAAAACTTTATTATACGCGTATGTTTCAACAGTATTTCCATATATATGGGTCGCGACCCAAAACTGGGTTCAACAAATACCTAAAAGTTATTGATTTTATTTCCTAGTAAATTTGGTGCTTCCGTAGTTTGTGCACCAAGATGGCGCACAACCTGAACATAGTATTGTAACAGATTAGGGTTCAGGTTGTGCGCCATTATGGACACATATTCACAAATAAAAAAAAACTTCATGTCTGAAAACTAGATTGGGCCCAAAAAGGCCCGGACTATCGAGCGTGGATTATAAAATTAAATTTGGTTAAAACTCGCAACTGCCATTTTGTCGCTAAATTTCAGTGAAGCAGCGCGGGCCGGATTATTTTACTCCGCGGGCTGTAGGTCACCGACCCCTAATGTACAGTGGTATTACGTGACTCAGGTACACATTTTAGTGTCCATGACCATAAAGGCGGGAATACAAAATTGCATTCGTAATTTTTGTTCCTGGGCTCAGAAATCACTTTGCCAACATACAGAATACGGAAACTTCACTGTACCGGTGTTGCAACGTTACAGTAGTTGTCAGTAGCATCTGATCTATAATAGAATGAACAAGATTTTCGAAAAAATTTTGTAATGAAAAAAAAAGTAATAATATTGTTCGAGGCAGGTCAATTTTTAGCGATCTCGTAGTATGAGTACCAAGATGGCGCACAACCTGATAACCCTACACATACCACGGGAGCACCCAATTTTTTAACAAAACTGTTTGAAAACGAAAATCCACCGAATATTAAAAATATATGTCCGGACGGTCGTGGTGCATATGTATGTCTACGTACGTTTGTAATTGTAGTTCTTTGTAAGCAACCAATCTCATTTTCCATTGCCATGCGTAGCCCAACACGAATAGCATATGAAAAGGCCACGCTGCGTGATCGCCAACCACACCATCGATTATGTAGAACAAAGTATTTCGTATTGTTTACAAAGTAAACGAAACTAAGGTATCGGTTCGGATTGTTCAATTCACATTGCAACCCCATGTACGCCCGATCGTGATATGTTTTTGTGATTTTGTAATGTTTCGCATGTTTGTTTGAAGTAAGGGTAAAACCGTCTAGAATCATTAATATTATTTTAACAATTCATAGTTTTGAAATTGTAAAGAAAGTTTAGGGCTAGGTAAACTGGTATTGATAAAATAAGTAATTTATTGTTCTCTGTTTATCTAATGTTATTTAAATGTTTTTGATATCTGACCGATCTTAAGTTGAAAAAAAAGATCTGAAATTCAGTGGTGGGGCTGTAATAACAGTATTCAAACTACTGAAACAGCCACCGACCCTACTCAAGATTGCATATGGATTTACTTGTGCTACGCATAGATATAGAAGGAAGAAAAAACGGTTCAGAACATTACTATAGGTCGGGCACTATAGACCCCAAATAGCTGTTTGGCATATTACATGGCATAATAAACCCCAAATAGCTGGACGCTCCCGTAGTATTAGCACCAAGTTGGCGGACACCGAAACATAGTATGTGTACCATGTTAGGGTTAGGACATAATTTTAATCTAATTTTCTTTATTTTGGTTCTATTGCGAGTTCGGGGAATAGCCAAGTGACTCCCGTAGTATTTGTACCTAAAATTACAGCAATAGCTGTTTGTGGGGCGAAGCGGTAAAGTGCTACCGCGAACGACTGATAACTCGGCTTACTCGTGATATGACAATCTGCGTCTCGTTACTTTTTAATATTAAGTATGAGAATACTCAATTCGTTATTCATTATAGGATGCGTGGGATTCACAGTGCTTGTGAATGCTTGCTTAGGGGCCTTTGTGGAGTGAAACAGTAGTGTTACCGCGAACGAGGTCACGGCCTTTTTCAAATTCGGTTAAGCGGGTCCTCGCTGAAATTCAATGACTTTCTGCGACACAATCTACTAGTCAAAAAGGAATACAATAAGATATTAAGCGAGATAATGAGTTACGTTGTTGAGTTGAAGCGATGCGTGACAATAAAATAGAGCGTGAGAGCGGCACAATTCACGTTCAACGAGCAAGGTTAAATAAACAGGACTTTGCAAAGATAAATGTGGAAATAGCGCGTTATTATTGAGTAAGCTTAAATAAGAGAGGTCAGGTGAGACGCAGTTATACGTTTCTTGTATTTCTGTTATCGTACGAGACCTTAGCTTTAGACCCTAAATAACCCTTATGAATTATTTTGTAATTTTCAACCATATATAGTACAGTAGTACCATATTATAGTTTGATAGCTTAATAAGTCGAAGTCGAGAGATTTTACAACGAAAGAGCGGATTTGTATGTTATTACCACCGTTAATTTTCATGTTTTAAACCTTATTTGACATTTTGCAACGTCCCTGGATTTCATCCGGTGCGCTTTGTCATGTGTACTGTGACTTTTGTACCATGGCCCCACGTTAGGTCTAAGTTGTAAGTCATTATATTGTACCGTGGAAAATTTTATTCATACGGGGAAACGCGAAATTACTGGATACGCTGGACTCGTAAAACAAGGTTACAATAAATAAGATTTTATACTTATTCAAACCTTAATAATAGGGTACGACAATTTCATTTTCTTTTATTTCTAATATCTTAATTTTCAGTTAACATGCTTATTTCCAGCGAAACATGGGCCGGCGTCTTCCGTTATATAGTGCCCCACTATAGTTAAAGCTGACTTCTATTACGAGATATATTACCCAGTATGTTCATCGGCTTTTCATTTTACGGGTATTTTCTAATTTAGGAGGTGGCAGATTATTAGTGATGTGGCTATTTGCAACTTGTAAAAACGTGTTACGTATTCGACTGGCTACCTGCACTGGTATATAAGCCACTATTCAAATACAATTTTATTAAGGCCTACCTTAAGAATTAAAGTGTGGTGTTACATCTCAAAATTCAGGGAGGTGTTTGAAATTTTAGGGAGTGACCACCCCCCCCCCCAATATAGAGGATGTATGGAAATTAATGATACACCCTTCTTTTAAATCTTTAGAATTGGTTTCCATTCTGCTGTTATGCAGTTATAAAATTGTTGGTGGATAGGGCTGGGCATTTCGAATACCTGGATTTCAGATTCGAATCGAATATTTTTATATATTGTTTGTGATTTTTTTTACTGTGATGGGTACACCAGCCCAAATAAATTACTGAAAATACGGAATCCACCACTCAGACAGTTCGCTGAGTGTTCGCGCACAATAATAAACTTATTTTATGTCTGAATGGCATTGCCAAAATATGGCTTCACTACAAAAAATTGAGGAATTTACCTCAGACTTTGGTGGCCAAATAAAACATAAGAATGCGGCGATTCGAAGTTCTCGTTTGAATTGATTCGAATTATTTACTATTCGATTCGGTTCGAATATTCGATTCGAAGTGCCTCGCCTCAGTGATGGATAAGTAGGTTGGCAGCTTGTTACTGCCCACCACAAGCTTTATGTTTGGTTATATTTGTTTAACTCTAAGGAAATAATCTTACTTAACAAAATATACCTGAACTGCTACAGGCTAACAAATATAAGAAAATAGTGCCTGATTTACTTACTGGTATCGCCCCACCACAAATATTCTGATCTATTCTGTTTGGTTTTGCTTATGATAGATTGAGCTGAGATAATTCTTTTTTTAACTTAAACAACATGACGCTGCGACCTGAAATACCACTACAACTGCAGGAAAACATCCGCAAATTAGTCGCTCAGGGGAATCCCCTCGGAATAAATGTTCCAGGTAAGTAAAAAATCTAGTATTGAATGGCGGTTTTTATTTTGCTAATATTGACCCGCTGATAGCAACATACATAGGAATTTATTGTACCGCAGAATCCATACAAGGATAGCTGGAAAAATAGGTTTTCTAACTTTAATCATTGGGCCCAATGACATACATGTCGTCAGGATGAACTTATATTTTTTGTTAAATTTGCTCAAAGCAAGCTCCAGCGCCCTCAAATAAAAGTGCTGTTGGAAGAATTACTGGCAATCATAAGACCCTAAGACCTTAATGAGGTTTACGCATTTCGACAGATATGTCAGACGAAGTTGATTTCATCAGCCATGGCATAGGGTATAATAATATTCCGTCAATAAGTTGTAAACGAGTTCATACATCTGAAACAGATAACTGGTTAACTAAATTTGCATAATAGTGGCAGGGCGAGAGGCGCGCGGTACATCGCATGAATAAGCCAACTTATTGACTTCCCTGAAGTAAATATAAGTGGGTCGCCCTATAAGTAAATATTAGTTTAACAATTGCATGAGGCCTTTAATTATTGTTCTATTTTTGGTATAAGGTAATACTGGAACTTTCTTGAAATTTTGCAAAAACAATTTCAAGCTTTGCAAAGTCCTAACATACAAAGAAAATACGTAAGCTCATGTAGTACACCGCTGACAAACATAGATAGAGATTTATACCAGGGTGGGGTTTGTCGCCTTTTCAGTGGAAACCTATTTTCAATTTATCTAAAGAAACTTGGAATTAAAATTTGATAATTTTTTTTACCAATTTAATTGTGCTGCATATCGGATGCTCAATGTGATATCTTATATTCATATAAAGTTTGTTCAATATATGTTGTGCATGAAATTCATTCAATGTGAAGTGTTTATGATACATAAAAAAAAAAGAATAAAAAATAAGAAAATAAAGTTCACGGTACAAATTTATTTTATTTTCCAGGTGGAATTGTACAAAGTACAGGACTCACTTTTGCAAATCCGCTTCTGGCACTTCATGGATTTTGGAAGAGCAGAGTGTACGAGGTTCTTGCACTTTATTTTCAAACTTTATAAAAAAAAAATTACCTTAATATTGACTAGTTAGTACCTCGTTTCACAACGGGAAAGAAATTCCCCAGGAAGGAATTTTGTCGTTTTGTGAAGGAATTTTTCTTAGCAATTGCTGCAGTATCACTAATATACTTTGTCATTCTTATAATACTTATTTAAACACACAAATACTTGAACTGTACAAAAGCGGGAGTGGGACTCGAGCATACCACTAGCTAGCTAAGAATCCATTGAAGATCGAACAAATAAAGTAGTCGTATCCATAGTAAGGGAGGAATAGAGAATTTCAAAATAGGTGACGGAAAGAATTTGACGAGATAGAATTTGGAACCCCTAATATAGTAAAAGTGACAGCAACAACAACTTTGATGATCCGTCGCACACTTCCATAGACTCTCAACCCTCGTGGCCACCTGCTCTCCTATACAATACCTAGTTACTTATCGATCTTAAGATCGGTAAGTATATTGATAGGTATTTGTCTGTATGTATGTCTGTGTGTCTGTCTGTCTGTCTGTTAGATGCACGCGATATCTCACGAAAGCGAGATTGAATCTGCTCCAGATTTTGCATGTGCATTCATCTTATCTCGGACCAGAAGCCTATTGATTTTGGGCGAATTATGTCGTATAATTAGCGAGTTATCAATCAATTATTGATATAGTGATCTATAGATTTTTGTAAAGCGAGAGAATTTTGAAACCCGCCGAGTGTGTGTGTGCGATGCGCAGTGCGCAAGTTACAAGAGCGGATGAATCGAAACTGCAGTTTCTGTTTTGGGGGATCCCCTAACTATCGATCGATAAGTCTTCGGTTTCCAACCGATATTCTCGTTTTGCTTTTAACGTGTTTCAAGGGATTGTGTGTTACATTGAATAACAAAAAGTCATTATATAAAAGCAAAATTGAGATCAAAATGAGTTGAAGATTTGAACAAATCACAGCCAATTCACTTTGAATTAATGTAATCTTCACGAACGGTACGTCATGAAGGCCTTTGCTTGTTGGCTGCTTAGTTCGAAAACGGTAGTTCAAGCATTTACAGCTGACATCGACAAACTACGGCCCGCGTGCCAGATCCGGCCCGTTGGGTGATTTAATCTGGCCCGCCTGATGCTGCCATAATATGCACTCCATAGTTGTTGTTATTGAAATCTGGTATGTATAAGTTTTATTTTAGGTTGGCTCAGACATCCATGTTATGGGGACCTTAACAAAACTTTTCGTCACATTTACATGGCCCGCAAGTCTAGGTGGGCAACATTTATGTCCCCTGGTCCAAAAAACTTGGCCCCCTCAACATACAGGGTGACCCCAAAAAAACGGAACCCATACAATATGTTCCAAATGGACTGGGTTCTGTTTTTTTTGTGTCTGACTATTTTAAAATTTGCTTTTTTGCTTTTCACAGGTCCATTGTAATTGGTCTGAGGTGACTGATTCTGTTGACGTCGAGTAAGTAACTTGATTAATTTCAGTGTTTTATATTGTATTGGCTCAGGACAGAAGGTTTCCAACCTTTTATGTCTCGTTCCCTCCCTCCGCAGGCTTTTAGCACTCATGGCCCCTCTGTTTATCATTCAAGTGGTATTTATAGTGATATTTTGACTGGTTGATTCCAAATCCCTTTAAATTCAAACAATTAATGATTAACAAAGGTAAAACATCCTGTGAAATAACCTAATAATAATAATAAGCAATGAAACTAGGAATAACGGAGAGTTTTCTTGTAAAGGGAAAAGTAAAATCAGTTGCGCGCCTAGCATTATAGCTGCTCTGTGGGCCCCTTTGGCGGGCCACGGGCCCTCCCTTGGAAACCGCTGGTTTAGAAGATGTTAAAAGCTAGCTCTCACAATAGGGCAAGGATTCACCGATACATATGGGGCTGTTTTTTTTACTCAAAGCCAAGGGCATATGCTTGTACTCTCACTCAGATTAAAGGTGTATATTCGAATACGTCACTGCAATAATGACACCAGACTTTATATTATGACATCATTTCAAACTAATGTTGTCATACTTTCTGTGTAACATTAATTATGTCGCTACTATAATGACGCCACATCTCATGTTTTGATGCCCTGCAGATCCAAAATAATGATTACTATAGTGACGTCACAACTTATTTTATAGCTCCATTCCAAACTGATGATGTCATTCATACATTTTCATGTGCAGTGCTCTCGTGTAAAATATTTATATGCCACTTGCTCAAATTCATTTTCAGGAAACTCGACAAAAAAAACTTGTCGGCTGAGAAAGTTTACGAAAAGCATGAGATGCCCCCGTTTAAGGTAAATTATTTTTCACTATTTATGGATGGTCTAGTCCAGGGCTGTGGAGTCCAGTTCGGGATGTTTCCACTGGTGTCGAAGCGGGAATCTAATTTTTAAAATCCCCGAATACAAGTCGAGATATCGTTTTTATCGGAGTCGGAATCGCTTTCAATAGCGATAAAAAAGTCAGGAGTTAAAATTTACTCCAGTGGGGTAAATCTGACAATCATTGGGGATAAAATCTTGCGAGCGAGAAAGTGCATGATCAAGTATAGCCATTAACCACATAGTGGATTGTAATGTTGCTTTTCAGCGTCCCATGCTGCTCAATAAATGTTGCTATGCACTCGCTGTGTTGAAACTGTCTAATCTTGCGTCATATTTCACTCAGGGCATACTGTAAAAGACAGTATAAATAATGCACAGTTGAAGACTAAATTTCATTTTTGAAATTGGCCAAGGTAGAGTAAAAGTTTAGAACTGCTGATATAGGCCATCGAGTCCCAAACTTTACTATCACAAGCAATTTCATTTTTCTAGCTCGGCGACAGAGTTAAAATTGTCAGAAAGAATAAACGACTTTTCAAGATTTTGCACAAAAAAGTTGGCCTATGGAGAGAAGGATTAACTGAGGTAAGACACCAGTGACGTTAATTATGGCGTCATGATTGATGACGTCACTGATACATTAGGAAATTTCGTATAAATCGATCATATTTATTTTTTTAAATGAAGGACTAAAAATATGTGGTTATAATTTCAGTAATGTGTGGACCTGCCATGTAACTGATATCTTCTTTTTCAGTTGATTGGTAAAGAAGCAATTGTTATGAACGTCTTGTCAAAATTTGCTATTGGAGTCGCCTTAACGGAAAGCGGAGAAATGTGAGTTTAGCTACATTGAATTGATTTGAAGCTGTCTCTAATACTTGAAGCTACTATTTTTGGTGAAAATCATTTTTTTGCAGTTTGCACGCTAGGCGATTCTCCTAAAAAATATCTGTTCAAAACATTATAAATATTGGTGCTCCCGAAGTATGCGAACCAAGATGGCGGACATCGGAACGTAACATGGGTAACAGGTTAGGGTTAGGCGATAATTTCCCCAGTTCCCCCCAGTTTGGGAAGTCAGACTTTAAAAAACAGGCATCCAATGATGCCTAAGGAGATAATATTTATCAAAAACGTTCTCATCAGTTTATTATAGGTCTAACCCCGTACTTCATTTTATTTCGCTTGTACAGGGTTTGGTGTTACGAATTAGGGTATAATCTGGGGGTGCTACTTACCGTGGGTTCTACCGCTATATGTAGCCTACTCAGGTGCAACAAATAAAGTGTTTATCACTAAAATAAATGTATGAAAGCTCCATGCGGAAGGGATAATTTGGCGGTAGACCTACATCTTGATAATTTCTTAGTGCGTTCAAATTAAGATTTCTTTATATACCAATGTAGTAAAAGAGAGGAAAGCCTATAAATGCCTAATAATCTCACAATTCGTATCCTTTTGTCCAGCCAATACTTCAGGTCGGGTACGTGAAGAAGAGAAAAAGTTTCAGTTAATTGTTTCAATTGCATGGGTGTAGGTAAAACACAGAACAGTTGTAATCAAAAGAATTGTTCTGTGATGACGAAGAGTCCAGTAACTATTTGTAGTTTTTTCAAATAACGATTTTGAAACATTTTTATTTTAACACAGGGCCCAGCTGCATGGATTTGCTATTGAACTTGTGAAAAATGGCATCTACAAGGGACTTTGGCAAAATAATACGGAGTTTAAGGTTATTTTTTTCTTATTCATGCCCTTTTTTCCAAATGAGGCCTCGTACAGGCAGTTAATAAATTTCAACGATAGGTAAGGAAATACTATATTTTTCAAAGAAACGGAATCTTTCCGATTCGGTATTGCCTATTACAGTATTTCCCAGCCTATGGGTCGCGACTAGGACTGGGAATTTCAGGGAAAACACTTTAACCGTTAACCGGGTTAAATAGACCGGTTAACCGGTTAATCGCAGCGTGCCGTTTGACGTAAAATTTAATAATTTTAGTTTATTACGTCACAATGGTTAAAAAGCAATTTTGCGTGTTCTTATCAAGGTATCTCAAATTATTCACCATCGAGATAGTTTCATTGTCAAATTTTCATAATAAGCAAATTGGTACTTCGTTTATTTTTCACATTTATTAGGTCCTTACCAATACAGTTAGTGATATTCTTAAATAAGCCACAGGAGATAAATTTGCAATGACGTAATCATTTTTGAAGAAATTGTACATTAGATTTATGATTGCACCAGAGATGTCAGTTAACAGTGAAGAAAAATCGTAACTGTTAACCATCTAAAATCTGTTAATCGGTTAACCATTCCCATCCCTAATCACGACCCAAAACTGCAAGTGCAGTTCTTACCACTTTGAGGCGTTTGAAGCTGCCACAAAATCATGGCAAGATTGCCAAACCACGGCCGCTATGATCAAACCAGCTAACTTTTTAGCTGCCACAAACAATGGCGAGAGTCTGGATACCACGGCAGTAAAATAGGAACCACGGCGGGTATAGTATGCTGCCACAAACCAAGGCATGTAGTAATTCAGTAAAAGATTAAAAGTTCATCTTCTTAATGACTATCCATAGAAGAGTCCACGTGTTATTTCTTATATTCAAGTTGTGTTGTTTGGGTCTGGTGTCTATGCTCTGTAATTTGGAACGTTCAGTTAATAATAAAAAAAATTTGCTCAAATCTTGATAACTTGCCCTTAGGGTTTGCACATATCTATGAGAAGAGTTCGCTTGAAAAAAAAGGAACCACTGGCCTATTACACCCTCTTAGCAATTACATTCTGGATGAGGTGTTGGGCATGGGATTCAAACTGAGTTATGTAAAATGCAAATTCAACACAATTATAATAATCAGCTCTTATTTTCAGGTGGACGATGAGGTGGTGATCGGAGTCGAAAGCGAAGTCTTGGCTCATTTGCAGAGAACAGTCAGGAAAACGCCTCACCACATCGCTACTCAGGTAAGATTATTTAGAAATAATTTGAATTATTTTTTTCATATGCGGTGACTCTTGCTCAGAACAAGGCCCTGCGAATGCAGCTGCTGCTATGTTGAGAGTTACTCAAAAAACAAATCTTTTTGATCCGGCATTGCTTACCCAATTTAATACACTTTGGATGAGGTTGGGGCATGGCACAGATTTGACAAAGCTCAAAGAAATTTTTGAAATAAATAAAAAGTAATAATCTTCAAGTGTCATTCTTTAACCACTGAAAATTTGAAAGCGATCTATCCAGTAGTTAAAGAGAAAAGCGATTTTTTAAAACAACTAGAAAAATAATACCAACAACAACAAGACTAACAACAGCAACAATATAACAAAATATAGGTCCATTCGTGTCCCATAAAGTAATCCACGAGACAACTCGTATAAATACATCTTGTTTCAGTTCATCGGTTGCATTGGTCGAGTGATGTGCGTCTACAGAAGGGAGGTCGTTGTAACTTTCGATGAAATGCGACAGTAAGTTGATATTTATAATTCACATGTTTCAAAATTTTTGTTTCAAAAAGGCCCCGCGCAAGCTATCATCGCCGTTAAAAGTACGTTATACTGTTTTGTCTTGAATTGTTTGCACCAATCGGTTCTTACTGATTTGTAAGGCATCAACTCATAGATGGTTACGCAACGCTCTAAGTACTCTTAAAATTTTAACTTTTCATTTTTCTCATTTTCAGTGAAATGTTTAATCCTGCTGCTCTGAAACTCTACAAAAATAAAGAGAAAGGAGACAAAAAGAAGATGGCTAAGAAAACATCGAAAACTGTACGGATTTCAAATTTTTTCACATCTACTGTTCATTGTGCATTAGTTGCCACATACCCAACATCTTAACCCGAGTATACTAAATTGAAAAGCGTATAATTGTTATTTCAGTTTAGTCTGTATGGCTGTTCTTAGAGAACATCTCTCTAAACCTGGGGTTCCGATTTAGGGTACATGTACTCCATGGGTACAATTCGAATTTCCATGGGTTGAGTTCATGATTGAGTACAATGCTATTCTTTTGGTACTCCTGAAGTATGTGAACCAAGATGGCGACCACCGGAACATAGTATGTGTACCAGGTTACGGTTGGGGGCTTCATTTCAGGTACAAATACTGTGGGAATCACTTGGCTAGTCTCCAAACTCGTACAAGAACTAAATTAAGGAAAATTAGAATAGAATGGTGGCCTAACCCTAACCTGATACACATACTATGTTCTGGTGTCCGCCATCATGATTCACATACTTCGGGAGTACCATTCTTACCATAACTGCGGATCTGCCCTAAAATATTTTTTATCACCTGCTGTTAAAGTTTGGAGAGCTCCTCATGAGAAGCTGTAACTACAGCTGAAGTAACTACCCTGTTTTCCTTTGCAGTTTATATGATATATGTTGTCTGGGGTTGAGAAACCCCGCTCTGAGCAATAGCGAAGAGAGGCTTTTCAAATCCAGGCCGGCCAATTTTTCAAACCCATCATTACTTAAAATTAAGTATTAAGTGCAATTGTATTGTATATATGCATTTTTAAATTTGCTCTAAGCAAGGTGTCGCGTACTCAACCAGCAGTAGGGCTGGGCAAAGTTACGATCGACCACTGAAATGTCAAAGAGCTAAGTAAACTCACCTACAACTAAATGGGACTCATCGAGAAGTTGAAGCGATGCTAAGAGCTATCGGCAGGGACGTAGCCAGCCCTTTTGAACCCACCCCTTTTGAAATATAGAAAAAAAAAGAAGCATCTTCCTGTAACACTCATAGCAATTTTGCGTAGCTTGAAATGTATTTTAGACCCTAAGACTCATGAAACACACGTTTTCAGCGTTTGATCGGACCCGCCAGCTGTTTCGATCTAACTTGGCAAATAAAAAGTTCACAATCCCCTCCCATTTGAAAATTTCTGGCTACGCCCTGGGTATCGGGCCCAAAATTATTACCAAGCACCGGGGAGAATTGTACATAGAAAATTGAGTTGCATTGTGTTAGAAATTGCAATTGCATGAAATAGTAGCCACTCACATGGTCAATTGGCGCTTGTACAGTGACTTATTTGAAGTGAAAACATCAAGAAGGTTGCAAAACAAATTGCCCAAATTATTGTTTACCTTATACTCAAAATTTTTCATCGCGTATAGGAGTTGTAAAATACAACACAAGAGACTCCAGATTTCTTTTTTTTTTGATTAATTTACCATTCTCTGCCTACAGGATATAGAGGTTGGAAGTCACGCTTTTGTTAAATCAGACCTTCGCATGGTGATGCGGCAGCAGAGGGGACACGGTGAATGGCATCTTGAAATGACAAAGGTAGGGAAAAATATTGAAGCATGAAACTGCAGAATAACTCACATTGAAATTGGGTTCAGTTATTCTGTCTCAACCAAAACCTAGTAAAATGAGAATCCGGGAGAGCCACTGAAACGGCTTTTGATGTCTAAGTATAATTTCAATTTGTGAGTGGTCCATAGCACAATGGAAAACTTCTGAGGGCTTTAAAGTCTGGGGAAATTCACAACGGACTACTACTGCGGGTTGAAAACAATTTTGGCTCCGCGTGAAGAAAATTATTGACTCCGATTACGGGTATCGAACATTTTTGGCACCAACTCCGAGCTTGCGAGAAAATCAGAATTTGATAACATTAACATTGTTGTATGCAAGTTTTTAATAAACTGTTATTACACAATATGCCAGAATGTTATATTGAATGTTTTATTCCCCCCTCTCTGGCTATGCCCTATCCCAGAGTTTCCCAAACTTTTTGAGCCGCGGATCCCTGTTTGTGAATTTTATTTTTGACGGACCCCCATCCTATTTTGTAATAATTTCTGTCCCTAACCAACGAGGATAATGTTTCATTTGAAGAAATAAAACTCATGAAAGTTTGAATCTATACATATATATTGAAGTTAATTAAATACTGGTAGGCCAATTGCAATTGATGAGATTATGATCAATCTGCTACCCCATATCCGGACTGCCGGTACCGTACTAATTGAACTTATGGAACTAATTTATAGTGTATATACTCGTGTACCGGTATATAACTACAACCTCACACAATTAACTGTATTTCGTTTCATGCCTCTTTCTTGCAGAAACGTTAATGGGCCTGAAAGGTAACCTAAATAAAGCAAAGTTGCACAAGTTATCGACAGGTGATAACTCAGTAACCCACACAATCAATTATTACCGACGATGTAGCTCAGTGACGAAGGTCTACCTCAGGGCTTCCCAAACTTTTGAGCTCGCGGCCCCTTTTAATATATTAAAATTTTTCGCAGCCCTTGTTCATGTTAATAATGTTAAACAGTTCGAAATACGCATTTTTACTATTTTATTGACACAGCTACCGTAATTCTCAACTTTTAGTAGGCCTACTCAATAACAAGCACACATTTACTCAGATTAACGTTACTAAAATATTCAGTGTAATGGGTGCGAATGCTTTTTGCTGCATAGCAAATCCAGCCGGCATGGTTCTTATCCGGAATTGTTACTCACTCTTATTGATCAAAATCAAAATGTGCGACGCCAAATTATCAGGGAATAAAACTCGCGGCGCACATACACGAAAAATATGCTGCCTCAAAATAAAACACAATTTTGTCATCATTACTGTGTACCTCATGCTTTTTGAGATTTATAATCATGTAGGCCAAATAAATAAAGGCAAAAAGTTGGAACTTTTCTTCTTATGTTCGATAATCTCGGTTGAACTGCAGCCTAAAAAATTGTAGTCTGTATAGTTTATCTCTTCTGTTATGTAACAATAGACCCTACGCAACAGAAAGTGAACAACATAGAACGGTAAATTGAATTTGATTTATATACAGATCATTTGCAATAATGGGAAACAATAAAACATTCAGAATAAATAAAATATGTAAAATATTCAATCATATATTAGTTAATATTTAACACAAATATCCTGATTTTCGAGGCGCACTTAGCAAATCGCCCTCGGGAACCGCTAGCTTAACGAATAAAGCCGGCATCGTTATGCAAGCACACGCAAATCGGGTCATACGATCAGAATATTCATTGGTATGTAAGCGCCTGAACTTTAAAAATGATTAAATTTTTTCTTGGTTCAAAAAGCGTTGCGCACTCCCATCCCTTTTGCGAATTTGTATTTATATAAAGCAGGCTTTTCTACCAGGGCCCATTAAATGTGATTTCACTGACTGTTGTTAGATTTTGTTTGTTCGTTTATAATTAACTCATTGCAAAAAAGGTCTTTTATTGAAAGGTATCAATACGTATTTTCACAGGGAGCCGCATCTTATTTGGAGGGCGTCCGTTTCGTAACCACTGAGTCCAAGTCGATAGCAAAAAATCTTTTCTACTTTTTAAATGGTTAATTATCTTTATGTAGCAGTTTTAAATAAAAACGTGCTATTTATAAGTAAAAGGAAATCGTTATTCACATTTGGTATATTAAAAAATCTTGTTATTCTCTACATACCCCACAAATAAGTCTTAGTGTTATTTTCGAAAGAAAATTGAAGACACTGTTTTATTTTGGGGGAAACACGATATGATGATGTATGTATTCACTTATAATCGTGAAATTTTTGTTTTACACCATTTTTAATAATTGTATTTCAAATCAATAGTCTGAAAAAGTACAACAAATATAGTACTTTGTGTGAAATTGGTGTTCTCTTTGCGGCACCCAAAATTCGTTTCGCGGCCCCTTCGAGGGCTGCGGCCCCTAGTTTGGGAAGCCCTGGTCTACCTCACAGACGCTAAAACTGACATGGGCAAACTACGACCCGCGGGTCAATTCCGACCCTTTGGGTAATTCAATCTGGCCCGCCCGATGATGCCACAACCGAAACTAAAACCAAATTTTGATGTTTTACCTAAAAAATAGATCAATGAATTTGTCGAGATTGCGATTGAATTTAGTTTTGACACAAGGCTTGCTTTTGTTTTTCACTTTACCCTTTGTGACACCGAAGACATTGTTCATAAAATGTAACTTTTTTACGTCATACTTACGTGGCCCGCCAGTTTAGGTGGGCAAAATTTTTGGCCCCTGTTCCGAAAACCTTACCTCTGTGCTAAAAGCAAGAACCGTTCTACAACAGCTACTTCACTCCCATTGTCAAGGTTTTGTAACAATAACGATTTGCGATTGGGTGAACTTTATTTCGTTTACAAATGTCTATATGACAGTTAAAATGTATATTTTTCCGACTATTTTCATATCGTCGCGGACCCCTCTGCAGTCGTCACAGACCCCGAACCCCAGTTTGGGAAACCCTTTTAGGCCAGAGCTGTGGATTCGGAAAAATTGCTCAGTTCTAAACAAAAACATTGGCGAATGCTAGCTTTCTTTACAGACTTCTAAGAATACATAAAAAACTTATTTCATTTAGATTTTCTGCTGAAAGTTTAGTCGGATTAGTTAGGCCATAATTTATTTTCCAATTTTCCTTATTTTAGTTCCATTACAAGTTCAGGAACTAGCCAAGTATTTGAACCTGAAATCATGTACCCGAAGTTATGTTTTTATACCCGAAGTATGTGAACCACGATGGCGGACACCGGAACATAGTATGTGTACCGGGTTAAGTTTAGGCCATAATTTCAGGTACAAATACTACGAAAGTCGCTTGGCTAGTCCCCGAACTTGTAATAGAACCCTAGCCTGGTACACATACTACGTTCCGGTGTCGCCATCTTAGTTCACATGCTTTGGGAGTACCACACTCTGGCATATTGTATAATAACCTTACGTAAGACTAACCAACTACTTTTCTTGCTCTCTATGCACAAGTGGATCCTTATGTGTATAATGCGAGGTTGCTGTAGCAAATAACTATTTTAAGTGATTCAAGAATCTCACTGCACGCACTAACACAAATGTATTTCTGTAACGTTTTGTTTGACCAAAATCAGACTTTCTCAGATAATCAGACAAAACGTTACAGATATACATTTGTGTTAGTGTGTAATAGGATTCTTAAATCAAATTGAAAACTTATACTTCACTGTCATCTGCTCATTTACTTCCCGAGCAAGTTTATTAGACAAGCATACACTTATTTGTATAAAGCTATCATATATTCGCAAGGAAGCCTTTGCGATCAGTGTATTATATTATTTAGTTAAAAGCTGATTTCATTTCTGATTTAGTTTATCGGGAAAAGGGGCGACGTAGTGGACAACCTTCCAGGTGGAGATGTGAATGTCAAATTCAATACGTTTGAAATGTAAGTTTATATATTTAATTAAAAAACAGTCAATATTGTTTTGTACAATTGGTATTTACTGGGTACAATGTTCCTTATTTAATGACAAAGACTGCTTTAAATTTGGAGGATTTTTGTATGGATCAGAATTCAAAAACAACCAGTGCCATTGAACTTCATCGAATGTCAATTTAAATAATAATTTCATGTGAATAAACATCTTCGATCGTAAGGGCAATATCTTGTGTTACCTGTAGACTGGTGACGGGCCACGTTTGGCAATATTGCTCCCTAGAAAGCAAAGCAGGAGGGTCATGAGGGGAGACGATGGCGCATTCTCGAAGGTCTGAATTATCTCAAAAATTGTTTTGTTTAGTTGTTAACCAATTGTAAAAAGATGTATTGATGTATAGATTGCTGCAAAGGGCAATATAAACGCTTGAGAGCCACTTTCTAGACCGTAATGAGGAATAGTTTCATTATGTAATTTTTTCATTTCAAACATGCTCATTAACCCTAAAAACCCAACTTTGTCGAGTACAACTTCATAAACAATGTTCCATTAAAATACTTTTGTTTACAGTTACCGAATGAACAGACAAAACTTGTACTTTGGGGACAAAAAGCGAAACCGGAGCGGAACAAATCCGTCAAGCGATGCTTTGATTCCGTTTGTGGTAAATCTGTTTTCGTTTTGAATCATAAGTATAGCAAGTCGTGTAGGTAATAAAGCTGAGGTCTGATGCCCGAGCCCGATTCGGGTCGGTCCTGTAATGTCAATAATTACGTTCGGGCCGGATCGGTCTCTTCTCTATCCCTGACTTTTATTTAAATGAGGCGTTTTGGCAACGGGAGACCGTGGTCTGCAAAAAAAACAGAAGTTGCCTCATCAACACGACACATACTGTACTAAACTTTTGCAATGACAATTCAAGGAACTCCTAAATAAAATATGAAATTTCGTGTTTGCTTCGGTCTCGGGCTTGCAAATCCAGTTAATTAGTCGGGTCGGGTGGGGTTTAATACCCACGGGCCTGGGGTTTTCGGGCCAATCTTACCTCTAGTAGGTATACATGCGTGCTAATAGAGTTCAGGTATTAATATGTAAACCCCGTGTCGCGAGTCAACTAGAGTCGCGGGTTAGAATCGAGCTAACCACGCCAATCAAGTTTCACGGCTGGTTAGTTGAATGCCAGTCAAAGTCATTTTATTTACTCGATTCACGTCGAGTCTTTAGTAAATAATTAATCGTGTCCAACCCAATCACTGAGTTGAGTCTCACTGGCAGTAAGTTGATGACGTTGGCACATGGTAGCTGGAGTTAATGATTTGATTTTCATTCCGATCATTTGGGTCACTTCGAATCGAACCAGTTCCTGTCGAGTAATTGTCAATCTTCTCGTTAGGCATCAGTGGCTCTTGTATATTGCCTTGTTCGGGGCGAAAGATGTAAAAGATGAAAATAACAAAATTCATCAAAAAGATCAGAATTTTCGCGCAAATGATACTTCTTGTAAAACAACCTTTATATATACATTTGCATTCAGGTTGGCGACATCGTGCGACTAAATATCAACCCGGATGACCTACAAAGCCACCTCCAACTTCTTCGAATACCAGCTCAGTTTATAACGGTAGTATTCTTTTATTCAAGGCAAGGTAACGCAAATCTCTGATCACCATGTATGACAGCGGTTTCCAAGCGTTTTGTCCGTGCGGCGCCAAATTATCAATACGTAACAATAGAGGCAGACGTAACGTAACAGAAAGTAAACGACATAGAAAAGGGAAATGAATTTATTGATTCATATACACTGCATTTAAAATAAACAATAAAACATTTATAATAAATACAATAGGTAAAATATTCAATCATATATTGGTTATGGTTAACACAATTCTGTTTATTTTTGAATCACATTAGTGCGCCGTACCCACCCTTCGGGACTGGGATAATTATGTGCGATGGAATTGTGAACTCTTTGCTACTGTAGGATGGTTTATGTAACCACTGGCTGGCCGAGTCCACCAAGTCCATGCGTTTGAAACAAAAAACCGGTTAACTGTTTTCATACCTTAACTGGAGTGAAAATTTTCTGAGAAGATTCAATTCGTCGTGCGTTTAAAAAGACTATTCAAATTTCCCCTCACTCTTGGAATAAATATGAAAAAAAGAGCATGTGTACTGGGGTATGGTTATTTTAAATTTCATATAAACACTCAAAAATATGGGCACTAAGACAAAATCAGCCAAATCGCAGTGAATAGGGGCTTCCTACATATCAGCAATTGTTTGTCTAGATAAGTGGTGTTTTTTTCAACTGAGGCCCAAATAGTAAAATGGAAAGGTTTCAAGCCCAATAAGCATCATGTTGGTGGCAACCTACCTAGCAGAGGCCAAGATTTTGTTAGATGCCGGTAGCCCGGTACTATAGTTGAAATGAACGTAAAGTATGATCGTTTGATAAATGAACAAAAACCATTTGGAATTTTTTTTTATATGTTATGTTGTATTAATTAATTGAAATTTATTGGAGGCTCACTAGAAAATGCTAGGCAGTCCACGATTGGTCGGCGGCACACAATTTGTCGATCACGTGTCTAGAGTCTTATTGATAGAACGGTGTGAAGTACCCTATTGATATGTCAGGAAAAGCCGAACAAGGACCAAAATTGCGACTAGATTGGTCCTCATCATTTCAGCCATACTTTGCCGACTGTGGGTCGCAAATTTGTCTCCTAACTGGCAACAAACACGACACGACAGGCTTTGCTACCTAAAAAGGCCTCTTGCCAGTCTGAAAAGAAGGGCGGTTTCGTTAACAGTTCAATACCGTTAACCGCCGGCCTAAGGTTTCAATTGTCAAGTTTACAGCAAACTTTTTAGTTTGGCTAAGTTTCTTGAAAACCACCCATCAATTTTACATTCTAATTTCTTAGTGTTCCGCGAGGCGAGATAAAAAGCGCATGTGTCCCGGGGAGATGAAGTTTTGCCTTGTTGAGAGAACGGTGTGAAGCACCCTATTGAAATGTTGGGAAAAGCCGTTACACTTGCGCGATATTTTTTTTAAATTTGTCAATATTTTGATTTAGATTGTTGGAGATCTGGCTGAGTTTATTGGCTACATTGATGAATTCAGATGTGTTGTCAAGTTCGGAGATGGCATACAGTAAGTAATCACCAATTAGTATCAAAGAACTGTAATTAATTCAGTAAAAAAAACGGATTTCACTGTTAAAATATGAAGTTTTTAGTATCAACTTGCTCTATCGATTGGAATTCTGCAAGACTAACTACTTATCCTTCTTCTATTCTTTTGTGCCGGTGGATCCGTATGCATATATTGCAAGGATGCTGTAGCAACAGTGAAGATAATTATCCTAAGTGATTCAGAGTCTTGCTGTACACTAACACAAATATATTTCTGTAAATTTTTGTCTGATCAAGGTTAGACTTCCTCAAACACACTTTGAATATAACAATAAAACTCTTGAATCACTTTGGAAAGTTTTTAGTAATGACCTGAAGTTACATACTGATATCGGGGCTTTTTAAAAAGGTGGTTTCATAGCCTTTTTCCGAACAAGACATTGTACAAGCAGTGACTGACTAAATTATGGGCTACGGTTTTTGAACAGGTCCGACTCTTTTCACTTTCACAATTTAATATTCCTTGGTTGAGGTTATATGATTGTGGACCTGAGATCTTCAACCCGGGATGCTAACACTGACCCAACGCTTCAACCACTACTGAATAGGATAGATAGGATTTAGATATCTATCCCGGGAGAGAAAAGCCGCTAAGACTGCTTAATTATATGAAGAACCACGGCCTCTCGTCCGGTTACTAGTCCATGTCGGGTAAGAGATTAGTTAGCCAGTTTTCAGAAGCATAGACTTGATGGTGGAGAAAGCCGTAACTGACCAGCGGTTACGTGAACCACCCTTCGGCACGTGGAGTATAGTAATCCTCTCGCAGATAATTATCCCCCGCATGATTCGATCCTGCGAACGTATGCTGGGTAATCAGAGGTACGGTGTCAATCATATTCCGAGCAATTAGAACGAAGCGCCACACCGTCGAGCTCAGTTGTTACTAAAAATTACATGAACACACCACCTTGCACGATGGTTGGCACATCGTGCTAAGAGTTGGGAACGTGTTTGTCATCGCACCTTTATCTGTTGGCATAGGATAGTTTATTCAAACGCCAGTTGTACAGGTTTTAATTGCCCCTTTCTTTCCAATCCTAACGCTCATGGTTACCTAGATTGAAGTATTCTGTTGTGCCCCCGTGTTCGACATAGCGTACCCAATGTATTAATGAAGTGCAGCGTTGAGAATCTCAAATCCTCATGTGTGTGACGAGTGAAACACAGGGAAAAATGCAGAAAAAAACATTCAATGAATTTTTCATCTAGATTCGAATCGGGTGTCCAGTTACTGGCAAAGGTTACGGATTTAGTTGCAAAAATAGCCACCCATTTGAAAACAGAAGATCAGGCTATTGGAGTAAGTATGTGCATTATTTGATAGAATTGTTACTCTAAAATTTCCTTTTCGAATAGTAAAAAGTAGTTTAAATGATTTTTTTAATACATGTGGGTTTGAAAGTTTGTGTGCGTGTGCGCTCGCACTGTGTATGTGTTTCCTAGTAGGTATGTGTTATGAAGAATACAAAGACACCTTCCTCCCTTGGCTCTTTTGAGCTCCTAATTCCCCTCTCCCCCTTGACTGCGAACATATACTCTATTATTTGCATATCTTTTTTGGACCTCCAGAAGTATGTGTACCAAGATGGCGCACAACCTGAACATAGTATGTGTACCAGGTTACAGGTTACAGCCCTTTTTTAAATATTTACTGAAACATTTGGTTATGATAAGTGCAACTCTGAATTTCGGACATTTTGAATAGTGTATGCATATATATTTATTACAATAATACTAGAAAAGTGGCGTATCTAGGGTGTGGCAACCATGGCTTGTGTCATGGACGTCTTTTGGGAAGGAGCGCAACGAACCGCAAAGTTTCGATCGTAAAATGTTTTAATAAGATACTTTAAAAATGGAAATAATTTAAACTCGTATTTTTACTAAAATAATGAGTTAAAAGTCTCCCAATTCAACAACAGTTGGTAAAAATTGTCAGTCAACGATCAAGGGGGCAGAACTCTGCCATGGGCGCCATTCTATGTAGATACGCCACTGCATATAAATACATTACAGTATTACTAAATAAGTAAAAGTATTAGTAATGCAACACGAAAAAACAATTTGAAGTTTTCTCACCAAAAATCTGCAAATTTTTTCTTGGTTGGAAAACGTTGGTTTACATCAGGGTCTGCAACCTTTTGTCGCTCGCGGGCCAACATTTGGGGTTGCAAGTCATTGGCGAGCCGCACATGTATTTAGAAAGTTAAAAACCGAACCGAACATTTTTTCACACAGATCATATCTCAAAAAATTCCATTTTAATATTTTCTGCGCCATTGAACCATTTGCACTTAGCAACAACTTTTCTGCGTTTGTCTAATTATAATTAAATTATAGGCTCATTAAACGAGTAATGGTGAAGTATATACTTGATTGACTATATAATTTAGTCTACATGTGTCTCGCAATAAATTCTGTTACGTAAAGATTATATTCGCCAAAACAGCTGTTTTGTTAGTATAATTCAGTGAAGCGGGCAGGATTATATTACTCCGCGGGCTGTATGTTTCCGATGCCTGGGGTACGTGAATACTTGGATATATGAACAGCAAGTCGCATATGCCGATGAAAGTTTAATTTGCAAGTTCACTCTGGCGAATTAATTTGCTCTGCTCAAAAAAATTAAAAAAAACTTCTCAAAAAATTTACATCTTACAACTTCTAATTAAGCATAGTCTTGAGCCAATTAGTATTGTCAAGTCAAGTTTATTTTTTCCAACCAGTACAAAAAACATGGCCATGGTTGCACGTAACACCACTCAGAGATGAGTCTTCTTTACTTCTGAGGAAATGGCTGAGACTTGCCTTGAGGAAATTCTGGGTTTAGTATAGTTTAGTACCACAAGTACTTCCAGTGGGCGCAGCGAGAGGAATTTTGCATATGTTATTCCTAACCCCCACCTGACTATGCCATGCAAAAATTACGTCACCATCACGTCATAGGGCTTGACAAAGTATAATTACGATCGCCCGAAATGGCATCTGCGCCGCCGATAACAGACTCATAAAAGCCGGCGATCTCTCTCCTATCGTGATCGTTGTGACGAGAAAACGAGAGAAATAGCTTGCTCGATTTCGGGTGATCGTCTGTGCGTTTTGGATGATCATCCACATACTTTGGTGGGCATTATTACGCCACTGTAACGTCAAAATGACGTAATTTTTTGGTGAGCCACGCCAACTAGAAGTGCATGTGGTACTAAACTATACCAGACCCGAAATTCTTTTAAAAAGCATCACGAGTTTTTCGATGTCTCTAAAATGTCGTGGGATAATTTGGACAAGTGAGCCAAAAGGGGAACAGCTGTGAAACAAGTGTGACACAACATTTTGAGACTCCACAAATCGTCTACTGACACTTTACATCAGTGGTTCTCAAACTTTTTTAGTCCCAGAGCCGCATTTCAAACCTCAAAGTTAGGAAGAGCCGCGCACAAACAACGCAAGGTAAAATAGCAACAAACCTTAAGAGCGTATTTAAAATACCAAGTCGTCGTAACAACAACACGCGTAACAACTAGGGATGGGCAAAATATTCGAATAACGAATCGAATAATAAAATATTCGAATGGCATTTCACTATTCGAATATCCGGTACCACGTGACCTGCGCCGCTCTGCTTGGACACCGAACTCGCGCGTCTCCAACTCAATCGTGAAATTTGCGAGATTTCCCAACGGCGTTCGCTATCAGAAAAAAAGACAAATTTGAAAAGTCGTCCGTTGTCTTTGCGGTATGGTGTTATATGCTTATCTTTGCGCCTAACGTATCGTTTCAATTCCATATTTTGCAAATGACGTACCGACCATTCCGTAAATTTAGAAACGTCAAACCAAATTAGTTATTTAAAATAAATTTCCCTGATTTTAAACTCCGCGTACTTGGTGACATGTCATTAGCCATTTCTTGCATTACCAAACATAAAGTTGATTAAAATTAAATGTTAAAATGACTTTTCGGCGTTTCATTGTGAAAAAAGCGATTTTAGATCGTTAGAAAACTCTAGTTATATAAATAGCATGGATTTTTAAAAATGACCAAAAGTTTTTCCAAAAGCTGGTATGAGTTACTTGTATGAAAAACACTCATTAAGTTGTAACCAGATAAGAAATGTCATATCCTACTCCCTAAACCATTTGTATTAGCTCTTTAGTAATTCCTTCCATCGTTGGCCAAGTAATGTTTCGAATATGTAAACATTTTACTCGACCATGCATGGCCGTTGAGCCAAGAGTAGTAGGTAAAATTAATTGTGAATTTTGTTGTAACAATGCACACTGATTCGTTCACGAATTGTTGCGTCTATTATCATCGAAAATGATTACAATTGTTAAATTTTGAAGCATTTAGGCATAATAATTAAGCCTTACGGCATGACGTAATCAATATCATTGAGTGAAATGCTGAATTTGCAAATTCCGTAAAGAAAATTGAGCATTACTCAGTAAGTATTTCAGCTATAATAACCATCGGGGTGTTGTTTTGTTGAAAAAAAAACGTTAAAACTTGAAGGAATTAGTTATATTTAGCGTCTGACCTTTATTAGGCACAAAGGTCTAGAAATGCATAATTGACAATTTATTTAATCGCTATTTTAAATCAACATTCAGGATTCATGCAATCGTAAATTTGCTAGGTTTGTCTCTCTACTACTAAAATACCACGAACACCACAGAAAAGCATGAGAAACTCACTTACCGGTCTCGGTTACCGTTCACTTTAAACAGGCACAGTTAATTTCCAAGCTGTGATAAGGAAGATCAAATCCAAGGCAGAGGATAAAACTCAGAATAAAATTAATATGGTTTTGAAATCAGCCCTTAATGTATTCAACAGCTGTCGCTGATGTAAACGCGAGGGCAGGGATGGCCAATATCGAATAGTTCACTATTTCGAATACATTCGAAATTATTTTTTTCGAATATGAAATTTCGAATACTTCGCAGATAAAATCCACTAATTGAAGCTAATCTAAATGTATGTAGGAATTTCCATACAATAAGCAATGGAATAACTGCTATCTACAAGTTACAACCTATCTATATTACCAGGCATTTCATATTTGCAGATTATTGCAGTATATATTTTATATACCATGAGTCATGTTAACAGAATTAAATTAATACGACAATAGTGGTATCGATGATAGATTTGAATATTTGCGCAACACAAAATCACCCCAGTAAAACGCCCATACTTTTACATACCAACCGTTATCCAAATTATTTGTCGAAAAGCGGGATAAAGTATGAGGTATTTTTCCGACTTGTGACAATTTTTTCTTGAGTACAAAAATACGAATCAAAAATTAATTATATTTGGGAACTTTACCACACATTTTGAGTCCGCAGATCGCCGTTGTATGTTTGAGTAATAATACTTTTATTATTTCACAAATATGAAAATAGGAATCAAAAACTATTTATAATCGGGTAGTTTACCACACATTCTAAGTTTACAGATCGCCGTTGTATTTTGTAAATACGAAAATAGGAATCAAAAATTAATATTAATCGCGAGTTTGCCACACAATTTATGTCCACAGATTGCCGTGATATTGTGCCGAATATAATTAGTTTTGATTCTTATTTTCGTACTCACAAGTCGGAAAAAGAATTTATATTTTATCCCGCTCTTGGGAACTTATTTGGATAATGGTTGCCATTGGTTTGCATTTAAAAGTATGGACTTTTTACTAGGATGATTTTGTACTGCGCAAAATATTCGAATCCATGTTTCCATGACCGATACCACTATTTAAAATGCCTTACCGTGTTAATTTAATTCTATTATCATAACTCAAATGTTGGTAAATTGGGCAGTTTACCACACATTTGAATGCCACAGATCGCCGTTGCAGTTTAGAATTATTAGTTTTATTATTTTGTAAACACAAATCCGAAATGAATTATAATTGGGCAGTTTACCACATATTTCATGTCCACAAATACCCGTTGTATTTGGCATTAATACTTTCATTATTTTATCAATATGAAAATAGGAATCAATATTTAATATTTATTAATATCGGTCAGTTTACCGCACATTTTATGTCCACAGATTGTCGATACAACCATGAGTTACGTTGAGCAGAATTAAATTAATACGGCATGACATTTTTTTTAAATGCCGGTAAATTATTTTGCGCAACAAAAAATCACCCTGGTAAAGGATCGATACTTTTAACTATCGTTATCAGAATTATTTGTCAGAAATTACTTTCTAATAAATCGACTTGTTTTTCCAACTAATAAGTCCACATGGCAAATAGGACGATGTCTATTTTTAGCACTCAAAAAAGGGGTTTTTCCATATAGGCCTCCAATAAGACGGGTAGAAAAAATCGCTAATAATTTTATATGTTTAGAACCAGATCATGTTAGTTTGGTAGAATCATACTCACTGAATTAACTATTTTTAACAATTGAGCTGTAAATTTAAGTTGTAAAGCGGCAATCATTTTGGACAACCTAATAACCGGAATGTTGAAATAATTTTGGAATGTGATAAGTGTACTTCCACTGTACGTCCACGGGTTATTTCACAGCTGTTTTTTCCTGTCCCTGTGATGTTTTGCTGAATCGGCAAAACGAAAGGGTCACAAATCACTTTATCTTGGTGGCCGTGTTTCTCTTTAAAGTAACGATAACCAGCCTGCGATTAAATATCATGATTGGCAGACCCTAAGACCCCAATATAAGGTTACACAAATCATGCTTGAGAAGACTCATGCGAATAATAAGCTGGCCACATAGAAATAAAAAAACATACTTTCCCAATTTTTCGACGTAATGGAAATGAATTTGTAAATTAAAAGCCTCGTACACGAATGTCGGCAATGTCCACCAACGCAAACGTGCAAATGTGTCGCAACACTATGCGACGTACAGTCGCACAGAATATAAACAATCAAAGTGCCGATTCTATTTCATCGTCATTACGTGAGACAGCGTAAAAAGTCGTTTAAAGATTCCCGTAAAACGAAACACCACGTTTACGGCGAAAAGTGGCTACTATTCGGAATTATTCGAAAATCAACCGAAAAGGTATTCGAATACTTTGATATTCGAATACATTCGAATATTCGATTCGTTTTGGACAACCCTGCGCGAGGGTATACTAGAAATATGAAACTTCGATATCCGGCGACCCATTATTCTTGCAAAAAAGGTCGGGATTATAGAATACTAACTTTAGGATATCGCCGCCGAAACGATCGCGGTGACAAAGACAATCAGCGATTATGATGAAATTACCAACAACCAGTAAAAAACGCTTCATTGCTATTTCAATTATTTTCCAAATGGAGTCAACCTCCGACGTTTTGGATACCTGTTATGTATAAAAATATTCATTATTCGACTATTCGGTATTCGTTAAAAATATTCAAATTATTCGATTCGAAAAAAGATTCGATTTTGCCCACCCTAGACTAACAGCCATTTAATTTGGCTTCAATTTCTGATAAGTTTGTCAGAGCGGGTCGTAATAGTGGAGAATGCAAGGTGCAGTAGCTGCTTGAGATGATCACCAGATATTTCGGGACTATTTTCGATTGCTGGAACAAAATTAAAATGCTCTAAAAATTAAAATAATCATTGAGTTATTTGATTTATACATAATATTCGGAAAAGCGACAAAAACTGAAAATCCATGTCTAAAATCTTTGCAAGTGAAAAGTGTCCGAGTGGCCGCGAAAACGCTTACTGTTGCGTTACTATTGCATCTTGTAGATTAGTCAACGCTACGCTGATAAACACGGGGGAATTCATTCGACTTACAAATAGACTTCCGAATTTTAATTCCAGGTCAATGATTAGTTTTCAATAAAAATTTCTTTTTGAAAGTAATTAATTTTTAAAGCATTAACAAGAGCCGCAGGAAAGGTTGTTGAGAGCCGCATGCGGCTCTCAAACCCTAGTTTGAGAATCACTACTTTACATAGTGTCGATAAAGTCTCCTAACAATTTTAAGGTACTCCCGAAGTATGTGAAACAAGATGGTGGACACCGGAACGTAGTGTGTCTACCAGGTTAGAGTTAGGCCATAATTCCAGATACAAATACTACGGAAGTCACTTGGCTAGTCCCCGAACTCGTAATAGAACTAAAATAAGGAAAATCGGAATAAAATTATGGCATAACCTGGTACACATACTACGTTCCGGTGTCTGCCATCTTGGTTCACATCTTTCGGGAGTACTAATTTTAAAAAGTAATTATTTGTCTTTATAATAAATTTTTCAAGATGGGATATTATTTCACAGGTGGGCAAGGATGTTGTACTGTCTGTTGGTCCAGAAAGTTTCGTGAGAGCCTGTCTTAAAGAATTCAAACCTGGATTTGAAAAGGTTAGAATGGGGGTGTGGAACATTTTTTGTCGGCGGGCCATATAGCCAACTTCAGATATCTAGCTGGGCCACACAAAAAATCGTGGCTTCCGCTTAACCTTACAGAAATGAATCCACCGGGCAAAATTTTAACACAGTGAGAAGAGCACAAAAAATTTATTGATTTTCACCCATGTGAGCGCCTTTTTAAACAAAAACTGGAAAAAAATTGACAAGGGCCACACTAAATGGCTTGGAGCCCGGGTTGTGGCCCGTGTGCTGCCTGGGTTAGAGTAATTGCTTTTTACCATGTTACAAACAAGAACTAGAACAAGCTACATGGGTAGTTCCCAATTTTCAGATAGAATTGAGTTATTTCTCCTTGCATAGCCTATTCAAGTAGCAAATGCATCTTCGTGGAAAGCAAAAATGATCAACTGAAAATATTTAAATTGAAACATAAAACATAAATAATATTATGTGGTTCGAGTATTTTGCATCACACTTAAACAAGAAAGAATCATTTAAGAACACTCTATTTCTAAGCAACAATTTACCTATATATAAAATTGATATTTACAATAGCAACAAGTCGTTTATTTCAGAGTGTAAGCTAAATCCTAACCATAAATGCAACTACAACTTTTTGCTCCGCTTCAACCAACGCTATATATCAAGTAACCACAATTATGAAGGAGACGCCCGAAGATCACGGGTTTGACATGCAGCTTACTCGGTATTATATCCATGAGGTGGTAAAATGGATTTGAACTAGAGATCTTTACCCCGCAACCCCGATATAATTGGACCGAAATCTTTCTTTTATCTGAAGTTAGTTCACCTAAAACTTCCAACCCTCGTTTTTACCTGAAGTCAAATTGCGTAAATCTGACACTGCTATTTTTACCCGAAGTTCGTTTGTGGAAATCTGCCCACTCTATTTTTCATCTGTTACCTCACAGGCTCTAAGCGAAGCTGCAAAGGTTGTTGGATACGATGAAAATGGCAACGCTGTGATTGAGTACTCAGATGGTAAAATGTGAGTATATCAACATTATGGTGGAAATCTGTGAGTTGCGTGTAAAATTGAGTCAGGGTTCATCAGAGTATAGAGACAAATCATCAATGAGTTAATGAGTCTATACCATGCTTGCACTATTATACCAATCAAGGCGATAACTTGTGCCTTTCCAACGCTGTTATGGGATGCAAAATATTACGCGGTGAAAAGAAAAAAACTTCATTAACATTTGATTATGACAAGTTTTATAATGAACGCAACTTGAACCAATGCAATGAATGAGCTTGTTTAAATGGGAAAATACATAATATAATTAAATACAAATTGTATTTCTGTCTCTAAAGACAGATCCCGGTTTAAAAACAGCTATAGCGAATAAATCATGCCTTATTAGCCATGCTAATACGTACTTTCTCCTTTTGGTCACTTTGGCTGAATAAGATAGTTAGGATATATAAAAAGAAATTCGGGAGATGGGAAAAGAGGGATTTAGAGAATTGCTCCCATAGCACATAACTGTGATGTTATGTATGTGTAGGTACAAGCTCCCCGATGAGTATCTATGCAGCCCGAGACCTCAGTGGTTGAAACAAAATGAAGGAGGAGTTCTAACATTTGATTGGAATCTCGAAGCTGGAGGATTGGTGAGTATTAAATTGTCTATTCTTAATATATTGGTTTGTTTTCTGATATTTTCTCTCTTTTGACTCGAGCACCAGAAACCTCGCCAATATACTATATTTATTCGATATATAAAAGCTAACAAGACAATGCCAAAGATACCGTACTGCAATGAGTGCCTGTTGGCTTTGGAATGCTGTTCCTATGGTGACGGTGCGCCGAGTCTTTTTTATTTTTGTATGTATTCACTTTTGTTTTCTGTTCTGCTGTAAACTTTTTTTTCATGATGTAATTATGTTTGACTTTTTTCTCTTTTATATATTAATTACTGTTAAACTTAATCATGGGTGTCGCTGCTCGTTAACCAGTTTTGATTTCTCGCGCCACCTTTCACACTGAAATGCCATATTCTTAACTTTTCTTTCCGTTGTTGCGTTAAGTGTATTTTTTTATGGTGATAAAATAAATACTGATTACTGGATCCGACGGCGGGCTTATCTGGGAACGAATTTTAGAAGGCCAAGTCTCTTTTCCCCAGGACTAGAAATGTGTATTATGATGTCATTTTTTTCTGGTACCATGGCGTTTCATTACAGCCTTGGGCTTCTTCATTTGCATGTAAATTCAATTTATTACCAATTATATTTTCTTAAATGTGCGATTCTGTAATTTACGTACATTTTTCAAAAATCCTTTTTTGACGTCATAATACAAATTCAATATGACATCACAGTGGTCCTCCTGTGTGCAACACAAAATATGACATAATGTCATGACATCACAGAATTACAAATTCAATTGGCCTTATCAACGAAATTCTACGTACGCCACTGCATGTACTTACGCATAAGTAAGAGATTGCATTTGGACTGATTCTTCACGCATCTATATTACCAGGTTGCAAGCTGTATATCAGCAATTGAGGCAAGCATTCTTAACTCTGTCACAGAAGTTCTGAAAGCGAACGGTTTGTAGTTTTGATTATTGACTAGTCTATATTAAATTGATGAAGGTGTATTTTTCCCAGTCTCTCAAGCTTGGTGCACAAGTGTTGATTCTAATTGGAACTTTGTGGTCGCGATAAACTAGTGGTTAAATCGGTGGTTCTCAAACTTTTTTAGTGTCAGGGCCAAATTTCAAATCTTAAAGTTGTAAGGAGATGCATGAAAAACAACGCAAATTAGAATAGCAACAAAAAAAGTATGTATAATAACAACAACACCAACAGAACTCGGTAAAAACCATCAATTTCAATTTGAAAATAATTCTTTCACCAATGCACGGAATAGCTTGCTAGTGATTACTGGAAACAATGAAATCAGTGTACTGAAACACAGGCTAAACATTGGGGCGAAAACACGGCATCATATGGCATGGCATCATAATAAAAAGTCATTCATTAACGAAAAATTTTCACTGAAAAGGATTTTTAAAGGATAATGAGAGCCGCAGGAGTATATGTGAGAGCCGCATGGTTGAGAGTCACTGGGTTAAAGCATTAGACTTGACTGTCTCGGCACCTCAGGTTGAAAATCTCGAGTTAAGATCCACACGACCACCCGGGGTGTATTACAATGGAACTGCGATGCCGAAATAAAATGATCCTGATCAGAAAGATTTATTATTGTCATGTGAAAGTGTTGATTTGATGTAGCCACTTACCCGGAGATATTTTATAGAGTGAACTTTGATTGAAATAAGAGCTTGCAAGCACCTTGTTCACAGAGAATTTTCAAATTAGCATAGTATATCTACTAAACATTATTATCACGTTATGAAATTTTAAACTTTTGCACGTATTTTAAATTTCAGGAGAAAAAGATGCATTGTGAGTAGACAATATCAAAATTAATAATATTTTGAAATGTAGCTATTTTCATATTTTTGACGCTTTTACACCATACCATGCTCTATTAGACCAGGTGTTCCCAAACGGGGCAAATTAGCACTGCTTAAAAAGTAAATGTTCTGAGCAGGTAGGTACATTACCAAATCTGGCAGTTCACCAGATAGTGACATTGTTAGGATTACAATGCTCTCCTTGTGGACCGTATCCCTTGCGACAGCTAAAGTCTCCACTACGAAATACCTTGTTTACTATTTCAACACAGGAATTGGAAAAGTTACGTCGTGAAGGATGCCACATCTGAGAATACAAAAGTCATAGATTTGACGTTTCCCACCGAACTTAAAGATTTTGACAAGTTTAAGGAAAGGTTCATAAGTAAGTTCTGCCCAAATAACTTTCACAATTCTTGTTCACAACCGTTAAATAAATAAACATATTAAATAAATGACAGTCAAATATTTTAATTAGAGTTGTCATCGCGTATTGTGCGTAGTGAGAGAAGGTTCGTGGCCTCTAGAAAACCGCTCCGTGTCTTTCAGGGAAGCCGAGGCGCTAGTTTGAGAAATCATGTTCTTCCCATTTGTCCCAATTTTGATATCGTGTGGTACAAATGAGATAAGTGTGGCATGCGTGGGATAATGTGATGCAAGTGGGCCAGGTTCGGTTCAAGTGGAGCAAATGGTGTAAGTGGTACAATTGGCGAATAGTGGTACAAGTGATGCACGTGGCATCAGAACGGTGCAGGTATGACATGGCATTTTAAGAAACCACAAAAATGCTTTTGATCAATGAGACCATATTTTATTTCTACTCAGGCAAGTATCACACAGGTCGTACAGGTGGTGTACGTGTGGTACAAGTGGGATAAGTGCGGTGCAAGTGTGACATGACATTTTGAAACACCGCAAAAATGCTTCCGATCTACAAGATTTTGTTTTAATTCAGGTAAACTTCAACATGATGGAATCCATTCTCAAATGGAAAATGAAGTTCTTGTGATAAATACAAATGGCCAATTGTATCAGGTAATTAGATTGAGCATTTTTATTTTTTTACAATTTTTACTTTACTTAATGTTGTCAATATACAGCGTTTTATGCCTTCGCTCAGTCGGAATTTTTATACTTTACGACACGGCCCCTTTTTTTTCTCTAAACAAAGCTCTGCCCAAGCTTTGCTTTAAATCAGGGATGTGCAAAATTTTTTTTCAGCAGGCCCTATGACTAACTTTAGACATCTAACTGGGCCATACAAAAGCTTCAGCAGGAAATGCAAATAAAACAAAATGCTGCTATCGCTTAACCTTACAGTAATAAAGGCACAGGACAAAACGGCGAAAGGTTTGACGCAGCGACAAGAGCAAAAATCAACATGTATTTTTACCCATGTGAGCGCCTTTTTAAGCATAAACTGTCGGGTTAGGATTTTATGCTTGATGGGGAAAACCTGAATGTTGACAGGGGCCACACTAAATGTTCGCCTGTTACACACCTCTACATTAATTTATAATTCAAATTTTCAGCTTCGTTTCAAGTTTGGATTTAAAGAGAATGATATAGAAGACTTAGCAAGTATGATCGGAGGAAATTCAGGTATACTGTAGTAGTATTTTTTTAATGGAGGAGGTGTACTTTTGTTCAATTGTTGTTGAGGTTGATATTGTTGGTATTAAATCGACTGTCTTTAATTACTGGACCAATTGCTTTAAATTTTCAGTGGTCAAAGATAGTATTTTTTGCAAGAATGCGATTACTTTTATGTATTTTGAAAATTTCGGTGGGCTCTATGAAATTTTTTGTGTGCGATGACGTCATCAAAATTGAAATTGTGCACCTTGTTGCGGTTCCGTTTTTGTGTTGGTTGTTAGCTGGGAATCAATCGAAGTTGTGAACACTACGGTACCGTTAGTCTACTGTGACAGATTGCATACCCGTGCTACTTCGTTTCGTGTCAATATATTTGAGCATCGTTCTCTTTTTTATGTCACCCAAATTTTGCTGCTTCTAGTTATTCACAGGCACACCTTCATATGCCATTCGATACAACTCTTTAACTTTTGTAGTTTTGCAGGCATTGCAATGGATATACTTGTCAATTGGCTTTCGTGTGCATATATTTGATCATTGCTCTCTTCCTATTATTATAAATCCTTTTATAGGAGGCAAATCCCAACCAAAGCCCGCTGTATTTGGAAGATCTCTGTCTGTGACTGATACGATTTCTGAATCTGATCCGGCGTCAAATCTGGCAACGCCATTTGGTTCAGGTAAGTCAACGAATTTTGATCCACAATTTTGTACCATTTAGCTATTTTGTTCATGCCAGTGACTAAACGTTCATTATCAAGTATTTTATTCATATTTTACGGTTAAATTCAATAATCTACTTATACAATGGAATAGAACCAAGACCACCTCGCGATCCCTCGTCTATTGCAACAAGCCGATATCCCTCTTCGTAATTTGTTATATGCCTTTTGTTTATTTTTTCATATCGTATATTGGTTTTGCATGACGAAAATAAAATCTGAATCCTCTGAATACTATACGACAGATAAATAAAATGATGAATGGTAGAGAAAATGAAAACACACAGTATGAAAATTCAGGGAAATTTATTACTAAAAACAATTGCAACTTCTTATAACTTGCTACCTGTTAAACTGTTCACAGCGTCGACCAGCATTCAAATACCAGCAGGAGTGACCCAAGTGGTGCTGCAACTGGGCGGGATCGGTCAATTACCGGTAGCTCCTCCGGCAGCAGGCCCAGTTCAGGAGCCTCATCAACAAGGAAACTTGTCCATAAGTCCTGCTAATTCAACAGTGATTAATATGTACGGCGACGGTGAAAACAAAGTCAACATAGATAAGAGCTATGTCCGCTCTGTTAATGCGTAGATCGAAGTGTCGTATAGTTTTTATCATTGGTCTGTAAGAAAAAAAAATTGGAGCATTTTTTAAGTGATAATTTGTAATGAACTTTCGCGCTATGCGCTATCCCCTTGTGACTCCGAATATAAAAATATTCAATATTTATTGCACTATTACACGTTTTACATGCTAATCTTGAAATAAACCTCAAAAAAAGGTAGAAACAATTTGGCATTTTTTTCGGAAACAAGGTGGTTCAGGGTACCGTATTTCAGAAATTTTCAGTTTTGTACCTTTCTTGTCCGACCAGCGAAAGACAGTCAGAAAATCAGTTATTAGATATAGGCCAACCGCAATCGAAAGTTGAAGTGGGCGCTTTGTAGGGTTATCAGCATTTGATGATTTTACATTTTCCTAGCACATATAAGCAGTGGTGGAATCTAGGGAATTCGTGCGAAGCCGTTCCTGGAATATTGTGATACTCAACGGCCATCTGTTGTTAGTGGTTTCCATATCAGAGAGAGCCCGTTCTTAAAATTGTGAATCGTTGCAAATAAACCAACTGTCAGTAACAGCAAATTGGGGTTGAATGGTCACTTATGACTCCACTTTCAAATAAATCCCTGCCTCTGTGAGTAGAGAGGAAAATGATCATTGTAAATTTATACTGTTAGCTACGCGAGAAAGATATAGTTAGTAATCAATATGTTAAGTTTCATAGTAGATTCTTGCCGAAATAACCAAATTATTCTTAAACATTATTAACTTGTAAATTATAAATAGATATTTAAATTTACATCTTGTTTCAAAAGAAATTTTTGAGAATGAGTCGCTTGACGAGCAGGGTTTTTCTTTCTTAGACTATTTTGATTGTCGTGTTTTGCGGACCACAAGGCGCACTTCAACTTAAATCCCTTTTCTCAACAAAAAAAAAATCGATCGTGCGCCTTATAAGCCGCAACGCTAGCCTACTTACTGAAGGGAAATGCGTTATTTTGTTTGTTTCGTTTAGGCCGCGAGCCGAGGCCATTTATCTTTCAGTTTCGTAGCGCACATCAGGTAACTAACTGAAAATGATTTTGAAATGTTCCTTAGAAATTTAGTAACAAATATTGCCTTGTTCCCACTTCCAAAAGTTGCACGTTTTACAGAAAATACGCTTTTACTACAATAAATATGTGTTACCATCTGTCCTATTTTCTCTGCTTTTCCGGTATCATGGGCCAATGAACGCAGACTTCTGCACGACGTAACAGTCAAGTTAGTCAGCTGTAGGTGGATCCCCAGTGGTCGGATGAATATCAGATGTACTCAACTGCACGCTTTTGCGTTGAGTAGCCTTTCCATAGTTTTTTTCAGTTACCGGTAATATTAGTCCAGTTATTCTAAGGAGATGTTGAAAAGTATAGGTAAGATATTAAACACTTGTATATCCTTGCTATAAATAGCAATTTTAGTTGAGCACTAGCTCATAAGACGTTGTTAAATAGGTACGGTGCGGTAACTCCAAGGAAGGCTAGACCTAGAATAATACTGTAATATGTCACAAACAACGATATTTTCTGGCTTGCATGAAATGTTTATGATTAATTTAATGACTCTTCTTGACTATTCAGCAGACTTATACTACTATATAGGCCACAGCATATTTGGAAATAGAAATGAATGGCTGTTTCTGTAATGCACGGTTGTGTGAAAGAGAAAAAACTAATCAATTTTACTAATGTCGGTTGGTCTAAATCTAAATTCATAGAGTCGACAAGAACCTGGGAAGCAATGATAAGTTATGCCGGAGTGGAAAGAAAGGTAGCATTGGAAATGATTGAGAGGTGAGAAATAAAGTTGTAGACAAACAGTTGATGTTTCAAAATATAGTCTATAGTCCATACTCATACTGCCATAGGACATTTCAGACTGTGATATATCAAAATTTAGTGTAGATATAGTCTAGTAATGGTATGCAAACACTGCTGGACTGTAGAACATGCAATGAGCATATATACGCTCATTTAGTACATCAGATAAAATGCATTATGTATTCAAGGTATTAGTTAGTATTTAGGGGTATTTTTAAAATCATGCTGCTCCAAATATTATTTTCTTCCTTATTTTAGATACTGTACTACAAAAGAAAACGGCAATGTTCCACCAATCCGACCTAACGCAGGCTCTGATCCCTGCTGCTATCAGTGCTATAAAATGGATTAAACAAGAAGTCTTGAAGCTTAAAGGTATATGAGGTATACTTTTCTGCAATTGGAACTGCCCATCAAATTCATGTTGGAGACTTCATTGAGATTTTCAATTCATTTTTTTCCCTCGACTATGAAGATCTTTTGAGGTTAACGAGGTATTAATAAATAAAGCTGAGGAATTTGAAGAGGATATGAAGAATGTAAATAATACCGGTACCAGGGCACGTCTATTTAACACTGTCAAACATAAGGATTATACTCTCCACCCAACAATGATTCACTGAAGAAGCATGTGGCCCTCAAATCAGTTCTTGAGTTGGCAAACTGCAAAGAAAAATAGTCAAAATAATTTATGAAAGTGTGCCAAAATCAACTTAAATTGCACAGATTTTTGTTTTTGTATTGACTGCAGAAATCACAGTACACCTATAGAGGAAAAGTCGATTTTTGAGATAGTGGATTTCGAAAACAATTCAGAAGAAAGTGAATTAGATATTACAGTTGATTTGATAAGTATCATACATTTTTTTTTTTTTTTTCGGACATTTGTTAGTGTCGTAGTCCTGTTTCTAGAAATATTATTGCCTTTGTTCAAATACATAACCACATAAACTAAAAAAAGATTAATTGTAAATTGTAATATTTCTGTTCACTATGTTATGTACATATTGTACATTCATTTAATTTTCTTGACTTTTGCGGTAAATTTCTAAGTTAGAAATAACTGATTTATTTGTGTTTTCGTGCTCACGATGTTAATTTGTGACTTCATTGCTTAAAAATAAATACGTTTGATACTTGATAGCTTCTATAAAATGGATGTAGCTTTTTATGCTGTTCTTGTTGTAAACTGCTTGTGGTTATTACATAAAATTTATTCTCAAATGTGAATCAGCGTTGTTGGTGTCGCTGCTTTCCAGGTCACTCCCGACTCCTGTCACACAATTAAAGTATTTTTTGTTGTTGGTTACATGTATGCCATATTTTTCGTAATCTACCTAATAAATTATGATTGACTGAGGAAGTCCGATTTTGGTCAGGCAAAACATTACAGGAATACATTTGTGTTAGTGTGCTGTAGGGCTCTCGAATTGTATAGTTCTTATGTATGCGTTGTAAACTTATGGTTATTGAATTTCCGGGAACCTCTTATATTCAATTTCGCACCAGGATTGTGGAACAAGCTGTAATGCGTTCATTATGTTCGTTTTCACACAAAACTGAAGAATTTATTTAGTTACCAGATGTGCGCTACGAAACTCATTTTCTGGGCGTTTTCATGGTTTCGTCTCACGGCCCATATCCGTGGTAAGGATCTACAAGTGTTTAATAATTTACTTATACCTATTTCAACAACGTCTTAGCATAACTTAACTAATAATAACTAAACAGGGCTATGGAAAGCCTGCCCAACTCAGCGCAAGGTCGAGCAGAAATAACTAATATTCATCCGCTCGCTAACAGCTGGTTTAATTCAATTGTTACGTCATGCAGAAGTCATTGTTCAGTGCCGAAAATGTAGAGAATATAGGACAGATCGTAGCACATATTTCTTGTAGTAAAAGCGTCTTTTCCGTAAAACGTGCAACTTTTGGAAGTGGGAACAAGGCAATATTTGTTACTAAATTTTTAAGGAACATTTTAAAATCATTTTCAGGTAGTTACCTGATGTGCGCTACGAAACTCACTTTCTAGGCGTTTTTCAGGGCCTCGGCTCGCGGCCTAGTTGTTTTCCGCTAACATTGTTAGCGAACGTATCACATGTAAAATCAATTCTAATTGGTCCTGTTCGGACGTTCACGTGAATGTAACATTGAACAACAATTTTTTAAAGGTGTTATCTACAGTATAGAAAAGCATGCTAGCCTTTTGCTGTACATAAAAAATGCTAATTTCGGATCATTTGTATCGATAGAGTCTATTCCTTTCTATTTTTCGAATCGAACCCGATATTTAGACAGAGAATATGCGTATATAAACTTTCGATGACAATATGGTCAATGAAGACAGCCAGGATGACTTAAATGTAGGCCTATGTAGTAAAATCGGAAACTGTAAAGTTACAGGAGGCGCCCGCTTTGAAGTCAAAAAAATATGGTAACCCTATCTAATCACCTTTGATGTATTATTTCCAGTGTGGTTGAATCCTATGTTTGTAGAAAAGTGATTAGATTCGGGATTGTCGTCCTATTGGCTTTCGTCTTCAATGGGACAAATATTAAATCCAATTTCACCCTTTATTTATGGCGATCAATGGCATTTATCGTATAGCGAAGTTATGTCGAATATGGAAATAGTAAATCAGTTATTCGCTCTAAATGCATGGACGCTGAAACACAAGAACACAAAAATTAAAGCGAATGATTAATTTCTCAAAGATTCTTTATTTGAAAAAAGCTTTTTCTTCAGAATAGGTCTTACAAATATATGTGAAAAGATATCTGCCACAAAAATCTTTTCATCCATCTCCTAAATCTGGCAACCATCGTTTTCGATCCAATTTCGTCGTGTTTACGTTTCATGCCGTCATCGTCGGCGCTCTCGTTTGTGTTCTGCGTTACCGTGAATCCGTTTTTGGTGTTTCTCTGTGTTTCGTATTCAGAATACAGAAAATACACGGTGAAATAAAAGATAATGGATTTTCAACACAGAGCCGGTGGTAAGACAGGTGGAGGTGGTGTGGCCTCGTTCTCCGATGCAAATAGAGATCGCAGAGAAAGGTTGAGACAGTTGGCCTTGGAAACGATTGACTTGAATAAGGTAAATTTCTTATTGTTTCATTTCGTTTTTGAGTATTGAAACCCTGTCGAGTTTATGTGTCTATGATTATCTATATAGGTGATATACCGTACTTTTGCACATTCTGACTTTTGAGGTAAATAAACATAATGCCTAATAACTAAAACAATGAAGATAATTCAGTAATTTATTACTCCATTAATGCACTATTGTTTTACAAACAACATGGTCTTATCTTTCTATCAAGGCAGTAAGGAGTCAATTTTGAAAGTGCTGCTATACCAAAGGTATTTTGTTTTTCAGGATCCATATTTCATGAAAAATCATCTTGGCTCGTACGAATGTAAACTTTGTTTAACACTGCACAACAATGAGGTGAGTGATATATTACATATGATTGATTTTGTTATTCCAGTTTTGTACAATCACCAGATCTTTCGTACAAAGCGCTCGCCAATAATGCAAAAATATGACATTTTAGAAAACACCTCTGTCATGTTTCTAAATAACAAATAGTGATTTTCCAATTGATGGTTGAGGTTAGGAAAGATTATTTGAATTTCCAGTGCCATCTGCATTCCTAGCCCTCACTTGAACTGGATAATTAATTCTTTTTATTTTGAGCGTTGCTGTGGGCTTTGTACAAAAGAGCTGAATTAATATGTGTAACACCACGTTGTTGTTTTCTGACATCTCCCAGCCCTTCAGGTCGCAGGGCAATGAATGTTTTCGTGACTCTCGACCCAAGAAAAATTCTCCCTACACTTTGATATTGCAAAATTTTGGATGCTTATTTATCAAGTGTTTTGGAGAGTCAACATTTATAAACAGATTTACACTTTCAAACCCATCATTTTTATCATAATATACAACAATGCGCTTACAGATACTTGCAGCTAATTTTAGCCTAGTCTATAGCAGCTTACCTCGGCACTAATATTTGATTATTGCGACTAAACTTAAGGTCATCGAAAAACACATTGACAAATGAAATATACCGCATATGCTCGTTTTACCGCCCGATCTTGATTAAGGGCCCGTTTGAATAGCTGCCCGTGTGAACAGAACAAAAAAATAAATAAGGGCCGAGCTCGAATACCCGCCCAATGTAAAAGCTAATTTTTCAGTGGTAGAGAACAATAGGAAATGGAAGCGCTTTTGTCACAACGCTGTTGAATTTTAAGCGCCGGCGTCGCAAAACTTCCTCTTTTGCGTATTTGTACCTGCGGTCCGTAGAAAAAGTCAAAATTCTCGTTATTCTCGTTTAAATCATACTTGAGAAATGGAAATAACAATATATTAAATATTGTAACGATCAAAAATAACAAGCGCCCGTGCTTGAATAAGGGCCTGTTTGAATAGGGGCTCGTTGATGAGTTGGCCCGGGCTACAAAACGAGCAAATACTGTACTTGATTTATAACTAATTTTTGGAAACACAACTGAAACCTGACAAAAAACTTGAGGGCCGAGAAAGCGAGGCAATGTTTAAAACCATGCCTGAGTATCTGTTTGGGCAAACAAAGTGCCTGAGCGGCTGCAAAAACTACAATTGTTACGTCATCGTTGACGTTTTGCTAATTGATCATTGTTACGGAAATAAACAAGGAAATCATTGCTCAGGCAAACTTTCATTTGTAATTACTGCTACATATTGTGTTGCCATAATTCTGCACATCTCATTACCTGCCTCAACTTTGAAAATTTCCTCTTTCCAGGGAAGTTATCTTGCACATACTCAAGGTAAAAAACATCAAGCAAATCTGGCAAAAAGAGCAGCAAGGGATGCAAAGGAAGCCCCAGCTCAACCTGCTCCAGCCAAACCGACCATTGAAGTCAAAAAGTTTGTTAAAATCGGCCGGCCTGGGTATAAAGGTAATTAATTAATAAAGATATTTGAATAGTTCGATGATCAAGAACAAATGATGATCATTTATAAATCTGGAGGAAAGTTCTCCTTCTCAATTGGCCTGCTTGATATACAACTAGGGCTGGGCATTTTCGAATATCTGATCGTTTCAGAATTCGATCGAGTTTTTTTTTTGAAATCAAATTGAATGTCAAATACTCGTATTCTTATGTAGTTGTACTGACTGTTTTGCTCTAATATGTCTTCCAGAGTCCAGGCAAAAAATCAGTGACAGTTTGCTGTTCACATGCAGTAAGAAACATGTTTCATCAATAACTCTCTCTGGAATAAAACTTAGCCATTTGCCAAAATTGCAGTTTAAAAATTTGAAATGAATAAAAAAATAAGGGATCACCTCCGGCCTGTGGACAAACAAAAAACAAGATGGGGGCGATTCAAAATTCATTTCTGAAATGAATCGAATATTTTACTGGTTAAAATTCAACTAAGCTATTCAGTTTATAGGCTCTTCCACCGTGTTATAGGCTTTAACTCCTGGGGATAAATATGTAAATCTTAATCTTTATATGCGCTCTTTCCTTTTTCAGTGACAAAGCAAAGAGTGCCGGACACTGGACAACAAAGTTTATTATTCCAGGTCGATTATCCTGAGATCGTTGATATAATCATACCAAAACACAGGTATGAGCTTCTGTCTGCAAATTAATTTTAATTGTTGTACACAGTGGCGTAGCCAGGGGGGGTGGTTCTGCAGGTTGAACCCCCCCCCCCCTTTGAAATGTAAAAAGAAATCATTTTTCTGTATCATAGATAGAAACTATTTTATCATAAAATGCTTTTTAGACCCCAAGACTAATAAAAACACGCGTATTTCAGCATTCGATCGGACCCGTTAGCTGTTTCGATCTAACTTGGTAAATGGAAATTTCTGAACGCCCTTTGAAAATTTCTGGCTACCCCCCTGGTTGTGCATGAAGTGGGACTATGTGTCGTTGTTGCAAATTTTCGATAATTCGAGATTTAAAAATTGCCTTTTATCAATTTAATGGATTACCGGTAATTGTTTTAAAATTCTCAGCACTCAAAGGTGGAATAAGTAACTAGGAGGCTATTATCATATGGGAGGCGATACTTTCCCTGAACTTTGCTGTTTCATTTTAAATAAAGGGATGTGCTTTTTATTCAATCGGGTTTGCTTCTTTGCATATTCCATCAAACAGTTAACTCAAAGTCGACACTGCTAACGGTTTGCAGCTGATACATGCTGATATTTGAGCATTGTCCTCTTGCATTTTGACTATGAATATTCTATATAATCTTAATTTAATTTCTGAAAACTAAAAATGTAGACTCTTAACATTCCTTTCCAAATACAAAATTATTGAACTCACATAACTATTTGCCTCTCTGTGCTTTTTTTACATACCGTATATGCTCGCGATTAGGCCGAGTTTAAAACTCAAAAAAAAAAGTTGCCAAACTAAGGGACCGTTTTATTCGCGCATAACTCAGATTGCACCAAAAAATCGGCTCATTCCCGCATCTGAATTTGATCACGCAACGAGATGATATTATGCTGACTTGCGGGTAATTCCAAAAGCTTCAAACCATACCCAATTTTAGACTATATTTGCTATGCCATATTTATAAATTTTATTAAAAAATATTAAATAAATAAAAATAAATTGCCAATTGACCTGCACTAAACCTTTGAAAGGAGACCTCATTTACCATCCCAATGCATATGAATCACGCAATAAATACCATTGCAAGCAATAAAAAACAAGAGTTTTTTTAATTTTGAATAAATATTCTTTTTTTGTTTACAGGTTCATGTCAGCATATGAACAGAGGGTAGAACCACCGGATAGAAAATGGCAATATTTACTGTTTGCTGCGGAACCTTACGAAACAATTGCCTTCAAGGTGAGGGGAATAAAAAGTGTTTCATTTTGGATAGAATAGGACTTACATTTTATCCCGATGTATAAAAAAACCGTAAGACTACTTAATCTATGGCGAACCAATGGTTGTCCTGTTACAAATTATTGCCAATCTGTTTCCATAACTAGTCTGGATTGGTCTAAACCGGTTTGCCCTAGTTTGCGATTACAATAAATTGTCTTTTCGCAGGTGCCAAGCAGAGAAATTGATAAGAGTGAATCGAAATTTTGGACTCACTGGAATAAAGAAACAAAACAGGTGATTTTACTTGAACTTCCAACTAGGCTTTTTGTGTTTCATACCTTCAAATGGTGATAAAGAAGTCAAAACTTCATACAACTTTAGATTCAAGATTTACTTAACATACTTTATAGTCCGAAGCAGCGTTTCTCAAACTTTGTTCCGCAGAACACAGATCGAAATTGCTCCTAAATTGGTCTATACTTAGGCGATTTTGTGCCGTAAATATGTCTCCTGACTGGCGACAAACGGGCGAAAAGGACTTGCTATCTAAACAAGTGGACAGGCCTTGTGCCAGTCTTCGAAACCACTTATCAATTTTACCTTCTAATTTCTTGGTGTTCCACGAGGCGAGATAATAAGCGTAGGTGTACCGGGGCAAAAGAGTTTAAGAACCGCTGTTCTTGAGCCTCACAGAGTCGATTTTTTTTTAGAACCCTAGTTCGACTCGTTTGATTGTATATTTTCCCCGACTTTACACCCCTAATTGAATTTACCACATCACCTCTTCATATTTTCAAACCCATTCAAAACTCTGTTTTAACCACATTTCATTTTCTTTCAGTTTTTCCTGCAATTCCATTACAAATTTGAAAGACCAGGGGGAGATGACAGAGATGAAGAGTATCAAATGCCTCCACCATTATTAAACTCTGATTTACCACCTGGCGTGGCACCACCAGGCCCGCCTCATGGCAGCGGTAACATGCCACCACCACCAGGCAATATGCCACATGGAGCTCCACCTCCATATAATATGATGGGTCGTCCACCCCCTGGTATGGGAGGATGGGGGCCACCCCCAATGGGTTCGGGCCCCCCAAAACCTGTTCCACCTCCTCCACCAATGGCCCCACCATCAGAAGGGGATAGTGACGCCCCAGAGAACTAAACTTTTGTCTGCCGTTACCCCAGAAGTATGAGCTCATACAGAGATGCATTGGACTATGATTCTCTTTGCACCGTGAAACGGTTTTATGGTATCACATTTTGGACTATGACGTCATATTATGATGACACATTTTAGACGATGACGTCATATTATGCTGACACATTTTAAAGTATAAAATCAAATTTTGTAATATGCCATCATGAAGTTTGGCACATTTTGTAATTGTAAAGATCGGTTTTAAAGTTGGATTGGTGGCATTGTTTATTATCATATAATAAATTGACTGGGGGCGGGCATCTGAGCTTTGCAATTCCTTCAGCGTATGAACAAGAAATGCTCCGTTGCTAGAATGTTTTTTCAATCTACTTTCTGAGTGACTTTATATGTCTCAAATAAATACACTTGAAGAGAAGCAATGTGATATATATTAGAGTTTGTTGGGTGAACGAGGTGTTACCAGGTTTCTTAATACGCAAACATGAGTGCTCCAATTCTTGTAAATTCAGCAATGCTTCACAAGAAAGCAGAGCAGAGCACTTAAATATAAATACGGTGTGGGTTAGAATTCATGAGTGGGCATGGTTTTTGAACCAGGGGCAATAAATTTTGCCCACCTAGACTTGACAGCCTTGTAAGTGTGGCGTAAAAAGTTATAAATATTACGAATAATATTCAGTGTTGCTAAAGTGGAAAACAATAAGCCTCATGCCAAAACTAAATTTAATCGTAATCTTAACAAATTCCTTGAGCTATTTTTCAGGTACAACGTCAAATTTTGGTTTTAGTTTGGTTGTGGCAGCATTAGACTAGAGATGTACCGATACCACTTTTGTCGCCGATACCGACACTATGTAATTATTACTTAATTAGGGGAGCTGTGTAGGGCAGACTGGTTAAAACAATGGTCTTTGAGCGTTGTTCATAGTACACATTATTTCAGATCGAAAAAAAGATATATCACATAATATGAAATTAATGTTTGGAGTTTGCTTTAACTGATTAAGATACATTGTACAGTAACGCTAGTAATCCCGGTGTTCAATTAGAAAACTCATAAGCCGGGATGTCAAATTTGAATTTAATATCGCGACCTTCGAATATCGTTATTCGTGTTTAAACCACACATTCTAGCGCCGCCGTCCTACGTTCAAATTAAAAGCATTTTACAATATTTTATTTCGTGGCTAATCGTAATCGACGCAATAAGTCAAAGCCAACATGAAAGAATATCAATCAGCACCGACAAAAAGAAGGCCTACCTATAACCGTCGAGGATGTTTTTTACTTTACTATTTTATAATATTTTACAATTGCTATCATATAATTTAGACAGTCTAGGGCTAGGCGGTCATGTCAATATATCTATAAAGTAATTGTGTAGTTAAACAAAATTAAAATTAATACCTGCGTAAAAAGATAATTGTGTCGGAATTTAGTTTATCGATGTCGACGGACTAAATGACACTCGTACTTGACGACAAACAGTCAGAATTTATACCCGTGCCAAAAGTCTATGTGCCGTTAATAAGGATAATATATTTCTTCATAATTACTATGTAATATTAAAAATGTCAAAATAAAAATTAGCCAAATTAGTTGAGCTAATTTGACTGATAAATAGCTAAAAACACGTGAATCCTGTTCTCTCGCGGGGGTGGGGACATGTATTGCTCATAGCTCACGATCTCTTCAGACAAAAAAAGAAATTAAAAAGTAGTATTCCAACTAATCTTTCAAAACATTCTGGACCATATCAAAAAGGTAAATGCATCGGAAATATCGGCCTTAATCTAACCGATACCGAAAAAATGGCCGATATTGCCGATACCAATACATCTCTACATCAGACAAGTCAGATTGAATGACCCAACGGGCCGGAATTACCCCGCGGGCCGTAGTTTGTTCATGTCAGGGTCAGATAAAAGTATAGTCAAGGGTGGCTTGATTCTTAAGAACTACAGCATACAGGTCTTCACGATGCCAAACAGAATGCGCGGAGGTGGTACATTCATAGCGACATCTAAGCCCTGGTCACATGACCCGTGACGCGCTGCCACGTTTTGGCTTCTGTTTTGAATACCAAATTTGACGACTCCTTTTCGGCGACATTCGATGACGACACTCGACTTCCAACGCTCAACTCTCACGCAACTCAGCCGCTTCCAGCATTTTTACTCAATCAAGTTGAGTTCTTTTATTGTTTCATCTATTTTATACTGTTTTATTGCTACTGGATTTTAATACAACATACAACAAGGATCTTGCACATTTTATTAGAGACTTCTAAGCGGACAAATAAAAGAAAGTGTAGTCTCGGCACGCGGAGTTTAGGGGACACCCTACACATTTTCCTAGAATATGCGTTTATTCTGAAGCATCCTAAATAGTTGTGTGTGTACCCACAAACAAACAGCAATACCTCCTGTCAAGACTGTCAAGAACACTTTTCCTTCAAATTAGGAACATTTTCTGATATTTTTATAGACATTAAGATAAATGCATATCATAGCATATTCTACAGAAAATGTGAACAAATGGATACAATCAGAATAAATCGTTAAATATATACAACTTTATACATTACTGCATATATACATGGCTTTGTAAAAAGACATGGAATAGGATAATACACCATACTCCGGTCTTGATAATAAGATTTGATGTTTATTGGACACGTCAGTGGACATAACGATCGTTTTGCATTTTATGCTGGAACTCTACTTCTCATTCTTTGACACGTTTCTAAAAAGTCGCTTTTCTCTTTGATTACTGGACCAATCTCTTTAAAATTTTCAGTGCTTAAATTTTTTGCTAAAACGCTATTACTTTTATTTATTTCAAATATTCCGGTGAGCTGTATGAAATTCGTTTTCTGTGTGTGCTATGACGTCATTCGAATTTGCCACTAGGTGGCGCTACGTGTTCATATATCCAGCGTATCTCTCTTGTTCCATATGAGATGATTATAAATAGTTATCCACGAGAGAGAAAAGGCAGTGAAACATAGGGCAAACCACTGTTGTGTTGTAAATGTCACGTACCACAGATTCCGAGTTTAGTTCCTTTATCTCCTGAGCAAGCGAGCGATTTTTACGTCGACCATTACGAAAAATGTTTTTTCCGAGTTTAGGGTCGTACATGAGCAGTGCTCCTATTATTGTGATGGTTTCGTCGAAAGAGGACGCTATTGGCAGCTGGAAAAATCTCATCGGATCTGCGAATCCTTTCAAAGCACGAGAAACGCACCCATGATCGCTCCGAGACAGTTACGGAAAAGATCAAACTCGGAATGCAGTCCATTGGAACACTAACCTTCACATGGCAGAAAGTGTTGTGTGAATATTTTGCATAGTTATATGCTTAGTTCCTATTCATTGCTGTTTTGTCGGGTCTGATTATTGAGGTAACATCCGAAATTGTATTATAAGACTTCGACGACCAAGTGCAAGAAAAACTATATCTCTTGATTTCTTCTCCGGTCGATGGGTTGGGGGTCGGCTGCCTTTTGGTTGTGTCTGCTGTTTTTAGTATTTATTGCTGTCAATTGTAGAGATGTCGTATAAATAAATACCTAATCCGGAATTTCGAGTATTATGATCTAACTATCACAATTGCAAAACCATATCTGTGACAATAGCGAGCACACCAGGATTTGGTCCAAAATATCGCCAGCTAATTCGCCTTTGAATGGGGCAGTAGGGGGGTATCGGAAATAAATATTTCGCGTTCTTTATGTCATTCATAGCAATGAAACAATAATTTATAAATCAAGAGCTGCCGACTCGCTTCTTGTTGCTCTTTTTTGTTGACGGAAAAAAGTTACTGATCCGTCTCGCCCTGGAAGGCGATTTTTCGATCGTGTTTGTGACAGTTTTTCTACGCGCCTTTTTAGTGATCTTTTTGTCAATAGGCGAAGTGTTAAGACTCGTGGATAGCGATTTGTGCCTCGGAGCTTTTTTAGATTGCGAGTCAGTAGTACTCGAATCACTGTCATCAAAAACCTGGTCTTCGTCGCTTTTTTTAGGTGAAAGTATTGTTGGACCGACGTTTATGACCTCACAATTGGGATCTTCAGGCTCGTCCAGTTGGTCGTCGGACGAATCAACTCGCTGACTTTTTGGATGTAGGAAAGAAGAGAGCGATGAAAATACAACGGTTTCAAATGGACGATGAGCTTGTCTTCGACTCCTGTTTAAAAAATAAGAGTAAATGATATTACCCTGAGCTTATTGGTTTAAAACGGCTTACCGGTAGTTTCAATTGGCCGGAATATTCTCATCCTAACGCAGTGGTTCTCAAACTTTTTAAGCCGCGTCCCCTTTTTGTAATTTGTCAAGTCTCGCGCCCACCTCACGAATAACTAGCTAACAATAAGCTATTAACGAGAATATCGGTCAGAGACCGAAGACTTATCGATCGAAAGTTAGGGGATCCCCAAAACAGCGCTCTTACCCCATAGTGACACCTTGTGTCCCATCACTAATTAATTAATAACTCGCTATTTATACGACATAATTCATCCAAAATCAATAGGCTTCTGGTCCGAGATATGATGAATGCACATGCAAAATCTGCAGCAGATCCAATCTCACTTTCGTGAGATATCGCGTGCATCCAACAGACAGACAAACAAACAGACAGATAAACAGACAAATACCTATCGACATACTTACCGATTAAAATCGATAAGTAATAACAGTTAGGAATTCGAATGTATTTTCTAGAACCTGTGAACTAACAGCATGAAAAATTGGACATAACCACATTGGACCTCGGATTCTACCACCTCATCAACACACCCATTATGCGTGCGGAGTCTTCCCAAAGACAGTAGCTATATATATACCAGAATGGAGGTAACTAATTTTGTTCGCCTATTTTACATCAAGTTGTGTAAAAGAACTGAAACCTTTGGACAGGGGGTATATTCACTTGGCTGACACAGAAAGTCCCCGGACTCGTAATAGAACTAAAGTATTCTCAGTTCAACAGGAAGGCTTAGGGAAAATCGGAATACAATTACGGCCTTACCCCAATTTGAAGGTATATTATAATGAAGTTACTAAACTGAGGAAAGGGGAATGTAAGAAAGGGGTAATAAAAGCTTGCTAATATACCGTAATGACTCACGGACTAAATATCACTCATGAACAGTGTTCCCTCCAAGGTGTGCGCGCGCACACAGCTTTCAGAGGCTGCGCACAAGCATAGATTTACTGCGCACAGACGTATTTCGATGTAATGTAACAATGTTCTCGGTTGGCAGGTTGAGAAAGTTTGTTGTTGGCCCACCCATTACCCGGTTAGAACGCCAAAATTTCTTCATTGGTTTTTGCACAAATATTAGTCATTTCCAAAAAAGTGCGCACACACCAAAATTTCTGCGCACACATACTACAAAAAATTAGAGGGAACATTGCTCATGAAGTGACGTAATCTTAAGACTCAGTAAAATAAAATGTATGAGGGTATTTACCCTGGTACATATACTACGGGAGTACCGCTTTTGGAACAGAGCCCTGTCTGCAGTGAACAAATAAAAAAATCGACAAATCTATGACCCAATGCAAAGCACGGACCTCCTGAAGTATGCGCACCAAGATGGCGCACAACCTGAAATCAGATTGTGTAACAGGTGAGGGTTCAGGTTGTGCGACATCTTCAGGAGTATCCAAAGCACACTCTCACCTTTCAATGCCTTCGAATTTCCACTGCAATATGTTAATCCATTCCTGCCGTTCTTCCTCAGATGTTGTGTACATATAGTACGTGCGTTCAGGCATTTTGATTCTATGGAAAATGTAGAATAGAATTAAGATGAGATTTTTATAATAATCTTATAAAAAGGAAAGGGAATAAACGGCTTAAATAGCGCAATTCTTACCCTGATCAACAAGACGAATGCGAGCGTAGATAACACTGGAATTAAAATATAGACTAGATTTCCTGAAATTAGATTTTAATAATTACTGTAAAAACGTCACAAGTTTCATTATTTCTTTCTAAATTTTGGTTTTAGGAAAATGGGGGAAGGGGGTACCAAAATGTTGTTTTTGTAGAATTTAGAAAATGATAATCATAAGCAAGGAGCAAAAATTGCTTTACACAGTACCAGTAAACGTCCCAGGTGGATGTACTTCGTGACCTACCACCTTCGTCACGTGACCTACAACCGGTGGGAAAAGTCGTATTTCGAGACCGAATTATGGCATGGTGCTTGTAGGTAAATAGAATCCAGTGATATGTTCTGGATAAAAGATTCAAGTCTAAGAAAATGGTTATATTAAACGCATGATGCGATAAAATAGTAGCGAAAAAGTCTTTCTATTGTGTTGACTTCAAGTCAGTATTGAGTATATATTATCGCATGTAATCGCTCTGTTGTACGTTACCAAGCAATTAGTAAAGTATGAAAACGATTGATCAACAATAATTATCTTTAATTTCTGAGTTCTTGTTTTGAGAAAATATTCTTGGAACAAAAAATCCTTCCGTATACACTATTGACTTATGTTTCCAATGTATGATAGTTAGTTAGCTTGCACTTTACTTAATTTTAGTGTGAATGGTACTTCGTGGTTTGAAGCAAATTGACACCACGCATGCAGCGGGTTTTACACAACGCAAATAACGATACAATCACACGTTTATATAGTATTGTTTATAAAATTGTTCGTCATATTTGGAAACGAAGTAGACCAATGAACAATTTTGGTTTGAAGCGTGGGTTGAGAAATGCGAAACAGCTATAACTGAATTGATTCGGAAGATGACAGATGAATCACACGCAGTGATTACAATACATTTATGACTATTAGTGACGTAATAATGTTATTACTATGACTCCATAATATATGTTAGTATACGCTATTATTGTGTGCATGTTTATAGGTTGAGTACTGTATATTCATTCAGCATAGACTCTATGACTGTACAATACCAGCAAAGTTATTTGAGGGAATAATGATGTATCTTTTTTTTGCCAAATTCAATATTAAGGTGATAATGACGAAAACTATCAAATCGGTTTTTACGTCAAAATCAACATCAATATGACATTGTGTATTATGTTATATGTTTTATGGCGCTTATACCTTTAGTGGTCTTTTGCGCCATTGATAATTTCGAATTTAAAAATACTATATTAACATATAATACAATATTTACGAATATATAACTATATAATTGAATCAATTGCAAAAGGTAATTATTTCTAAACATTTCTGCCCGTAGACAAAACAAATTCGATATGTTCAGGTTGTGCGCCATCTTGGTACCAATACTTCGGGAGCACCACAAATTTAACAACCGTTTCAATAATGTCTATATTACTAAGCACTTCTTCCAAAGTCGGTTCTAATTTAAGTTTTCTGAGTTTGCGAATGACTCTCTCGTGACGTATTATAAGTATAGCAAACAGCCTATTAAAATAGATTGCAGAACTCACTTACCCAAAAGCATACGGTCTTCCAACATGGGACGCATCAGGTTCAAGAGACTTGTACGAAGTCAGATCAAGAACTCCAATTGGATGAAGGTCTGTGGGTTCGTTGTAGTAGGCTAACTTGTAACCTCTGAGAAGAAACCATCGGATATACCAGGACTTTACTGATCCGCCTCGCTTCGTCATGAATCCTTGTTTTGAGACGAACTAAAATGTAATATAAAGTGTTGATGGTATTTAGAAAAAGAAGAATACTAATGGAACGGCCTTGCCTCCGCTTTAATAATGTTTTTTCGTCGCTCCGGAAGTATGTGTACCAATATGAAGGTAACTAATTTTGTTCGCCTAGTTAACATCAAGTTGTGTAAAGGGACGGACACCTATGGGCAGGGGGTGTATTCACTTGGCTAACAAAGACAGTCCCGAAATCGTAACAGAACTAAAATAAAAATAAAATTATGGCCTAACACCGGTACACACTCTAACCTGGCACACATACTACGGGAGTACCATTTTTTTCTAACACCGCAAGTCTCAAATCAAACGCGAAGTGTATCGAAGGTGATTGGAATTAATGTCAGGTTAGCGGCATCCAATTATATTATTATGTCAAACGATGCATTATGACAACAATAGGTAATTTTTTCGATTAAGCTAACAACCATCCTAAAATACATTTCATTTAGAACCTAGAACCTCGAAATAGTAACATAAAGTAGAGTTCTAACCCACCCCCGACTGCTCCCAAGAGTCGCACATATTCTCCATATCTTTGATGGCTTGAACCATAATCTGTCGTCGTTCGCTCTCATTGACTGACTGTGTTACTTCTTGCATAACCTGGAAAAATTGTCAAAGCCAACTGTGAAAAAGATACGTGTACAGATTGATATATTTAGCGAGAGAACATTGTACACAAACCCCCAATTTTCCATAATCCATCCCTACTTTTATTGCTTATTCTCACCATTTGTTTACAGTTCAAAAAAGCAAACAAATCACATAAATGATTTTGCCTGATTTTTAAAAACTCATTTAAATTTAAAAAACAAATTATGTTATTTGAGCCTAATCGAACTGAAATAATCCTTTTGGTTTTTGAAAATGATCACAAAATATCAATATATATACCAATATATATACCAAGATAATTGTATTTGTTAGTACTCAACACAAGACCTCCCGCCCCCGCCTCTCGTGACTAGATACGGGGATTATGATGTCGAGTTTTTTAATGCTGTCACGTTTTATTGATGCATTGAGTTCATAGTATTTTCGAATCAACTTATTATCAAATCTACTTGGGGATTTAACGTACGTATCTTGCTCGTAAGTGAAGTTTTATAATGTATACAATTTTTAAACTTATTTATGGCATCATAATACATTACAACATGGCTTATTCTGACGTCATATGCATTCTTCATTGTCGAAGAGGGCCCACAAAAAGGCATAGCCCGGTTTCTCATTGTCTAAATCCGGCCATGTTATGCGCATAAAATATCTTGTATAAATGTTGACACGATTGACTCATACATAAAATTTCTTACTTTTTGTGCTTGTGTTACGTCTTTAAAATCTTTATGCTGAGAAGGCGTGTATTTTTTGAGTTCTTTGAGAAACAGTGGATATTTGCATATTCGTTGAACAGGTGAAATAATAAACCCTTCCAAGTGTAGAAACTTTCGGCTTTGACTTTCAACGCTGCTTTTCCATTCCTGAAATGTTTTATAAAAATATTATTCCAATATATTTGCTAAATCCTATGTGATACCCATACATGTGACATATTTATGTGCATGTGCAAAAATCTATGTAATATTCATATATGTGACATATTTATTTTTATATATATAGACACACATATATGGCATATTTAGGTGCATGTGCGAAATCTATGTGATAATAATATATGTGAGATATTTATGTGCATTTGCAAAAATCTATGTTATAGTCATATACACGGTTTTCAAAAATGTTGCCCGATTTTAAAGTAATAATAACTGAAAGTTGAAATAAATTTTATTGTATCATACATGAGAAATACAAGCACAATAAAATTATTAATAAACAATAACAAAGAAAACCCTCAAATTCTTGGACACGTTGGTGAACAACTTACAAAGTAGCTTTTCCCTTCGATTACTGAACCAATTTTTTCAAAATTTTTAGTGGTTAAAGATGGATTTTTTTTTCTATTTCAAATATTTCTGTTAGATCTGTGGGATTCGTTTTTGTTTGCTATGACGTCACCGAACGTTCTGCGTAAGCACATCAGTTGATTTCGTGCTCGGCGTTTGCCGGTGGATCTACTACTTGCTTAGCAAAAGTGGGGAGTTTTTTATGCCGAACGGTGGACTGTGTTATAATTTTCAAAAATTGTCGAAATGCTCTACGTGTTCATATATTTGAGCATAGCTCTCTTGTATTAAAATACAAAAGAAGTTCTCCCACCGTTATTAACTCTTGGAAATCCGGATCTTTCTCAAGTTCGTAACAAACTTTTTGAGCTCTTGTGAAGTTGGAGCAGTATTCATCGTAAACACTGAACTTGTCTTTCTGAAAAATAAACAAAAATTATTTCAATCGGTGTGGGCGGTTTTAGGGCGTGGCCCGTGAAGTATTCGACCTTCGGGAAGAGGACAATGCTTTGAAGCTATGTCAATCGGCAAGGGTGATTTTAGGGCGTGGCTCATGAGGGGTCGCCCATTGGAAAAAGGACGACGTTTTGAAGATATGTAAACACTGAACTTGTCTTTCTGAAAATTAAACAAGAATTTTTTTTTTATTGACGTAGCCGTAATAAGAGGAATCAGACACGGACTTCGCTATTGCGTATAACGATAAATTAAAAAACCTCAAGGCAAATAGCTATGACAACTACCGCATTCGTTGAATAAACAAGTGCGGAAACAAGTCACACACCACACGGTATCCAATGACATTCCCGCAGTGCCTATAGATAGATCAGGAGTGGCCAACCTGCTTTCGATCTAAATGACGATCAGTGACTTTCGATTCCACCAAACTTTTATCGACTGATCGGTGATAAGGTCATACACAAAAACGAATGAGTAATGAATATGCAGATAACTTCGAACACGCATACAAAAAATTCCGCCCAGACTTAAATACTGTATGTGTATATTGTATTTTTTGCGCATGTACAGCACTGTATTCGTTCTGTTTTGCAGCACAAAACATCGCTATATGAAACTGGTTCGCAGCAATTCTTGGGGGTATGTTATTAAATTCACTTCACATCAGACGCCATTGACTATTCGAGACGTGGCGATCGACCAGTCGATCGCGATCGCAGTGTTGGCCACCCCTGAATTTATTTCGAGAGAATTTCCCCAAAGCAAGGCCTCGTGTACCCGCTCAGAAATGATAGAGACTCTTCCATTGGTAAATTTACAGGAGACGATGCATTATACGCCTCCAAGTGCCGATTGCCGCGAAACTTCATTTCATTAAAACCTAATCTGAAATGAAATACATCAAAATACTCCTTCAAAACGAATCAAAAAATATCTACTCACGAATTCTAGAAATACTTTTCCGATGCGATGAGTATGATACGGAATAGGAGAGAGTGCTTCTTCCAATGCCTTATGAAAGTCAACGTGAAGCAAATGGATTTCTGACACATTCGAGAGAATTTGTGACGTAGTTTCCTTCTTGCATGAGTGAGCACGAGTTTGATCTTCTCCCATCTTCTGGATACTGGGGGTCATGACCTTTAGAAATTGAATTGTTTAAATATGGTGCCGAACAACGAATTAATTCAAACCAGGGTATTTTCTAGTTAAAATGGTGTAAATCGAGGAAAATAACATTTTTTAGAAAACTCAAAGAGCATTAAATTTTACTGAATGTTTTTAATAGTATGTTGTTTAAGAAAGATTGCCACGCAAACGTTTTTCTTATCAAAACTTGATTTTCTCAGAGATGTAGTAACTTGAAACGCTTTTTAAACCTTCAAGACTCCACGTTTTTCTTCTTAATTGTATTTGAATATCCAGATTCAAGAAAGTGGATATAAAAATGCAGATGATCCGTTGAATAAATAACACATTTTTCCTAAAAGCAAAATATCTATCATCCCCAAATTTGGGGGAAAACATCCTCTAAATGAAAAGCTGGAGGAGCATACATACATCAAGAAAGTGGATATAAAAATGCAGATGATCCGTTGAATAAATAACACATTTTTCCTAAAAGCAAAATATCTATCATCCCCAAATTTGGGGGAAAACATCCTCTAAATGAAAAGCTGGAGGAGCATACTGGCCCAGCACCAATTGTCTCATGAGTTTCCTCTTATTTATAGAATAGGTAGGATAAGTTAGAAGGTGATGCAAATAACATGAGCTAATTTTTTCGAATCTAATCTGAGATAGACAGGATCAAAGAGAAAAGAAAAGTAATGATGGGACAATATCAATGAAGTACGGAAAAATGATTTAGGCACAAAATGCTGCTGAAAGATATAATATGCCGCGTCTGCTGTTAAAAGATTATATTATTACGTCATGAAATTATTATTACGTCACATTCTGGGACATCAGTTTTTGACTCGGCGTACCTCATAGTTGAATAAATGACGCCATTAAGATGTTTTACAGCATGCTTTATTGAAACGCAACCCGAACATCAATATATATGATATACAGGGTGTCCATAAAGTCCCTTTACAATTTCAATTTTGGGTGCTCCCGAAGTATGCGAACCAAGATGGCGGACATCGGAACGTAACATGGGTAACTGGTTAGGGTTAGGCGATAATTTTTTTCCAATTTTCTTTATTTTAGTCCTATTATCAGTTCGAAGACTAGCCAAGAGCCTCCCGTAGTATTTATACTTAAAATTATGGCCTAACCTAGTACACATATTACATTCCGATGTCCGCCATCTTGGTTCGCATACTTCGGGAGCCCCCAATTTTGTAATGAGATTAGTTCTCAATATATCTTAACCAGGTTTGTTGTATTTCAATCAGTAATTGTTCAAATATTTTTACTTCATTTAATACCTATGTGAGGGCTAAAACAATATAGATAAATTCCCTTTGCAATTTTAAAAAATGGTAGGATTTTATGGACACCCTATATTTTTGAAAACATTTAAACGCAATGCATAATAAAGCAAAAATAGGTTGGTATTGGTATAGTATTGTATATATAATTACCTCCACCATAAACTCCAATAATTTTAAGTATTCCGTCTCTGTGTCTAATATTTCTTTTAAAACGAACATACGTAGTCGTTGTTCATTGGTGGGAGGCGCTGAACCGTATCCGTCGCTGTCATGATGATCAGCTTCGTTGATGTGCATCGCGCGCAAAGTTTTGCGCATTGTTCTGAAATAGTAATGATGTATAAGTGAGATGGATTGTGTTATGGAAAATACAGGGTACCTTATTGCCCCGCTGGTTTTTATTATTTCGCAGTAATAGAAGAGTGCTGAATGCACGTAATTCCGGTGAGCTTTTCTTACTCAAATATGAACGACTGACAAGCGTATTGCCGACTATTTTATTCTAAAATTGTTATACGACTTCCTATTTATCCCGGAAAAGCCAATATACCGTCTTCATCATATGGCAAGGTAAACATGCAGGCACATCAGGCAGGACCGTTAAGTAGGGGCACATGCATAGCCAGTGGAGTTGGGGGTGGAACCGAACGCATTGTCGGCTATTTTATTCTAAACTTACTCATCACTTTTAACACAGAAAATGCCGATATAACTTCTTCATCATATGGCACCACTGATTTTTGACGCTCATTACATATAACAGAAAGCTACTAATAGATATCTCAAAATGTATAAATTGGTCCCAATCGACATTTGAAGGCTTCTTCCATAGAGGGTTATTGGGCTTCCATATAGACAGTATAGGCTGGGAAAAGGATGGATATATTGCCCCAATCGCCATTCGAATGAACTCTTTCATTGTATGATATTGAACTGCCATATAGCCAGCAGGTTAGAGATGGGGACGGATATATGGTTTCAATTGCCATCATCAAAGGGCTGTTCGATTGCCAAATGGAACGTTAAAAAAATGCGTAATTATATTACATTGGCCATTAGAACATCTTCCTCCGTATATACCAACTAGTCTGTCATAAAAACAGCGGGCTTTATCCATAGTGTACCACATGGCACAGGAATTGTACGCGCCAATAAATAACGAAGGCAACCTTGTTATCAGAGTCGCCAAATACATACTTCCTCGTAAAGCCTCCGTGACCCCACACAATCCACATAAATAAGTTACCTATCACGCATCTGTCTTATCGCACTTTTCTTCATTTTTCTAGTCAATATAATTCCTTCCAGAAATAAATCAAATACACAATGCAATTTCAGACTTATTTGTCTCTATTATACTTCATTATCTAGGATTAATCGAAAGTTGTCAGTCGTAAAAAAGCAGTATAATATGAATGAAAACGTGTAAATTATGGGTGGGAGGGTGTACTAGCTAACCATTGCATCGCGAGTTAAAAGTTTATGGGTTAAATCTAATACCCACCCCCTCACCATGGGTGTAATAAATTGGGTGCCAATGCTGGATCGAAAAGATTATATACAGCGATAAGTATATATTTCCCGCGTAAACACTAAAATTATTCATCAAGGATCCTCAACCTTTTCTTCTCGTTCGCCAACCTAATAAAATTTATCCTCGAATATAAAAAACTAGCAACACACATTTTATAATTTATGGACTATGCTGTCAAATATTACCACAGAAATTCAAATACAAACGACCTCCAGAACTCTCAAGAAATGTGTGTACCAATATAAAGGGAAATAATTTTGTTCGCCTATTTTACATCAAGTTGTGTAAAGAGACTGAAATTTATGGGCAGGAGGTATATTCACTTGGCAAACACAGACAGTCCCCAAACTCGTAATGGAACTAAAATAAGGAAAATCGGAGTAAAATTGGAGCCTAACACTAACCTGGTACACACACAACGGGAGTACCGATAAAAGCATATAATTTCCATTTGAGCGTGCTATTCACAAGCGTGAATTTTTTTATTTATGACTTCAATTTTCCCATGACAGTTCAACCATATGTTTCTGCAGACAGTAATTGATACTTTGCAACAAATGGGCGAAGCTGAGTACCGTGATTCACCAGCGCAGCGGTTCTTAAACTTTTTATTCGTGCGCGCCAAATTATAATCAGGAAAAATTACGGCACATGTATACAAACAAAATTCTGCCTTTAAATATAAATTTATTTTGTGGTCGTAACAAAATACAATATAAGTAAACAATATAGAAAGATATAATAAATTTATGGCTCCATATTCACAGCATTTAAAACAAAAAACAGTGAAACATTCATAATATATACAATCAAATTCTAGTTACGTTTAACACAATCACTAGCGCTTACTACCAACATCCCATACATGATCTTGTATTAATAAGGACCAATCATATTTCAAGCGTCAGACGATTCAAAAAATATTTCTGTAATATAGAAAATGAACTCTGGTGTGCTATATTGGGTACGCCCGTATTATGTGTATGTATACCAGGTTAGGCCATAATTTTATTCCGATTTTCCTTATTTCAGTTCTATTACAAGTTCGGGGACTGTCTGTGTTAGCCAAGTGAATATATCCCCTGCTCATAAGTTTCAGTTCCTTTACACAACTTGATGTAAAATAGTTGAGCAAAATTAGTAACCTCCATATTGGTACACACACTTCTGGAGCTACCTACATTGTACCTCCTGTGTTCTGTATCGTTAGCAGAAAAACGTGAAAAAGCTAAATTTCAAAACCAATGTACAATAAATTTTTTAATTACACGATGATTCGTCAGTCTCTGCCTGCCAGATGATTCAAAAAATATTTCCCTTATATAGAAAATAAACTCTGGTCTACCAGTCTACACTTCCTATGTCCTGTACTGTTCACAAAAACGTGAAAAAGCTAAATATCAAAACCAATGAGTCATAAGTTCAATAATCGTACAGCAATTCAAGTAAATATTTCGGTAATATGGAAAATGAACTCTGTTCTACTATTGTACATCCTGTGTTCTGTATCGTTCACACAAAACGTGAAGAAGCGTAAATTTCAAACCCAATGCCCACAAGTTCATTAATTGGAAAATATTGAGTAATTTACGGAGAATTTTCAACCGGAATAACTGCCTATCCCCTTTCTAACTATTTTGATGCTGGTTAAAATGATGTTTGATGCTGTGGCTATATTATTGGGCACGAAGTAGACCTATGGGTCGTTTTGCTATTATGTTGTTGTTGTTGTTGTATTTTTTTCTGTTATTATGAAAAAATGCTTGTCTAAACCACTAACAAACCAATTGCTTTGGAATTTTCAGTGAGTAAAAATTGTATTTTTCGCAAGAAGGCTATTAATTTTATTTATTTCTGAATTTTCTATGAATCCTATGAAATTTGATTTGTTATTAAAATTTCGATATATATATTATATTCTATATGGTAACACAGTGGTTAATCCACCAAATGTGGCGGCTGTTTCCGATTTGACGCAACGCTACGCGAAAATCGGACATTAATTTCTACGGTGCGAAAAGTACTTTGTTTTGGACTTCGTCTCCATATATTTGAGCATCAGTCGCTTGTTTGTAATATTTTTATCTTCAAGGCACATGTTTGGGTCTCTCGACCGAACTGCAGTAAATTCATATTCTCATGTCTAACTTTATGTTCGCTAAAAACTAACGCCCATAACCCTTCTAACAGTAAAAGAATGGGCGAGATTCGGTACTCCAGAAGTGTGTGTACCAATATGGAGGTAACTAATTTTGCTCGCCTACCTTACATCAAGTTGTGTAAAGGGACTGAAGCCTATGAGCAGGGTGTATATTAGCTAACACAGACAGTTCCCGAACTTGTAATATAATTAAAACAAGGAAAATCGGAATAAAATTATGCTCTAACCCTAAACTAGGACACTACGGGAGTACCTGAGATTCAATACAAAAGATAAGTCTTGTCAAACTGCCTATCATCTTAAAATATTGCCTAGCGCAAATCTGTCACGTAACACATAATGATACTAACGAAGAACACAGCTATTCGCTTTAAGAAAGGTCACTCGCAAATTAAATATCATGATCTCAAATTGGTACTCCCGAAGTATGTGAACCAAGATGGCGGACACCGGAACGTAGCATGTGTACCAGGTTAGGGTTAGGCCATAATTCCAGGTACAAACACCACGGGGGACACTTGGCCAGTTCCCGAACTCGTAATAGAACTAAAATAAGGAAAATTGGAATCAAATTATGGTCTAATCCCAACCTGGTACACATACTACGTTCCAGTGTCCGCCATCTTGGTTCACATACTTCGGAATGACCCCCAAATTTTAAGTCGACCACCGAAGTGTTATGTGCAATTAAAACTATGAAATACTCTTGGAAACCCACTTCTTTCGAAACCTCTAGCTGATATACGGCCTAACTTGACTATTTTAGAAGCCTTCTGTAAATTCCTGCTGGCTACGCCCTGCAAACAAATATTAGTAGTGGTTAGCAGCGTTGTTCGGGACAATCGCCTGGATAACCTATAGAATTTGAAAAATTGAAAGCTACAAGGACATAATACACAAAAATACGACGCCTTTTTGTTTAACTGTCGCTCACTTATATGAATAGTCTACCTCCTCTCGTTGCGGTCTTTGTGAATCTTTTATGTATTTCCATATTTTTTTCTAATTTGGAGAAATCAGAAAAAACATTGATTTTATCGTTAATCGCATTGGATTAGGCTATTTTGATGAGCAGGTTAAAATCTCGGATACGAAAACCATGCCTATAACATCACAACAAAAACATAATAGCCTTATATATATCAATGAATCCTTTTCTAGTGCTTTCTTCTGAGCGATCACGTAAAATAAGGCGCTCCGGAAGTGTGTTTACCTACTTTACATCAAGTTGTGTGAAGGTACTGAAACCTATGAGCAGGGGGTATATCCATTTTGCTAACATAGACAGTCCCCGAACTTGTAATAGAACTAAAATAAGGAAAATCGGAATAAAATCCTGGCCTAACCCTAACCAGGTACATACACTACGGGAGTACCTAAAATTAATTGTGTAACAATTTTAAACAAATGCGAAGAGATACCGCTCAAAAACACAGGGTGTCCCTCTGTTTAACTGTGCTTAACGAATGTGCTTCGTCTGCCTGTTTCGTACTGATGCATACGCAACTTCCTATCCTTTGTGAACGACTAAACTAAATTTCCCTATTTGATGAGTTTCCTCTCCTTTTTACAAAATCAGAAAATAACTGAAATTTTCTAGTCATATGTAACAATGTTCGCGAATCGT